AGAAAGAAAACCATAGGTTCATTTTCTAGTGGGGGACATGACGTCAACCAGACTGCACGGTGAGCACTTCGGAAGATTGGAACCAACAAGCTGTGGTCGTCATTCATTCTGTTGGGACGTAAAGGAAAGCAGAGCCTGAAAGACGGTTCCTTTTTCTGAGTCATTATGAGTAAGTATACAGCCCTATAAAGATTGTGATTCACCAATGGGGGTCCCTTTGTATTTGGAATCTCTGTAACTTGCAATTTTAAGAAATCTAAATCTTTTTAAATGTGCTTCTTTACATGTTTTTGTTGTTGCGGACAATGCATTTGTGGACACAGTGTGTTGCAGCCACTTCTACAAAACAACAGATGCTGAAAGGAGGTTCCAGAAGCATGTGCAAAGATGGTAGAACTTGTCATGAGTCTGGATGCCATTGATTCCTGCATCTCTGAACATGACTGGTTTGCTGTCTGCTGTCTACATCCGGCAACACTTCAGACAGCACACATGCAGTACCAGACACAGTATGGAAGAAATGCCATCCAGGGCACTCTTGACCAGTGTGGAAAGTTGACTGTTGTGCTTTATTAATTATAAATTCTCCTTTACAAGGTAGATGAACTGATGGAGCAAATATGACATCGCTAGAGAGGCAGTTGAGCAACAGCCATGATCTTGTTCAGATGGTAGGGAAGTGAGGACGCACTGTACCTGTTATTTTTCAACCACCCAATTGCAGGACGGCACTAGGACACATCGTCAGTTTGAGAGAGAATTTCAATCCTGCTACTAAGAGAATGAAGTACACCAACAATGTGTATACAAGCAGGACAAGCATACCAAAATCATACGTGAGGTGCCCCTGGAATCACCAGAAGACATCAGATCTACTAAAAAGATGAAGATATTGAGGCTTCAATCCAACAAGACGAAATGGATCGCTGGTCAACAAGGCGAGAGGTGCCCCTGGATTCACAAAAAGACATCAGATCTAATAAGAAGATGAAGATATTGAGGCTTCAATCCCACGAGATGGAATGGATCGCTGGTCACCAAGGCAACAGTGTGGACATTCATAAAGTTTCTATCAAGTGCAGGAGTCTAGCACTGAGCTCTGTCAAGTGCCCAAGCTGTTGATGGTGATTGATTCAATCAGTGACAATCAATTGCCTGACAGTCAATTTGATTGACGGCACTTTAATTGATGAGGTAGAGCTTGAAGGCGAAGTTAAAGTAATAGAAATACGTGGTGCTGAACCCTGCTCAGGCTGGACAAGCTGCAAGCAGACCAAGAGGAGCAACTGAGCCTGCTGAGAACATTGATGGCTGGAAAAACATCAAAGCAAGGTCAAGGGTTACTTGAGGGCGATATGGAGCCATTTGACCACCCGATGGAGTACCAGGAGCAGTACAAGGCTGCAGAAGCTAAACTGCAGGATGATCAGTTCAGAAAGAAAACCACAGGTTCATTTTGATTTTGCACATTCTTGGTCTCAGCGCGGGCTTTCCTCTCCTCAGCAGCAACCATGACGTCTTTTTAACTTTGAAGCTCAGACGCCAATTTCTTGGGGGAAGGAATCTTCTAAGGCAGAAATGCGATGAAGGTTTACAAACCAAACAAACCTTACAAATGGTGCCTCAACTGTTGGAACTCGGAACTGTAGCAGGGCAAAACCAACAACGAGACTAAAGTCAGATTGTGCAAGAAAGTAGTCTTGCGTTTATCTCAACCCTTCAATGGTAAGGGTCACCCTATTTAGATGGATAAATTGTTCTCATCCCCTAACTTGTACTGTGCACTTGGGAACAATGGTATTGGAGCATGTGGCACGCTGCATTTGAACCAGGTCGGCACCCCCGATGAGATCAAAGAGACAAAAACGAAGAAAAGGAATCCCCTACGTGCAGTTAGGGACGGTAATCTGTTGTTTTTGTCCTGGTTTGACAAACAGCAAGTCAATGTCGTCACCTCAGGTCACAACCAGTGGACAAACCAGTTACCATCAAGAGCTACACATGTTTCATGGGTGGAGTAGACCGAGCTGATCAAGGCATGTGATATTACTTGAATATCCACAAAACTCTCAAGTGGTGGAAAAAAGCATTTCATGAAACACATCACCGTTTTCTAAATCTCAAGAAAGACCAATTATCGTCGTATTTGGAAGCCAGAGGTGTTGTCGTAACAAATGGAAAGCATAAGGAACTTGCTGAGAAGGCATACTGGGCGGATAAGCTTGGTTTGGTTGCAAAACCAACGGTAGAGAAGCCAAGGTAGCGACACGTGTATGACTAAATTGACCAATCGGGGAACAAGTTTGGCTGTTCGATGGGACAAGTTTGGCTGTTCTATTTTGTGTAAGGACTCCGTCTGTATTTTAGAGTACTTTTTCCAGAAAATTACTAATTTCTTTTTCTGAAGCAAAGAACAAACAAATTGATTTATTGACAATGAGCTGTATTCATTTACCTTGTAAAAATATTTTCTCTATACCTTTTGGTGCTAAACTAATATCATAAATGTATTTCAAATATGACCTGGAGGCCTTGGGCTGTGTTTGATTTAAAACGATTTTGAATTATTTATGTTGTTAATATTTCCATTTTTGTGTGATTGTTGGTAAAATATTTTTGTTTCAAATAATGAACACAAATGATAAGTGGAAATATTAGCAACATTTCTGGATATTTAAGCACTTGATTATTTTAATTGATTTTCTATTTTGTTTTCACAGGTCACTGGAGAGGATCCCCATGCATAGCCCTGATTGACTTGTCTGGTAAGTCTTACAGATCTCAATTCCCACCAATCTTCAAGGCCCTAAACCTCAAGCTCCCTGCACTGGCTGGTCTTCTGAAACAGATTAAGCGCCATGTTGTCAATGAAAAAAAGAGTAACAACATCACCAGCCTTGCTGAAGAATTTCCCGGCCTCTCAATGTCAGCTCCAGAGATTGGACCTCATTGCAGAGAAAATGGTATCTCACCAGAGTCTCTTATTCAAGGTAAAATTACATTTTTTTGGTTAACAAATTTCTTACAAATGTCCCATCAGTTAAAAAACATAACAAAACATTCAACTAAAAAGCACATCAACAAAACTTGTTAAACCTATAAGAAGGAGAAAAAAAGGCCCTATCCAAACAAGATGTAAAACATTTACATCTTGTTTGAAGATTGGAAATTTTTGTGTGTTTTGAATTTTGCTTAGTTTTACAAATAAAGTGTCTTCTTGTTGTTTTGACACAGGGGCGTCATCAGCAGTCAAGTCGCCAATAACTAATGTAATGATCATTGAGTTGTTCCGCTACCGTGAAAAGAGCAACACAACATGGCAGACAGTCATCGATGTTTGGTGGCCAAGCTTCTTTCAGACAGATAAGCCTCCACTTGGCACCGTACCAAGCAACTGGAGCAATCTGAACCAGACGCGACAGAGATTACGGCAAACTCTGTTGAATGACTTTCTCAACACCGTGTACTCCACACCGCTCCCAAAACCTGCCCCTCAAGAAGAGACCGACGATGATGAAGATCTGGATTCAGATTATGAAAGTGATTTGGAGTTCTATCCAGATTTCATTTCGGGTGAAACGCTAGACCATTTTGGCGACTGCATGGAATATTTGACTGACCTCTGGCAGGATGAAGTGCTGAGCCATCAAGTAACAAAAGAGGAGTGCACAAAGAAAAGTAAGACACTTAAGAAATTAGAACGAGCTTTGGAAGAGGCTCAACAGATTAGTTCAGATCTGAAGAAAGAAGTAAGTGGCCTGTCAAAGAAAAATGTAGTGCGAAGGTTGGAACGACGAGATGCAGACCTGGAGGAAAAGGAAAGGGAACTAGCTGAGGGGGTCAGAGAAAAGCAGAAACTAAACAAGAAAATCCAGAAACTGGAAGAAAACATTAAGTGTTTACAAAGAGACAAAAAAGCAAAAGGTGATTCGAGAAGGCACACACGTTGGCTGACTGCTCAAGACGTGGCAGAGCTCTGAGACAAATGACATGCTTGGAGTCAATGCGAGGGATGCGACGGACAGGGCAAAGTGGAGGAGAGCCATAGGGAGAAAGCAGGCCAACCCAGAACAGACTGGACAACAGCTTTAAAACCGATGATGATGATGATGATGATGATGATGAAATCACTTCATGAGTTTGTGCATTTTCCCATGATTTGTTTTAAAGCTGGACGTACATTTTTTTGTTATGTTGGACTTTAAAACACAGAGGGTGTATAAACTCTGGGACTCGGCAAAGGTCTTTACACAGTCAATGGTGTCTGACCATGTGCGAGGGATGGCTTACCATGGCATCAAAAGAAAATGAAAAAAACAAAGACGAGAGGGGCCTTCATCGAAGTCAACACGATTAAAATGAAATCACAGACTGACACTAAACTTGACAGTATTTGATATATCTATGATTTCACTTGATCATTCTCTGCTTTAAGGTTAATGACATGGGTCCTGCAATCGCGTGTTATATTGCTTATATCGTTTTACAGCCAAAAAACTTGATATATTTCTGAATAGTAGGGCTTCCGATTATTTTGGTCACCGTGCTATCAGTGTACTGGAACAAAGTGCCAGCCATATTGGACTGTCAGGCATATTGGACTGTCAGGTATTGGACTGTCAGCCATATTGGACTGTCAGCCATATTGGACTGTCAGCCATATTGGACTGTCCAAAAGTCACACAATTTTGTGTACGGCGAATATGAGGCATGTGCTATCCAGTCAGTAAATAGAGATCAGTAGGGCGATCTGGTTAATTGAAAGCCACACACACAACTTAGTGTAAGTTGTATGGGATGTATGATATCCAGTTATTATATACAGATCAGTGAGGCAGTCCTAAAAGCTATGTGCTAAGTGCGTCCTGAAACAAATCTTACTTAATGCAAGGATTCAGCCTTTTTAAAATGTATTATTTTGCCTTTACATAATGAGTACTAATACCAAAAGGAAAGAAATGTGAAACCTAAATATTAAACTATATTATTCAAGTGAGTTTTAGCTCACCGCTTCTTTAACATCAAAGTTTGTAGGTTGGAGCTGCACTCTCAATTTTCCTGACTTTGACAAGAAAGGCAGAGTGTCTGGGTTGTTCATTGTGGGGTCTCGCTATGTACTTAGGGATGTGGTCTTTGATGTATGAACTGGAGGGGTCTTCAAATTCATCCGAGGCTGTGGAAGAACAATTTCAGAGACCTGCTCAAAAGGTTTTGCAAGTGTATTTTGTCAAACGTTACCTATTTTTCATTTCGTAAAATAATAAAAAGTTGACACGTTCACAATACTCATATGTACAGTAGATGTGTGGGTCGGGTGAAATGTCCACACAAAATGGTGTCCTGTACTCACATTATCTCTAATGGTTCCCAGTAAAGGTGATGCATGTATGTGGCTTGGGCACAGTTACTGTTATTAACCCTCCTATGGTAACATGCATTGTCAGCCTGCTTATTACTTGGGTCAATATTGGTCAAGACCCCCATTGGTTTGTACACAGTAGGCCAGGAGGTGAGGAAGAAAATTTTGACCATTGGTGACCTCTTAAGCAAAGGGAGGGATATCTATGTTTATGTGGTTATTTTGTCAAGCAGACTATGGACAATGTTTGTCACTCATCGAATGTTGAGATGTAGATATATGGGTCTAGCACCTGAATAAACCACAGCAAAAAGGTATTGCAATCAACAAGCTTTTCGGAGCTGCATACTTATCCCATATCATTTCTATTGGATCCAGATAAAACTAATGAATGTGCATGCGGTATGCTCTAAATTTGTTCAGGTCCAAGTGCCGAGATTCCCAAACCTGGATTCAGTTCACCTCGAAGATAGCGCCCTCTACCACCATGGCTTGATCAGGCTTGCCAGTAAGGGATCAGCTACTTAGGGGAATATAATCCAAAATCCAGTTTTGAACAAAGACTAGTCTATGATAAGATGGAATTTTGCGTCAGGGTGATATAAATTAAATTAGGTTTTGCCCTTCACCGACGTTTAAACACTGTATACTCAGTGTGTTACCTCCCGAGTGAAAGATGGAAAAAATCACTCGGATGGGACTCGAACCCACGACCTCCTGCTTTCTAGTGCAGATGTCTTACCACTCGACCACCAAGCTAACGGGATTGGTTGGCTGGTTCGAATCTCATGTACATAGCAGCGGGTACCGCATAAACTATGATAAGATGGAATTTTGCGTCAGGGTGATATAAATTAAATTAGGTTTTGCCCTTCACCGACTAGTCTACCCGATGAGAGGCCATGTCACAAACATGGCTGTAGTGGGCAAGTACATGATATCTTACCGCTTTGGTCCGACTGGTAGTCCATGTCTGTATGAAGTGTTGTCTCTGCCAGGGAGATACCACTGTGGCGTCTAGCCTGGTGCACTAACCACACCTTGTGGGTCACCTCTAGTGTCTTCTCAATGGTAAGAGGGAGGCTGTGCACACGCAAGAATTCAGCTGCTTCAACTATCTAACCAAAAAAAGAGATGAAAAAATTAAAACTTCTGCCAGTGTAAGAGTGTACATACTTGGAGCACTTTTAAACACACGTCACACGATATTTGTGCAGAATGTCTTTCTTTCCATACATTAAATGATGGAGACAGTATTTGAAAAAAATGTGACCTCCTATGAAATCTGATTGATTTATAAGAAGACTATCTGTGAGATGGAATTTTAGGTCAGGGCGATGTAAATCAAATTAGGTTTTGCCCTTCACCGAGGTATAAACACTGTATACTAGAAGACTGATTTTTATCTAAAAGCCCTTTTGGTTAGTATCCATCCTCCACCCTTCAGTATCCCCAAATCCTCTTTTAAATAACAAATTGAAATAAAATACAGAATGCCTTCAAGGTGCTTTCATGTTACGGGTATCATCCTACCTCCATGCCTTAAAGCCCGAGTCCATCATTTGCAGCTATCCAAAAAAGTAACCGGCGTAATTATTGTTGAAAAACATACTGGTTGAAAGATAGTAAGGGGACTAAACTCCCTGTGAAATGATCCTTTCCGGCAAGCTCTCATTTTGAAGAAATCAACGAAAGAAGGCATTTCCAACGGTGCTTCTTAAGAAGCACCGTAGGAAAATTTTAATTAGTTGTTCGTTTTGTTATTCAGCGTTGGAACGACGCACAGGCGCGCGCGGTTGCTATAATTCGTTGGATCTGTGCGCAACATTGCGTAAAGCTGCAATTCAAAACAATTCGGAACATGATTTAGCAACTTTTGATTTTAAATTGAGATCCTAGAATGCTGTTTTTCTCGGAATATGAAGCTGAAGCTGAGCTGAAACTTCATCAAGTAAGTTGTTCAGTATCCTTCATTAGATTTTGAACACTTTTGTTGCTTCAAACGAACAAAATGCACTAATTACAAATGATGGACTACAGCTTTAAATTATTCTGGAGTGAATTAGGCTGACCTCGATCCTCCAAAATCTACCTCTTACTCATAAAGCAATCCAAACTTAATTGAACGTTCAAATGTGTCTTCAGTCTTTTCCAAACAATCTTCCAAAAATCAGCCACCACCACAACATGGATTCCAGAGGATTGAGGAGGATTAGGGTTAAAGGGAATGTACATCATTGGCTTTGTAATTTTCAGAAAAGAACTATTTGAGGGGTTAGTATAATAGATCAAATATTGTTACACTGACATGTTTGAAGATTTGTGTTCGAAAATGCTTGAAAATCCAAGAAAAACAAAATTGTTTAAGTAGTCTGGTTCCCTGACTCCACTAAAGATAAAATGGATCAATTTATAGGTGTCGGAAAATTGTAAGGTAAGGGAACCAGTCTAGCCGGCCTGCACCCGTTCATGAACATATAATCAATAGCAAAATAAATTTGGACTGAAAAAATTGTAAATTTGGAGCAGTAGTTGAAAAATAGTTAGGTTTTTCCAACGGTGGTCGGCCGACCACTGTTGGAAATGTATACAAAAATACCATTTTCTTGAAAATGACTTCACACCAGGTGCCATAATTTTACAGGATGCTTTAGACTGTCATTTACCAACATCCTTGTAAGGTATTTTGTAAAAACTTGGTAGTTTCATTTTTCGATGTTTGCAAATGTTGTATATTCCCTTTAAAATGATCCTGTTGATAATTAATCATTCTCCGTGCACATGTGTCCCTCAAGTGTTACAACAGTTAAAAGATCACTTCATGCATTGTTGAGGGTACCTGCTTCTGTAAAGACTCTACAGTGCCATAGTGTGTGAGGTAGGGGTCGTTCAGACACCGTTTTAAATTCCCTTAAAACACCGGTTGAACTCGATTCAGTGTAACTTTCTTGTTAAAACGATGTCTGAACGCTTTTTTATTTAGACCGAATCGAGTTTAACTCGAATATAAAACGGCAACTTAAACCCCCTCGGAGGGAGGGTTAAGCGAATAACCAGAACGAGTTTATCTCCTAGTACGATGTCTGAACAGTTTTAGCTAAAACGCTGCCCGTTTTAGCCAGCGCAGTGACCCGGAGTTACGCAACGCCTTTTCTGTGGCGCGCTTTTTTATTAAGCAAACAATGTCCTAATTCTCCTACCGTTAAAAAAAAAATCAAATTTCAAGTCCAATTTCCACAAGTTTTCTGACCACATAATTATGTGCACATGGTCCGAGTTTCACATCATGCTCACTCGTACCCGACTCACAATGCCATGACAAACGTGTAGATGCCAACGCAACAACCGCTAACCTGAGCATAATTATCATAATACATTAATATATTCAACTTCCAGGAAAACCTTGGCGTTGATTAGTCAATATTGCAACGTTAATATCACGTGTATTTTCACGTGACTGACATGTTGTGCGGGAAAGTTGATGCAGTATACCTTGAGAGAAATCTCGTCAATGACGTCTTGTTTCCAACACTGATTTTCGAACAACTTTCAGAACATTTTTGGAATTTTGCACCACGAAGGGTACAGAAAATAGCCCCCAAACTGTAAACACAAATGGTGTATATGTAAGGCCAATGTACGATACTTCCAAAAAAATAGGGAAATCGCCGCGGTGGACAAGTGACTGTCGTTATGTTTACCGGCGTGCCACAGTACATGACCGGCCGAGGCTGCGATGTCAAACACGGCATGGCAACATGCATCACACGGTGAGGGGCTCAGACCACGTGTAGTGAACTGTAAAAATGGAAGAGTGATCGAAGGCTCTTTTTAGCGCGCAGTTTTTGCCGAGGCGGATGTTCTACGTGACCTTAGAAATTGAGATAAACTACTTTGAGTTGAACTTGTTACACTTAAAACGATGTCTGGACGCTCGGTAGTTTTATTTTTTACGATGGACCTCCCGTGGCGAGCGACAGTTTTAACTTTTACTGTTTTAGCTAACACGGTCTCTGAACATGGCCCTAGTGTTGCAACACAATGTGTGGCTCCCACTGCAGCACTTGTGGGTGTTGACAACGCACCACACATGGAGTCCATGCAGGCCATCAATCACACTCATTATGAGATAGAATAATGATGAATTCACAAACCTGCGTAATATTAGCGACATACAGAGCAGCCGCCTTGCCTGATTTGAGTCGTGCAGCCAGTACAGGCATTGCTTCATGCGGTCGCTCCATGTCGATGACTGCTCCGTCTACTAACAACGCAGGGTCTAGGTCTTTATGGCAGCTCTGTAATGTACCTTGAGAATTAAAAAACAAAGAGAAAAGGGAAGGATTGTTAAAGTTGCAGTGAAGCTGCTGAAACTCTTTAGCATTTATACCTTAATTTATTTATTGTTATGGTGTCCTTAACCTGTGACATTTGGACCTCAAAGCTCTTCCAAAGATATATAAGAGCTTGTCGGACTATATTCAACATTTTAACTCATATTTGGAAGAAAGTTTCAAATCAAGAATCCATTTAGATTTTTTTTTTCTCGATATGGTGACATTGGCCTTTGACATTCAACCACAAAACCAATTGTAACTTGTGCAGCTGACAGACTCGCTACTGCTGCAGGAGGTTAGGCCAAAAAAAAAAAAAAAAAGTCGGTCTCTGGTCAGGGTGCGCGTCGATTTTAATCATGCGCGTCAATCTTTTTTTTTCTAAAATGTTCCGCGGTAGCTCCAACAGCGCCCATCTATTGCCGCACCTCCTCATTTTTTTTTTTACCAAAGAGCACCAAGGAATGGGAAATTGCACCAAGGCAAATGATCGAGAGCACCAAGGAAAATTATGAAGGACAACAATGTACATGTACATGAGGACACCAAAAAAGCAAAATAGTACCCCATCTTGTCTGTACAATCCAAGCTTGAAGAAAAAAAAAATTCAAGAAAAAAAAAAAAAAAGCCGCGTCCCCGCGTTAATTCCGGAACTTTGGTCTGACCAGAGACCGAATATTTTTTTTTTGGCCTTAAAGGCTGCAGAGTCAAATATGTACATGTAGTCGCGGTACGTGTGATGGACTTGAGATGGTTCACAAGTCATATCAAGTCAATCAAATTAGGTTTTGCCCTTCACCGACGTATAAACACTTTATACTCAGTGTGTTACCTCCCGAGTGAAAGTTGGAAAAAAAATAACTCGGGTGGGACTCAAACCCACGACCTCCTGCTTTTTAGTGCAGATGTCTTACCACTCGACCACCGAGCTAACGGGATCGGTTGGCTAGTTTGAATCTAATGTACATAGCAGCGGGTACCGCATTAACTACTAATAAGATGGGATTTTGCATCAGGGTGATGTAAATCAAATTAGGTTTTGCCCTTCACCGACGTATAAACACTGTATACTCAGTGTGTTACCTCATATCAAGCCCATTTTTATTTTATTTTATCTTCAAACAAATTTAAATCCTGGATCCTGAATCCTGATTGCTTATTATCCATGGCAACAACAGTGTGACATTATCCCACACAGCATGGTCCATACAGCACTATAGTGCACACACTATTTCTGCTACACACCCGTATAAAACTGCTGAAAACTTAATCTAGCATTCATTCCATCATTAATGTAGGTCAAGGTTGCTTGAAGATAAATTTGTTATCTCAATCATGTTTGTAAAAAGTTGAAAATGTAGTGCTTCTACACTTATGTCCCATATGCTTCTGAGAATATGGAACACAAAAGCACCACATTTTTTTGGTGTTCCACTCACACTCGTGAGATAACTAATAGTTTGAATCTCATGGTTGGATCTCTCAGGACACGGCACTAAAATCCGTATTTTTCCGACTGGACAGGATTATCACCTCTTACCTGAGTGAAAGGAAACATTTTCTGGCCACGGCTGCCAAGGATGACAAATGTTCCAAGATGACGCCCATTGCTTAACATTCTTAGCAGCTCTCTTTAAATGTTCAGGCTTAGCTTCAAAGGAGTGTACACAACCTCCTGGGCCCACTGCAAATTGATTCAAGATGATATGGACAAAATGAAGACACGTACGTCTTTAACCCCTTTGTCTTGTTTTGTTGAGGTTTATGGTTTCAGGGAGGGTAGGGGTGATTTTTTTCCCAATCCTTGATTTCAATGCTTGCAAACTATAGGGCCCTAGCACTATACAGGGTGGATAAAAAAAAACGAAACCGAGATATTATTGCTAATTGGAACAGAAGTAGGGCACATGTGAATCAAAGGGAGATATCCTCTATTAGGGTTGAATCTCCTCTTTAAAATGACACCCTGATCATGTCCTTACATTCACGGTTGACTGAGCAGTGACCAAGTTTATGAAAGGGTCTATTAAGAGGCTTGTGCCACTTTTAATGGTGAAATCTCTTTTTTTCCCACCTGCCTTGATCGGCAACCATAGCCTTTCACTCTGTGACAAATGACAACACAAAAACCACAATTGAAAAGTGGCGCAAGCCTGTAGATTGACCCTTTTTTATAAAACTGGTCACTGCTCAGTCAACCGTGAATGCAATGACATGATCAGGGTGTCATTTTAAAGAGGAGATTCAACCCTAACAGAGGATATCTCCCTTTGATTCACAAGTGCCCTACTTCTGTTCCAAATAGCAATAATATCTCGGTTTCGTTTTTTTTTTATCCACCCCATTTTGGATCATTTGGACTGCAGCCATTTTTGAGTGCTTTTGTTCAACAGGGATATCAGTAGACATCTTGTGCATTCATTGTTAATGAATTAACATAACAAAACACACCCCCAAGATGGCTGCTAAATGCAACCAATCTATTATGTCAGGTGAGGGTTGATACAAAGAATGTGGCATTTAGTTTCACCAACTGCAGGATATTGCCAGATTCAGAAGGGGTTCAACGGGTGAGTCTCCTTTTGATACAAATACTTTAAAGCTATAGTCCATCATTTGCAGCCATCCGAAAAGTAACTGGCGTAATTACTGTTGAAAAAAAAACTTGGTTGAAAGATAGTAAGGGAACTAAACTCCCTGTGAAATTATTCTTTCTGGGAAGCTGTCATTTTGAAGTAATCAACGAAAGAAGGCATTTCCAACGGTGATTCTTAAGAAGCACCGTAGGAAAATTTAAATTAGTGGTTCGTTTTGTTATTCAGCGCAGCGCGCACAAGTATTGGAACGACGCACACGCGCGCGCGGTTGTTATAATTCGTCGGATCAGTGCGCGACGCCGCGTATAGCTGCAATTACAAAACAATTCAAAACATGATTCAGTAACTTTTGATTTGAAATTGAGATCTTAGAATGCTGTTTTTCTCGGAATGTACAGCTGAAGCTTAGCTGAAACTTCATCAGGTTAGTTGCTCAGTATCCTTTATTAGATTTTGAACACTTTTGTTGCTTCAAACGAACAAAATGCACTAATTACAAATGATGGACTATAGCTTTAAAACACCTAGTTTTACATCATGAAATAAATAAACATACACAAACCAACATAAAGGGACAGAGAAGATATTGAAAGAAACCATGCTCATATGCTATTTTTCCATGAGGCCAACAGGAGGATTTTGCAGGATTGAGGCTACATCCAAGCAAAAAGGCCTAGGGAGTTAGGTTAATTCAATGAACAGACCTGCTCTAGATAGGAAGAGCGTCATTGCTCCAGACCCGGCGCCTGCTTCTAAGATCACATCTCCTTGACTGGCATCAATCATCATCAGCATTGTGCAGCAATCCTATCATCCAAAACACCACAAAAACAAATACACAAAATGGCACTTGAAAACTTCTACTTTCAAGTTCGAGTAATTTCAGAGTTGGGGCACAGTAATGGTTAATTTTACAGGGCCCTTTTTTCCCCGCCAAAACACTGCTTTTTTTAACAGCTTCATCCACTTACATGTTGTTTTAACAGAGATGCCGCAAATCCATCAATAAAAAGCCTGAAACGCTACTAAAAAACCTGAAACTACCCTTACCCCCTTTCAAAAATGTGTTTTCTGGATGTTTCAGACCAAATCTAGCACTTTTAAAATGTCACATTTCTTGAAAGAAAAACCTGAATTCAGGTTAAAACCTGAAAAGTGGCATCTCTGTTGTAAAGACTTTAGTATTAAGAGTGGCTCTGGTTGACCAAAATAGATTTTGGTTTTAGGCAAGTACACATTATTGATGAATTTTTAAATGATCAGCCTCTGATGTCATTCTGGATTATTACAACAGTTGATCTCTCAAAGTAGTCACTTTTATCTGCAGAATAATTTGATTCGGCGCAACTCTGTAACGCCAGTCTTAAATAAGGGAATAAATATGTGCTTGGCCAGTTTTAAACAATTACGTTTGGAACCGGCTAGGGGCATGGACGCCGATAACTCGGCTCGGGGCCATTATCGGCGATTAGGCCCCTACCTGGTTTTAAGCCTACTTGTTTATACCTTTAGGTACAGAAGTCAAAACAAGTCAAAAACTATAAATTTCCAATGATTCTGTTCATCAATTTTGCTTTATGTTTTGTGAAACACCCCTCTAGCTATGTTTATGGTATGTGCCTTGCACGAGTAGTACTAAAAATCTCCTATGGAGACTGTGCAAGTGTAGCGTGCACTGTGCAATGTGGCACAGAACGCAGCAGTGCCGGTGTTGTGTGAATTTAGGACTATGAAATACGGAATCACTGGTAGTATTGCGCATGCCTACATGTAAGTGAAGATAAAATAGAGTGACTGGTCATGTGTGATGGTTCAACCAATAAAAGAGTGAAAGTGACCAGATTTCATAGGAGTCCAAATTTCGTGTAACACCGGGAAAAAGTGTTAAAAAGCAGTCTGTGTTTTATCAACCGTTTAAAACCACCCACATGACAGGCTCCCGACCAATAGGAATGGGTAAACTGTCTCAGGTATTTATGAATGGAAGTTACTAACCTTTGGATAAGATATAACAGGTATTCGCTTCATGTACAACACAAACTCTTCCAGGGAGGGTCTGCGAATCAGGACATCTATACCCAAGTCTGTGGTGAATGTTTTTCCGGCTGGATGACCAACTAGATCGGCATGTGAGATGGTACCAAACTTGGAGGAGAAGTCCTTATTGGCATTCAGTGGGAACATCCTAGATGTGATTGAGGAATGAATAAATATTGATATCAGTGGTCAAGTCAAGACCTCCCTGGCCTTGACCAAGGACAGCACCGAGAAGGCCCCAGACCATGCCCAAAACTGAGACCTTAGTCTTTGAGAACAAGATCCAAACTTTGTGTTCAAGACTGAGTCCCAAGACTAAGTCCTAAGACTTAGTCCTAGTACTAGTACTACAAGGACCCTGTGTAAACCTAGCCTGTCAATTCAATTTTGTAGAACTTCACCTGAAGTAGTGTTCAAATATACTGTAACTATCACTGTTCTATCATAGATCTGCAACCCTCTGTAAGGCAAAATAAAAAAAAAAACATGTTTAGCGTCCTGCCTCTTTGACAAAAAGGAAGGAGGAGGCCCTTTTTTTTTTTTTTTTTCTTTTCAAAATGGCCGCCCGACACATTTTTCAAGACAACGCGGCCGGGCTATTTTTCAAGATGGTTACCAGCTTTTTTCAAAATGGCCGCCACTTGGACTCATTGACTATTTCCACAGCTTTATACACGGTATAAAAGTCTAAAAATACGATTTCTTTCGTCAGAGATCGTTAAAATTTATCAATTTTTGTCTTTAAAAAAAAAAAAAAAAAAAAAAAGGAGGCGGCCTCTAAAAAGGAAGCGGGCGGGGACGCTAAACATGTTTTTTTTTTTACTTCGCCTAAGACCGTTGTTTTGGGCGCAAACCGATTGCTTTGCAATCATACTGGCTCCTGGCCCCTACATTATCGAAACTGATTGATTGATACTTATTGTCTGCCAGCCAATAATTTGAAATTGTAAAGTAATAATTGAATGAACACTGTCCAATTTTTTTCAGTCCGTCTCATAAAAAAGTGGATAACTTTTGTAGTCCTAGAAAAACATCAAATTACGAAAGGATTTTTTTTTCGGGATGAAACTCAAAAATAGCATGGGGAAGGCAATTTTAACCTGGACGAACACACCAAACATACATGTAGGTGTAGATACAAACCTGTAGAGATATTCATGTCGTTTGAAGTTTTCCCTGACAGCTAGGACCATCTCACCATCCACCATAGGAGGGTTGTCCTGAAATCTCCCAGGCTTGTTTATACCCTCACTGCCTCTGTCCACATCTCTCACGCTGGCATCCGATTCAGCCCTGTCAAAGGCATTATTGCCACCACTTTTTTCCTGATCTTTGCTTTGGAATTCAGATTTGCTCTGAGTAGTGGTTTTACTGTCCAGCTGTCCATTGCTGGTCTCGACACCCATCATTTGGTCCAGCCTCTCCGTGGGTGACAAGCTCCGCCTACCAGCATGAAGTCCCCGCCTCCTCGCTTCCAGGTAACTCATCCCTTCCTTTGACCTTGTCTCCCCGTCAGCACTCTCATTTCCATCAGATTTGGTCTCTGTGAAATTTCTACTTTGAAAACAGGAACCCCAACTACTGCACTTATTCAGCACTGTCTTTATTGAATATGGGTGATTGCAGAACTTGAAGGTGTTTGAGTTTGGAACACACAAACAGAGATGTTTCAAAACATCCCGGTGTCTCTGCAAGACATGAGCTCTGTTGAAGTGCCATCCTATTTGAGGTAGCGTTCCAGTTGAAATGTCTGCTCTTTCAGACGTACATGTAGTCCTTACAGCAAGCAGGACGGGTCTTGAGACTCCACATGGTTGCCGTCCTGTCATCACCGGCCATTGCTCGAGGCTTTTCCTGAAAAATCTCTGGATGACTTTCTGGCAATCGTGCCGAAGAAGTGAATGCTGCACTAGAAAAGGTGTCTCCATCATCATAATTATAGTCTGTTGAAGAAAAATAATAAAGTCATATTTTGTAGTTCATCTGGAAAATAAACTCAAAAACAACGTTAAACTTGTACGTGTTTGTAGACTCTTTTCATCAGTTTCTCACCGCCGAGTCTATTCTAGTCGTACATGGTGTACGTCTGTGCAGCGTGTAGTCTGGTTCCCTAGACCGGACAATTATTATCGACGCTCATATCACGTCTGATCCGGGGGCCAGACTATGCAGCATAAATATGCAGTGCGCACGCGCGATTTGCTTAGTAACCACCCTCAAACGCACGCGCACTTACTTGAAGGCGCGGTCGCTAATCCAATGACCGAGCGTGTTTTCGCGCCAGTTACAAGAAACACGTTTCGGCTTTGGTCATTGGTTGAGCGTTTTTGTGACATCGGTTGGCTGGAGTAACGTCACGGTTCCAATCAAAACTAAGCAAATGAGGGCGCTAGCGTGCGTGCGCGCTTTCGTACGCACGTACATTGTACATACGACGTACGACTCTGGGAATAAACTGATGAAAAAAGACTACAAACACGTACAACTACAAGTTTAACGCTGCTTTAGAGTTTATTTTCCTGATTAATGTCGGTCAGCATCACATATGGAATTCCTGAACCCCGCGGCCCAAAAGGCAAGGACACATAGAAAATGTAGGCGTACATGTACAATAAGCTTCTGTAACGAGGTAAAACGTAACAAAAATCTGGTCCAAATTTTGGGTGATCTTATGTAGAGAATTCTCATCCTGGATGTTAGTCCACCTGGGCTAGGGAACGCCACTGTTGTGCCCATTCTTGAAAATCACGCATTCTCGAGAATGGGCATGCACATTCTTGAGAATGTGCAACTGGATCCTTGCTCAATCTTGGCAAAAAATAACTCTTCCAGATTGAGCGCACATTCTCGAGAATGCGCGACAAGATAACGGTCTTGTCGATGCCGAGCACCGGCTGCACTTGGCAAGTCTAGCTGAATCCTCGTTCACTGATTCTCAATAATTATACTGTTGCAACGCAAGGCGCTTAAAAGTAGAGTGGATATGATCAGTAAAGGCGTATTAATATGGGGGGGGGGATTGGGAAAATATAAGAGACATTATACTAGTGCAAAGAATTCTGATTTTTTGGGATAATAAAAGCGGGGGGGGGGGGGGGGGGGACGTAAGAATGAAGAATGTGAAGAATGAGAATGAATACTGCGACATCCCATAGTGCTAATGCTATTTCCCATTTAAATTGCCACCAATTTATTGTTCACGTCCCACCATAACGTCGCAGAGCTAGATTCTATCTAGTCAAAAGGGCAATTTTGGCAGCTTCTGGACATCGTTTTTTTTTCGTGGCACGCATATGATACATGCAGGGACTTGTAACTTGTCTAGCCTAAACAAAGCACTTCCCAGACTAGTTCCCAGTCCTCCGTTATTACAAAACTTCCCATAGTGGGCAGAAAAAAAGCAATAATAACAGGTTTAATTTGATTCAAATTATCGTAGTTATACGAGTACAGAAGCATAGCACATTTTCTTTCCTCTTTATATGAATTGTTTCCCTTTTAACCGCTATACAATTCATTTAACATAATTATGTCGTGCAATGTTTGTTAAGATTGGGCAAAATTCATAAATTGTGCACGTGATATTCCCACCCAATCTTAAGAATGAGCGCTCATTCTTAAGAATGCGTGCTCGTTCTTAAGAATGGGCGCTCATTCTTAAGAATGCGCGCCCATTCTCGAGAATGTGCATGCCCATTCTCGAGAATGCGTGATTTTCAAGAATGGGCACAACACCACCAATAAATTTAGAGCCCGAGGCGAGGCGTTCTAAACTACACTTTTTACCTTATTACATGCATGCATCATGCATGCATAATCCATCTTCAGAATTCACGTTCTTTAAGAACTTTTACTGGTTCTCAATCTAGTTGTCTGAAGTGGGTTTGCTGAGTCAGCAATGTTGACACTTAATCCATTATTAACTTACAAAGTCAAATTCGCCAATGTAGCAAGCGGTATTAAAAGCACGTGCCTCGCGAAGTAGTGAGATGAGCTAGCTAGCTGCATGCAAGTTCATATAGCGCCCTCATGAGATCCTCTGGGAAAAAAAGTTGTGTCAGCCAGGTCTAGCGGACGAGCTTCAGTACTCAAGTTTTAATGCGAATTTTCTTTCGACTCATTCGAAACACAGCAATTGTAAACAAAAAATGGATTTGAAGTTAGCACAGAGCTTCAATAAAGATCTAGAAAATGTATCAGCCGTCATTGGCGTCACTAGGATTTTTCCTGGGGGGGGGGGGGGGGGGGGGGGGCAAAGCACATATCCCCCCAATAAAATCATTGTACTTTCTTTAGTTTAGCATATTCTCAATGTATCATTTTTTCGAGGGTGGGCGGGGGACATTTACCCACTCCACCCCCACCCATGCAGACGCCGATTTTGTTAAATGTGTACTTAATAGCAAATACGACTTCACACCTCTTTTTTCCCTTCCTTTTTCAGTTTTTTTGGTTTGCTTTTCCACCAGGGGGGGGGGGGGGGGGGGGCAAGGGCGGATCCAGAACACAATTTTTTTTGGGGGGGGGGCAAAAAAAATTTTTGGTCCCCCCAAAAAGTGGGTCAAAAAATTACGGCTCTGTGGTGCGATCTGAGGCAATTTCTGACCACTTTAACCAATGTTTTTTGAGGAAAAGATGGTGGTGTTCTCATTGCCTGCCTTTATTGCGACGTCACATAAAAAAACCTTTGCCCCCCCCTGGATCCGCCCTTGGGGGGGGGGGGGCTTGCCCCATCCTGGCGACGCCCATGGCGGGGTGACGAAATCAGGCGTTCACGTGGCAAACCTGACAGCCAGCATGGAGTTATTATTCAAAACCAACCATTTTAATGTTGGCCTTTGGCGATACTTATGAACCGATGGTCCCTCGTGCTATGTTCGAGTTTCACATATTTCAAATTGCTATTTTCCTAGCATTAGGCCAAAAAATAAAAATATTCGGTCTCTGGTCAGACCAAAGTTCCGGAATTGACGCGGCCACGCGGCTTTTTTATTTTTTTTTTCCTTTTTTTTTTTCTTCAGCTTGGATTGTACAGACAAGCCTTATTTTGCTTTTTTGGTGTCCTCATGTACATTGGTAGCCTCCATAATTTGCCTTGGTGCTTTCGATCATTTGCCTTGGTGCAGTTTCCCATTCCTTGGTGCTCTTTGGTAAAAAAAATTGAGGAGGTGCGGAAATAGAGGACGCTATTGGAGCTACCGTGGAACATTTTGGAAAAAAAAAAGATCGACGCGCATGCTTAAAATCGACGCGCGCGCTGACCAGAGACCGACTTATTTTTTTTTTGGCCATAAGTCATTCACTTTTGAATGAGACAACGAACGAAAAAAGTTCCACTGCGTCCGACGTGTACTTCTTGAATGAGTTTCTTCACAAAATTTGATGGCTGCCAGACTATTTGTCTGGCAGCTAATAAATCCAATTTATGCCTCTCGCATGCAAGGTGGGTTATTTTGTGCACAAAATGAAAGCCCCTTTTCAGTGGGTAAAGCAGAAGCCAAATATCGGGGAAAAAATTTTGGTTTTTTTGCGAAAAGAAAACATACAAACTGAAATTCGTTACCAAAAAAAAAAATCATTTTTTTAAGAGTCTTGAATGACATAAAAGTTAATATATAATTGATATGATAGATCATTGATTACACAGACGTGACAAACTTGACAGCCAGCATGGAGTTACTGTCTAAACCAGCCATTTTATGATGTTCTTCTTCGCAACTCATTAAGGGGATTTGAACGAAATACATTGTTGACTGGTGGTCTGAAATTATATTTGCCTTAGTGCAATTTCATATCAAATACGGAGCTTCCAGACTTTCTTATTTGATACAAATTATGCGTCAGGGAGATATGTCAATTGATTTAAAAGTAGGACTGTCCGAGGGATTGCGAGACGTCTCACTACTCGACCACCGACATTGACGGGGTCTGCAAGGTTCGAATCACTTTGAAGCTGCCAAGTTTTGCAATCAACGAGAAGATGAAAGTTGCCAAACTTTCGCAAATGTTTTCGAAGAAACCTGACGCTTGACAAAAACCTTAAAATGACATGTAACATAAATTAATGGAAACCCCGGGCGTTCTAATAGGGCCCATATTTTTTTTCATTGCTGAAAAACTAATGAACTAGCCTTGTCAAAATATGCATTTATCAATATTGCTAATGAATTTCTTCTTAAAGCTGTGAAAGAGCTGGGGCGCTTTGACGTTATAGATTTTTATCATGCTGCCACCATTTCAGTCATGTTCCCTGCATCACAGTGCTGAATGATGTTTTTTTTGTGCAAAAAGGAACCAGAGTATTTTCCTTCCAGCCTCGCTAAGGTTACGTTGATTTAAATGGGAAAACATCAAGATGGCCGCAACATGATAATGGTCCATTATACATGTTCTTGCAAGAACAACAAAGACAATGAAAATACAAAAATAAAACATGTTTAGTATAAACCCAATAAAATGACTTCATCAGCAAAATGTTATATGTACATTTGTATTAAATACAACATAACCATGAAATTATGAACATTCAGTGAAGCTAAAAGAAGTTCACTGATTGTTCTACATTATAAGTACAGCATTCCTACGATTACATAGTCAGTGTTAAAATTATCAAACTTGAGTTGTTAAAAAATACTAATTTCAATTTTGTAAACAAATTTATCCTTTTATGTATTACGTCAATAGTATTAAAATCCACCTTCCATTCATCATTTATTTTAAACAACAACAATGTGCAATTTCATTCCTTTTCCATTTTGTCTATATAAAGAAACGTATAGGCCTAGACGCTATCCTTGTACAGACTACAGAGGAGGTTTTTTTATTTAGTTTAAACACATTTAATGTTCATTTGTGTCTTTTAATTGTTATTTTATTGTTGTATTATCATGGCACGCAATTCAGTTTTTAACTGTTATATGTCACGCTTTTAAATAAACCATAATCCAAAACCAAACTATAAACCATAACCAATCTAGAAAAGATCTAAAAGTGTGTGCTCAATCAACCACCAATTAACAACCACCAATTAATGGTAAACGTAAAACAATGTTAATAATGAATAAGTTCATCATCAATATAAATATTTTCAGATACTCAAAATCTCAGACTTTTATGAAAAATATGAAGTCACGCCGTTATAGTGAGCAACTTGAGAATGACACCCGTTGCAATAATGTGTACATACTTCGCAACCAATTTAACCAATGTACGACATATATACCGCTCCAAGATTATAGTCTCTGAACAATCTGCTTCGGCAAGAAGGTTTGAAGGTCCCCTAGACTTGCAGAAAATGAAGGATGCTAATAGTAAACAGCATCGCCCCAAAACTCCTCCTGCATCAGGGTGAGAAAAAAAACCCCAACAGTTTAGCTGAAAAATGTAAATTATACCATGGAGCTATTTATAGCTCAATGATTAAACCGATCCTTGTTAGTGGGTGAAAAATTCGTTACGTGTTCCGCCTGGCATTCTTGGAAAATAATAAGGCGAAAAGCATAGAGCTATATTGAATTGGGTTGTTGCCTGGCGGGACTTTAATTTGTAAAAAAAAAAAAACAGGCATACTGTCGTCTGCTCCACTGGTAAAATGGAATGACCACCGTTAAATCATGGAGCTATATTCAATTCGTATATCAAGTTCCCGCCATCTTAATGGCTACCCAGAAATCGTCCGGTTACGTCATGCACTACACCCGGGCAGCCTCCACTGCTCGCGAGCTGGGGCATTGGTGGTGGACACTACAGACACAACTGTCACGCTACTCAACTAGGCCCAAAGAGTTCAATGAAGATACAACTACCACCCCCGCTCTATAAAAGAAAAGATGTGGTTTTGTTTGGTGTGTTTTTTGCAGTAGAGTTTCTTTCCGGTGTTGTTGCAATGTTGTGGTCCAAATACATCCAGACCGTATTGCCTCTACATGTAATTTGTTTAATGATTTGCAAACATTCGGGTCATATTTTCACCGAACAGATTGAAAGTCGGAAGACTACTGAGTGCAAGAATGGTGGATACACTTTTATTAAACACGAGAGAGAAAACCACGATAATTAAGCGGTTAGTATTATAAGCACTGTTGTAAGCCATAGTAGAAAAGTATACTCACTACTGGTGTGTCGGGGACAACGTAAGGCAAGCGAAAGTTGTCCCTTTCCAGGTTACGAACCCAATACTTCAAAAGAAATAAAGAAAAGAAAAATCTGCTACACATTGTATATACAATGTACATGTAAAATTATTTTTGACCAAAATGAGAATGGAAGACAACATTACAGATAAATATAACGAAAAAGGATAATTTTGATCTTGGTAGAGTTTGTTGAACATTTACATTCAGCATGCAGCCATAATATATTGAGCTGTCTTCTTTTTTTCAGTAACAGTGAACGTACAAGAACCAAACTAATGCGTACATCTCTGTGCAATATCAACAACATCCTGAAGATGAATGCAAAATATCCATTATAGACTTTTCTGCCTACCTGAGATGGGGGACGTGTCGTAGCTCTGTCTACAAAACCCACACCGAAGGATCTTTGATGATGATATCTGGGTGTGTTTGTCTCTGGCTTTTCAACACTTCTTGCGAAGCGAGCATGTATCATGATTACCGCCGCCATCAATCCCACGATAGCAAGAACCAGAACTCCCACAGCAGCCAGAATGACAACAACGGGGAAATTATCACCTTCCGAGTCTGGGCCTATTTTGTTATATAAAATAGATGGCATTATGAAAAATAATGGAATTATGCTTAGGGAATGCTTTCAAGTTCACCTTTTTTGTTGTTGAAAATATTTCATCCGAGCTCAAAAGGTGCCCTGACATCTCAGAGAAAACTCCGAGATGTTCCTGGATCGACGTGATTACGTTTACATTTAGAAGTAAATTATCCATAACGTAGGCCTACTCCCATTTGGTAAATTTTGTATAACTATGGCCAAATTCTTAGTCAGTCCCCATGTACATTTCCCATGAATTTCTCAAACAAAGAAGTAAAAACAAGCAATTTAGATAATTCTGACTTATGCTTCATCAAATTCATTGGCACAAAAGCTTGCGCAAAGTCAAGAATATCTTCTTCTTTTTTCAACTGAAACTGATCAATGAAAAACAATTTTGTTCCGTTAACTGTAGAAAACTGAGTTTTACTTCAAGGTTTTGTTTTCTTACATTGTTGATTCATACATTTACTCATTATACAAGATAGACACTACACAGACCTCCGTTTTCGCACAGACGTCCCGCGTAACCTTCCACGCATCTGGATGAGGAAATGAAACAAGAACGAGATTAGCATATCTTTATAATTATCGTATTTATTTTCAAACATTGCAATTCGTCACTTCAAAATCCTGCCCATTTTCAAAGAAAAAAAGTAATTTTATAATCACATAATGTTAAGACTTACTCGCAAGAATACACGTGGTCTTGGGGGCTTCCTACTTGCTTGCAGATGCCGCCATTTGTGCAGTAGTTCGTGGGGCAACCTTGATTTGGAACTGTTCAGAAATAAATAAAATACATCAATGATCATTTGCCGGAGACGGTGTAGTAAGACTGGAGTCCAGGACACGGACTCGAGTCAGTCTGGAGTCCAGGACACGGACTCGAGTCAATCTGGAGTCCAGGACACGGACTCGAGTCAATCTGGAGTCCAGGACACGGACTCGAGTCAATCTGGAGTCCAGGACACGGACTCGAGTCAGTCTGGAGTCCAGGACACGGACTCGAGTCAGTCTCGATTCGTAATCTCGATTACTTGGACTCGACTCGAGTCACTTGTGGGGAAAAAAGACTTCAAATTGAGACGAATGACTCGTGCCCCACCTTGTTTTAAACAAACAAAAAATAACTGTAGTAAATAGTTCCGACGTTATTTTTTTATCGAAAGTAACGCCGCTGAAGATAAATAACACTCACCAGGTGGTAATGCAAATAAGTGTTTATTAAATGCGCCTCTCCTTATTTCCTCACAACAGCGCATCCTAATATCCATATCGCTACGTGTACCTGGTTCCATGTCCATGCACATCAATATCATACAATGCATGACTCGGAATCGGACTCGAATCAAATGACTCGATACTCAGGCTCGGACTCGACCCAAGTGACTCCAAACTCGGACTCGAACTCGACTCAAGTACTCGACGACAACACTAATATTTACGATACCTCAATAGCATGTGATGTAGAAACACAACTTAATTAAAGTTCAAATTCCTTTCGCATTATATTATATTCCAGTGAAAATGAATTTAAGTGGCATTAAATGAACCTGCTGCATAGGTAGCTGACGGATCAATAGTAAGTGAACTGGATACATCTCCGTCGTTACTTCCTGCGCTGTTCAGGACTTGGACTAAAGCATTCGCCTCGATCACCGAGTTGGTAGGAAATATGGCAACGCCGTTGACCAGTAAACTCCCATTACGTATCGAAGAAATCACAAAATCCATGACGAGAGCGGTGGATGGTGAACCGCGGAGGATGTCCAACACCTGCAACAAATCAAATCAACATTAATATTTTTCCCCACAAGTAGGCCTAACAACAGATGCGATGGAAAACACGATGAAAAGTTCGACACGATATCAAATTTAAATTTACAAGTAGCACAGTCTATGATTATCGTTTATCAAAGAAGCTATCCATATTCGAGATTATCTGATTCTGTAAAGGGTTACATCTAATAGTCCGACGTCCCATTGGTCCGACGTCCCATTGGTCCCATGAAACATAATAGTACTGTGTAGTTCCACTGGTTCATGTTGACTGACTGTTACAACCGATAATGTATCACCAACCGATAATGTCACACAAATTGACCGATACTGTAACACTGACCGATGATGTAACAACAAATGACCGATAGTGTAGTAAAATGTACTACACTATCAGTCAAAATTTGCAACGTTATCGGTTAGGACCGATAATGTAACAACAATCGACTGATAGTGTAGTACATTTTACTGCACTATCGGTCAATTGTTGTTACATTATCGGTCAGTGATACAGTAGGCCCTATCGGTCAATTTGTGTGACATTATTGGTTGGTGATACATTATCCGTTGGTTACTACATTATCAGTTGTAACACTGACACTGACCCAAGGACGTCGGACCAATGGGACGTCCCCTCTTTAGAGCGCCAAACACCTACCGCCATGGTCACTTGTGCTGATAGCTCACGAAATGCCTGAGAGCTGCTGTCGGTAAGATCATCGGTAAATCTAGCTGATATGCCATTCAACGCGAGGATTCGGAGTCCGACAGTCACTTCAAATGGTAGAGTAAACAAAATTATTATCATTAAATGTCACTTTTCACTTTTAAACTTATATCAGCGAGATGATGTTTTGTGTTGCAAAGGCTTGTGTTGCTCCTTTGTGTAATAATGTCTGAATTGGGCCCACGATTCCTTTGGAGGCTAATTGTATACAGAAATATGATCAGCAAGTTCCTTTAAATATTATCTTTCACCTTATGATGTCATCATTACACAGGGGCGGATCCAGCTATGACTTAAGGGGAATTAAATGTCAAGGGTGGGGGTGGTTAGCAGTCAGTTTTGTGCATTGAAACGTCCATAAACAACTCTGTTGCAAACTATGTAGATGACTGTCGTTTTGAACATTAATTTTTTTATTTTAAAAGAATATGGCCACCAGCGTTGATGATGAATCAATAAATAGTAAATATTTGATTATTCGGGTGCACCACGAAGTGACGTATATATCGTCTATGGACTTTGTGCACATGATCACTTCGTGGTGCGACCGATAGCATAGCCATTGTTATCAGAAAGTCTCTGTCGGCCAGCAGCGTATCTGTTTTAGTATGCCGGGGCAACATTAAGACTTTACTGTATCGATGCCTGAACCGATCCTAGAAATACCTTCCGTAGTCAACTGTAGAGTAGAATCGGTAGTGGCCAGTCGGTCAGTGGTGAATTCAGACGTGGATGAACGGCCAGTCGTTGATGATTCTGTTGTAAGCAGTTGGTTGATTGTCGATTCTGCTGCTTTCGTTTCAGTCGACAATAATGATGACGATGACAACGATCCTGGGAGAAAGAAAAACACACCAAATCACATTACATGGACAACTATTGTCAAAAAATAATTCTACATGGTCATAAAAGTTAGCGAGAAGAACTTTTAAAATGAACTCTTTTTCCATTGAAACTGCATGGTCACTGTTGTGAAAAGAATCTGTAGATGACTGTCGGTTGTACATCAATTTCAAAGTATACATATATGGACGGCCAAAACTGAAAGATTTTTGAAAATGCAAAATTGAGGCTTGCATATTGTTACCTTCTGTAGTCAACTGAAGAATAGAATCAGTAGTGGCCAGCCGGTCCGCAAATTCAGAAGTGGATAATCGGCCAGTTGTTGATGATTCAGTTGAAAGTAGTTGGTTGATTGTCGATTCTGCTGCTTTTGTTTCAGTAGTCACTAATGGTGACGATGATAACGATTCTGGAGGAAGGGCAAAACTCACCCAATTAATAATAATAATTCTCCATGGTCATAAGTTAGAGACAATCCTGATATCCATATCGCTACGTGTACCGTGGTTCCATGTCCATGCACATCAATATCATACAATGCATGACTCGGAATCGGACTCGAATCAAATGACTTGATACTCAGGCTCTGACTCGACCCAACTGACTCCAAACTCGGACTCGAACTCGACTCAAGTACTCGACGACAACACTTTACGATACCTCAATAGCATGTGATGTAGAAACACAACATAACTAAAGTTCAAATTCCTTTTGCATTATATTATATTCCAGTTAAAATGTATATAAATGGTATTAAATGAACCTGCTGCATAGGTAGCTGACGGATCAATAGTTAGTGAACTGGATACATCTCCGTCGTTACTTCCAGCGCTGTTCAGGACCTGGACTAAAGCATTCGCCTCGATCACCGAGTTGGTAGGAAATATGGCAACACCGTTGACCAGTAAACTCCCATTACGTATCGAAGAAATCACAAAATCCATGACGAGAGCGGTGGATGGTGAACCGCGGAGGATGTCCAACACCTGCAACAAAACAAATCAACATTCATATGTTTCCCCACAAGTAGGCCTAACAACAGATGCGATGGGAAAACACGATGAAAAGTTCGACACGATATCAAATTTAAATTTACAAGTAGCACAGTCTATGATCGTTTATCAAAGAAGCTATCCATATTCGACATTATCTGATTCTGTAAAGGGTTACATCTAATTGTCCGACGTCCCATTGGTCCGATGAAACATAACAGTACTGTGTAGTTCCACTGGTTCAGGTTGACTGACACTGACCCCAGGACGTCGGACCAATGGGACGTCCCCTCTTTAAAGTACCGAACACCTACCGCCATGGTCACTTGTGCTGATAGCTCACGAAATGCCTGAGAGCTGCTGTTGGTAAGATCAGCGGTAAATCTAGCTGATATGCCATTCAACGCGAGGATTCGGAGTCCGACAGTCACTTCAAATGGTACAGAAAAAGAATATTATCACTAAATGTCACTTTTGACTTTTAAACTTATATCAGCGAGACAATGTTTTGTGTTGCAAAGGCTTCTCCTTTAAATAATGTCTGAATTGGGCCCACGTTTCCTTTGGAGGCTAATTGTATACAGAAATATGATCAGCAAGTTTCCTTTAAATATTGTGTTTCGCCTTATGATGTCATCATTACACAGGGGCGGATCCAGCTATGACTCAAGGGGGAATTAACTGTCAAGGGTGGGGGTGGTTAGCAGTCAGTTTTGTGCATTGAAACGTCCATAAACAACTCTGTTGCAAAATATGTAGATGACTGTCGTTTGAACGTTAATATTTTTATTTTAAAAGAATATGGCCACCAGCGTTGATGATGAATCAATCAATAGTAAATATTTGATTCTTCGGGTGCACCACGAAGTGACGTATATATCGTCTATGGACTTTGTGCACACGATCACTTCGTGGTGCGACCGATAGCATAGCCATTGCTATCAGAAAGTCTCTGTCGGCCAGCAGCGTATCTGTTTTAGTATGCCGGGGCAACATTAAGACTTTACTGTATCGATGCCTGAACCGATCCTAGAAATACCTTCCGTAGTCAACTGTAGAGTAGAATCGGTAGTGGCCAGTCGGTCAGTGGTGAATTCAGACGTGGATGAACGGCCAGTCGTTGATGATTCTGTTGTAAGCAGTTGGTTGATTGTCGATTCTGCTGCTTTCGTTTCAGTCGACAATAATGATGACGATGACAACGATCCTGGGAGAAAGAAAAACACACCAAATCACATTACATGGACAACTATTGTCAAAAAATAATTCTACATGGTCATAAAAGTTAGCGAGAAGAACTTTTAAAATGAACTCTTTTTCCATTGAAACTGCATGGTCACTGTTGTGAAAAGAATCTGTAGATGACTGTCGGTTGTACATCAATTTCAAAGTATACATATATGGACGGCCAAAACTGAAAGATTTTTGAAAATGCAAAATTGAGGCTTGCATATTGTTACCTTCTGTAGTCAACTGAAGAATAGAATCAGTAGTGGCCAGCCGGTCCGCAAATTCAGAAGTGGATAATCGGCCAGTTGTTGATGATTCAGTTGAAAGTAGTTGGTTGATTGTCGATTCTGCTGCTTTTGTTTCAGTAGTCACTAATGGTGACGATGATAACGATTCTGGAGGAAGGGCAAAACTCACCCAATTAATAATAATAATTCTCCATGGTCATAAGTTAGAGACAATTTTGTGAAAAAGTGAAATATTGTTTTTATTGAAAAATGCAAGGACAGCTCTGTGACAAAATCTGCAGATGACTGTCGGTCGTAATTTGATTTTGAAGTATAATATCTGCCAACTGTCGACCAACAACAACAGCATGTGTGAAAGAATTATTTTGGTAAAATAAACTGGCTTGCTACCTTCCGTATTCAATTGTAGAGTGGAACCGGTAGTGGCCAGTCGGTCATTGGCTAATTCAGAAGTGGATGAACGGCCAGTCGTTGATGATTCAGTTGTAATTAGTTGGTTGATTGTCGATTCAGCTGCATTTGTTTCAGTCGACAAAACTGGTAACGATGACGACGGTCCTGCAGGAAAGGAAAATCTCACCGAATCAGGTAAAGTAATGGTCAGAAGTTATAAGACAATTTGCTGTTTGACCAGTCGTTAACGAAGCTTGGTTCTTCAGTGGATACGTATTCAGTCGTCAATGATAATTCTGCTCGAAAATGTTCCCGTCAAAAAAGAAGAGACAATTTGGCAACCCCCACCCCAAAAAAGGAACCCCGCTCGGCTATTCAGACCAGTAATTATTTTCCAGTTGGTCTGTTGAACAGTCTTAATTACGTTACAATAATTTACCTCCTTTGTTCGATGAATCAGTGGAAGTATGATCGTCGGTCGTCGATAGTGATTCTGTGGTACAAAAGAAACATCTCGTCAAAAATGAAAGGTGTTGATATAATGGTGATGCTGACTGAGGACGGGGGCATGTGAAATGTTTCTCTGATAATCTTATTATCAGTTAAAATGTGGGATATTGGATATTCTTGGTCGAGTGACGTAAGTGTCCGGTGTTTGTTACGCATGTAGGCTTTTATGTGCACTTTCGCATTTAAAACTATTCAACCATCAGAAGGCGTAATTTACGGGAAGATAATAGCGCTATCTGATGACGGTACTGTAGTACGACAATAAACTTCTTTGAAAGTTGGAACAGTTACCGATTGCAAGCGTTGGGGACCTAGGGTTGTCGTTATTAAGTCACTGTTGCCATGGAAAAAAATCGCAATTGCAATAATTGATAACAAACGTGTATTCGCCTCAGACAGAGGAATTTTTCATCAGTGAGTTTTGGTTCTTGGGTTGGAGGGCATAAAAGGCCTACTGCATTCCATAAAATCTGTTAGGTGAGGTATATTTTCAATTACAAAGTGGTGCTTGGTGACATGAAATTTAAAATATTTAAATAATGGTAAAGTAAATAGATAGTTTTGTAAAATATTTGGATTTTTAAAGCAAATTTAAGAACTATTGGCGGAACTGTCATTTGACATAGAATAATTCCTGTAGATCTACTCATGTGAAATAATGAAAATACATGCAAATGATTCATCAAACGACGGTTGCAGGTTTTAGAAAACACTGAAGGGGTTTGTGGTTGGTCTATGTATATAGTGAGAACAGAAAAAATGTGAGCTTCAATTATTAGAAACTGACTTCTTTATTGTCATTTTCACAAGAAAAGACTATCTTTGACCTGAAATGTGCACTTCATGAGGCAAAAATGTTTTCAAATCAAGCAAATATCAGCTTTGCCCTACCATGATCAATAAGTTAGGTTTCCTGCTTTCCAGGTGGGTGACAAAAGGATTGCCACAAGAATCAGTGTAATAATATTAAACGGGAGGAATGAGCTACATAAAAAGCGAGACATTGAGTTTTCTCTGACGAGGAAATGCGTGTTACCCGAGTCAGTGGTGGCAAGTCGTTCGTTGATTGGCGATTCAGTGGTGATTGGTCGACTAGTCGTTATTGGTGAATCACTCGTAGTCACTTGGTTGATGTTTGCTTCCACAGTGGATGTCAAGTCAGCTGTCGTTGTTGATTCTGGTTGAAAGTAAAGAAAAGGTAAACTGCACCATGAAGTGGAGAAAAAGCCCCAACTTTAGCCAAAAGAGCAACATAAGTTTCTGCTTTCCAGGTGGCTGAACTAAGAAATTCCGCTGTAATCAACACAATAATAGTAGGAGGGGAAAATTAGCTCCATTAAAAGCAAGACATTGAGCTTTCTCTGATGAGGAAAAGCGTGTTACCTGAGTCAGTGGTGGCAAGTCGTCCGTTGATTGGCGATTCAGTGGTGATTGGTCGACCAGTCGTTATTGGCGAATCACTCGTAGTCAGTTGATTGATGTTTGCTTCCACAGTGGATGTCAAGTCAGCTGTCGTTGTTGATTCTTGTTGAATGTAGAGAAAACAAAAACGACACCATGAAGTGAAAAAACACAACTTTATCCAAAAGAGCTGCATGCGTTTGTGCTTTCCAGGTGGCTGGACTAAGAAATTACACTCGAATCAACACAATAATATTTGACGGGAAAAAACAAGAGCTCCATTAAAAGCGAGACAATGACTTTTCTCTGATGAGGAAAAGCGTGTTACCTGAGTCAGTGGTGGCAAGTCTTCCGTTGATTGGCGATTCAGTGGTGATTGGTCGACTAGTCGTTATTGGCGAATCACTCGTAGTCAGTTGGTTGATGTTTGCTTCCACAGTGGATGTCAAGTCAGCTGTCGTTGTTGATTCCAGATGAAAGTAGAGAAAAGGAAAACGGCACCATGAAGTGAAAAAAGCCCCAACTTTATCCAAAAGAGCAACATAAGTTTCTGCTTTCCAGGTGGCTAAACTAAGAAATTCCACTGAAATCAACACAATAATAGTAAGAGGGGAAAATTAGCTTCATTAAAAGCGAGACAATGACTTTTCTCTGATGAGGAAAAGCGTGTTACCTGAGTCAGTGGTGGCAAGTCGTCCGTTAATCGGCGATTCAGTGGTGATTGGTCGACCAGTCGTTATTTGTGAATCAGTCGTAGGTAGTTGGTTGATGTTTGCTTCCACAGTGGATGTCAAGTCAGCTGTCGTTGTTGATTCCAGATGAAAGTAGAGAAAAGGAAAACGGCACCATGAAGTGAAAAAAGCCCCAACTTTATCCAAAAGAGCGACATAAGTTTCTGCTTTCCAGGTGGCTGAACGAAATTCCACTGGAATCAACACAATAATAGTAGAAGGGGAAAATGAGCTTCATTAAAAGCGAGACAATGACTTTTCTCTGATGAGGAAAAGCGTGTTACCTGAGTCAGTGGTGGCAAGTCGTCCGTTGATCGGCGATTCAGTGGTGATTGGTCGACTAGTCGTTATTGGCGAATCACTCGTAGTCAGTTGGTTGATGTTTGCTTCCACAGTCGATGTCAAGTCAGCTGTCGTTGTTGATTCTGGTTGAAAGTAGAGAAAAGGAAAACGGCACCATAAAGTGAAAAAAGCCCCAACTTTATCCAAAAGAGCAACATAAGTTTCTGCTTTCCAGGTGGCTGAACTAAGAAATTCCACTGGAATCAACACAATAATAGTAGGAGGGGAAAATTAGCTCCATTAAAAGCAAGACATTGAGTTTTCTCTGATGAGGAAAAGCGTGTTACCTGAGTCAGTGGTGGCAAGTCGTCCGTTGATTGGCGATTCAGTGGTGATTGGTCGACAAGTCGTTATTGGTGAATCACTCGTAGTCACTTGGTTGATGTTTGCTTCCACAGTGGATGTCAAGTCAGCTGTCGTTGTTGATTCCAGATGAAAGTAGAGAAAAGGAAAACGGCACCATGAAGTGAAAAAAGCCCCAACTTTATCCAAAAGAGCAACATAAGTTTCTGCTTTCCAGGTGGCTGAACTAAGAAATTCCACTGGAATCAACACAATAATAGTAGGAGGGGAAAATTAGCTCCATTAAAAGCAAGACATTGAGTTTTCTCTGATGAGGAAAAGCGTTTTACCTGAGTCAGTGGTGGCAAGTCGTCCGTTGATTGGCGATTCAGTGGTGATTGGTCGACCAGTCGTTATTGGTGAATCAGTCGTAGGTAGTTGGTTGATGTTTACTTCCACAATGGATGTGAAATCAACTGTCGTTGTTGATTCTTGTTGAAAGTAGAGAAAAGGAAAACGTCACCATGAAGTGAAAAAAGCCCCAACTTTATCCAAAAGAGCAACAAAGGTTTCTGCTTTCCAGGTGGCTGAACTAAGAAATTCCACTGGAATCAACACAATAATATTAGAAGGGGAAAATGAGCTTCATTAAAAGCGAGCCCCAACTTTAAAAAGTGAAAAAGCCCCAACTTTATCCAAAAGAGCAACATAAGTTTCTGCTGTCCAGGTGGCTGAACTAAGAAATTCCACTGGAATCAACACAATAATATTAGAAGGGGAAAATGAGCTTCATTAAAAGCGAGACAATGACTTTTCTCTGATGAGGAAAAGCGTGTTACCTGAGTCAGTGGTGGCAAGTCGTCCGTTGATAGGCGATTCAGTGGTGATTGGTCGACTAGTCGTTATTGGCGAATCACTCGTAGGTAGTTGGTTGATGTTTGCTTCCACAGTGGATGTCAAGTCAGCTGTCGTTGTTGATTCCAGATGAAAGTAGAGAAAAGGAAAACGGCACCATAAAGTGAAAAAAGCCCCAACTTTATCCAAAAGAGCAACATAAGTTTCTGCTTTTCAGGTGGCTGAACTAAGAAATTCCACTGAAATCAACACAATAATAGTAAGAGGGGAAACTTAGCTTCATTAAAAGCGAGACAATGACTTTTCTCTGATGAGGAAAAGCGTGTTACCTGAGTCAGTGGTGGCAAGTCGTCCGTTGATTGGCGATTCAGTGGTGATTGGTCGACCAGTCGTTATTTGTGAATCAGTCGTAGGTAGTTGGTTGATGTTTGCTTCCACAGTGGATGTCAAGTCAGCTGTCGTTGTTGATTCCAGATGAAAGTAGAGAAAAGGAAAACGGCATGATAAAGTGAAAAAAAGCCCCAACTTTATCCAAAAGAGCAACATAAGTTTCTGCTTTCCAGGTGGCTGAACTAAGAAATTCCACTGGAATCAACACAATAATATTAGAAGGGGAAAATGAGCTTCATTGAAAATGAGCTTCATTAAAAGCGAGACAATGACTTTTCTCTGATGAGGAAAAGCGTGTTACCTGAGTCAGTGGTGGCAAGTCGTCCGTTGATCGGCGATTCAGTGGTGATTGGTCGACTAGTCGTTATTGGCGAATCACTCGTAGTCAGTTGGTTGATGTTTGCTTCCACAGTGGATGTCAAGTCAGCTGTCGTTGTTGATTCCAGATGAAAGTAGAGAAAAGGAAAACGGCACCATGAAGTGAAAAAAGCCCCAACTTTATCCAAAAGAGCGACATAAGTTTCTGCTTTCCAGGTGGCTGAACGAAATTCCACTGGAATCAACACAATAATAGTAGAAGGGGAAAATGAGCTTCATTAAAAGCGAGACAATGACTTTTCTCTGATGAGGAAAAGCGTGTTACCTGAGTCAGTGGTGGCAAGTCGTCCGTTGATCGGCGATTCAGTGGTGATTGGTCGACTAGTCGTTATTGGCGAATCACTCGTAGTCAGTTGGTTGATGTTTGCTTCCACAGTCGATGTCAAGTCAGCTGTCGTTGTTGATTCTGGTTGAAAGTAGAGAAAAGGAAAACGGCACCATAAAGTGAAAAAAGCCCCAACTTTATCCAAAAGAGCAACATAAGTTTCTGCTTTCCAGGTGGCTGAACTAAGAAATTCCACTGGAATCAACACAATAATAGTAGGAGGGGAAAATTAGCTCCATTAAAAGCAAGACATTGAGTTTTCTCTGATGAGGAAAAGCGTGTTACCTGAGTCAGTGGTGGCAAGTCGTCCGTTGATTGGCGATTCAGTGGTGATTGGTCGACAAGTCGTTATTGGTGAATCACTCGTAGTCACTTGGTTGATGTTTGCTTCCACAGTGGATGTCAAGTCAGCTGTCGTTGTTGATTCCAGATGAAAGTAGAGAAAAGGAAAACGGCACCATGAAGTGAAAAAAGCCCCAACTTTATCCAAAAGAGCAACATAAGTTTCTGCTTTCCAGGTGGCTGAACTAAGAAATTCCACTGGAATCAACACAATAATAGTAGGAGGGGAAAATTAGCTCCATTAAAAGCAAGACATTGAGTTTTCTCTGATGAGGAAAAGCGTTTTACCTGAGTCAGTGGTGGCAAGTCGTCCGTTGATTGGCGATTCAGTGGTGATTGGTCGACCAGTCGTTATTGGTGAATCAGTCGTAGGTAGTTGGTTGATGTTTACTTCCACAATGGATGTGAAATCAACTGTCGTTGTTGATTCTTGTTGAAAGTAGAGAAAAGGAAAACGTCACCATGAAGTGAAAAAAGCCCCAACTTTATCCAAAAGAGCAACAAAGGTTTCTGCTTTCCAGGTGGCTGAACTAAGAAATTCCACTGGAATCAACACAATAATATTAGAAGGGGAAAATGAGCTTCATTAAAAGCGAGCCCCAACTTTAAAAAGTGAAAAAGCCCCAACTTTATCCAAAAGAGCAACATAAGTTTCTGCTGTCCAGGTGGCTGAACTAAGAAATTCCACTGGAATCAACACAATAATATTAGAAGGGGAAAATGAGCTTCATTAAAAGCGAGACAATGACTTTTCTCTGATGAGGAAAAGCGTGTTACCTGAGTCAGTGGTGGCAAGTCGTCCGTTGATAGGCGATTCAGTGGTGATTGGTCGACTAGTCGTTATTGGCGAATCACTCGTAGGTAGTTGGTTGATGTTTGCTTCCACAGTGGATGTCAAGTCAGCTGTCGTTGTTGATTCCAGATGAAAGTAGAGAAAAGGAAAACGGCACCATAAAGTGAAAAAAGCCCCAACTTTATCCAAAAGAGCAACATAAGTTTCTGCTTTTCAGGTGGCTGAACTAAGAAATTCCACTGAAATCAACACAATAATAGTAAGAGGGGAAACTTAGCTTCATTAAAAGCGAGACAATGACTTTTCTCTGATGAGGAAAAGCGTGTTACCTGAGTCAGTGGTGGCAAGTCGTCCGTTGATTGGCGATTCAGTGGTGATTGGTCGACCAGTCGTTATTTGTGAATCAGTCGTAGGTAGTTGGTTGATGTTTGCTTCCACAGTGGATGTCAAGTCAGCTGTCGTTGTTGATTCCAGATGAAAGTAGAGAAAAGGAAAACGGCATGATAAAGTGAAAAAAAGCCCCAACTTTATCCAAAAGAGCAACATAAGTTTCTGCTTTCCAGGTGGCTGAACTAAGAAATTCCACTGGAATCAACACAATAATATTAGAAGGGGAAAATGAGCTTCATTGAAAATGAGCTTCATTAAAAGCGAGACAATGACTTTTCTCTGATGAGGAAAAGCGTGTTACCTGAGTCAGTGGTGGCAAGTCGTCCGTTGATCGGCGATTCAGTGGTGATTGGTCGACTAGTCGTTATTGGCGAATCACTCGTAGTCAGTTGGTTGATGTTTGCTTCCACAGTCGATGTCAAGTCAGCCGTCGTTGTTGATTCTGGTTGAAAGTAGAGAAAAGGAAAATGGCACCATAAAGTGGAAAAAGCCCCAACTTTATCCAAAAGAGCAACATAAGTTTCTGCTTTCCAGGTGACTGAACTAAGAAATTCCACTGGAATCAACACAATAATAGTAGGAGGGGAAAATTAGCTCCATTAAAAGCAAGACATTGAGTTTTCTCTGATGAGGAAAAGCGTGTTACCTGAGTCAGTGGTGGCAAGTCGTCCGTTGATTGGCGATTCAGTGGTGATTGGTCGACCAGTCGTTATTTGTGAATCAGTCGTAGGTAGTTGGTTGATGTTTGCTTCCACAGCGGATGTCAAGTCAGCTGTCGTTGTTGATTCCAGATGAAAGTAGAGAAAAGGAAAACGGCACCATGAAGTGAAAAAAGCCCCAACTTTATCCAAAAGAGCAACATAAGTTTCTGCTTTCCAGGTGGCTGAACTAAGAAATCCCACTGGAATCAACACAATAATGTTTGACGGGAAAAAACAAGAGCTCCATTACAAGCGAGCGATGACTTTTCTCTGATGAGGAAAAGCGTGTTACCTGAGTCAGTGGTGGCAAGTCGTCCGTTGATCGGCGATTCAGTGGTGATTGGTCGACTAGTCGTTATTGGTAAATCACTCGTAGGTAGTTGGTTGATTCTTGGTTCCATAGTGGATGTCAAGTCAGCTGTCGTTGTTGATTCCAGATGAAAGTAGAGAAAAGGAAAACGGCACCATGAAGTGAAAAAAGCCCCAACTTTATCCAAAAGAGCAACATAAGTTTCTGCTTTCCAGGTGGCTGAACTAAGAAATTCCACTGGAATCAACACAATAATATTTGAATGGGAAAATGAGCTTCATTAAAAGCAAGACAATGACTTTTCTCTGATGAGGAAAAGCGTGTTACCTGAGTCAGTGGTGGCAAGTCGTCCGTTGATCGGCGATTCAGTGGTGATTGGTCGACTAGTCGTTATTGGTGAATCATTCGTAGGTAGTTGGTTGATTCTTGGTTCCATAGTGGATGTCAAGTCAGCTGTCGTTGTTGATTCTGGTTGAAAGTAGAGAAAAGGAAAACGGCACCATGAAGTGGAAAAAAAAAAACTTAGCCAAAAGAGCAACATAAGTTTCTGCTTTCCAGGTGGCTGAACTAAGAAATTCCGCTGGAATCAACACAATAATATTAGAAGGGGAAAATGAGCTCCATTAAAAGCAAGACATTGACTTTTCTCTGATGAGGAAAAGCGTGTTACCTGAGTCAGTGGTGGCAAGTCGTTCGTTGATTGGCGATTCAGTGGTGATTGGTCGACCAGTCGTTATTGGTGAATCACTCGTAGGTAGTTGGTTGATTCTTGGTTCCATAGTGGATGTCAAGTCAGCTGTCGTTGTTGATTCTGGTTGAAAGTAGAGAAAAGGAAAACGGCACCATGAAGTGGAAAAAAAAAACAACTTTAGCCAAAAGAGCGAAATTCTTTTCTATTACCGACATTTTCGTACTAAAAAAATCTTCCTTTTACAGTTCTCAGATATGCATTCAGAGAAGCATTGGCGCACTAAGGATATAAGATTTGAGGCTTTGCATGGTGGAGTATCGGTATCGTTTCGGTTTGTGGTAACACCATGTGGTAATAACTACTGCTCAGTAGATATTTAGTTCTGAAAAGAACTTGTCCTACTGATTATCAACTTTCGCTAAGTAGTTTTAGTTCTGATAAGAACAGTCCTGCTTTAAGTTCTAAAAGAACTTGTCGTTGGTCTCAACGTTCCGACTAGCCTGCTCTAGTCATCGTCAGGAGACTGTTCTCATAAGAAATAAAACTACTCAGCGAAAGTTGATAACAAGCAGGACAACGGTCCTTTTCCAAAGTAAATATCTACTGAGCAGTAGTTATTGCCACATGGTGTTACCGCAAACCAAAACGATACCGGCACTAAGGATACAATTAATCACGGTGGTAATGTGTAGTTTACATCTCAAGTTCTATCTCAATCTCATTATTGAAAGAAATATGCTATAAGATATAGAGCGACGGGTAAACCCAGGACTTTCAATGATCCCATTTTTTTTTTAACTGGAATTGCCCCAAACTCCGTAAAATAGTCTTTGTGAAAAAAATAATAATAATAGCCAATAGATATTAGCGTTTGGTGAGTTACATACGCAGGGTGATCGGGCAGGCAACTATTTCATTGGTCATGACCAAATGGTTGTGAATATTTTACTAACACGTATACACCTTACTTTCAGTTTGATGACGTCAAAGCATTTGGAAGCCCAAGGTCAACATTTTACCGGATATCATTATTTGTACTACGACTACAGTCATTATACATGGATCATATGATGGATTTGAATCGAAAAGAAATAAAGAAAACTAATCATTCACAAATTTGCCCTACAATTACTTGCGGTCTGATGTCGTGATTCTGAAAACTCGTTAAACCATTTGCAGTTGTTCAAAGAATATCTATAGGCAATTTTGACGAATGGTTTTTCAATTCAAGAAGTTCAACTGTCTTTGAAGTGCCGCTAGAGGGCACCCTTTGATGACGTCATCATGCCTCTTTTGTGTTTGGCATCCTTCACTAAATATTACCATAATTTGTTTAATGAAAAAAAAATGCGTCAGTTTCCAGTTATATTACATTCTCATTGCACTTCCGTTAACACCGGAAATAAAGGTGAAAAGGGTTTGTCACCGGGAATCCAAACTATTGTCATTTAGGCAATGTTACAAACAAAATAGAACGGATTCATTTAAAATGTTAGAGTTCAAAGTAATTTTTCAAATGTTGACATAAAATCGCTTGTAATTTGATACCTGATGACGTCATGATGACGTTACAAAATTAAAGTTAATACAAGGTTTTATCGTAACCCCGTGAACCGTATGGAAGACAGTTTGGTTTGTTTTGATGTGAGGCTTCTGTTTGCATTTTGATTTCACCTAACTTTGACGTAACCCCGCAAGTCAAGGCCAAGCGACCTCACGTTTATCAATGTGTGGTATATTAGATAATGATGAAAATTTTTTCAAGAGTTATAAGTGACAGAAAATGTTTACTTTTTGCACTCAAATAGCTCATTATTTTTATACCCGATGACGTCATCATGATGTCAGAGTAATATTTGCACACCTCGGGATCAGGGTTGATCTTTGTTCAAAGTTTCAAGTTTATACCATGAACCGTTTAGAAGAAAAGTCGCGGAGAATTATCGACGTTTCCACCCAATAAACGGAAGCAGTATTTCGGAAAGTGTTGACCGAGGGGTTAGACTGTCGAAAGTGGGGCTGTTCAACAATGTGTAAATTTTAGTCATAAGTTTCGCCGTTAGGTCTAGGTGACTGGGAGCTATGGCTCAATATATTTATACAGGCATTAAATGTACCAGAAGTATACCCGTGCCTCTCCGATAAAACCAGCAAGCAAGGCCTGCCAGCCAATGGCTTTGGATATACATGTCAAGTGCTTATAAGGCCAACAAAAAAAGTCTCCGGTTTCTGGTATGCGCGCGCGTCGCCGTAGCCATGCGTGTCGGCAAAATGAAAAAGTTTTTTTTTCAATGAAAGATGATGTCTCAAAACCGCCAAACTCACTGGTTTGACTGGAATCCTGCTGCTGCACGATTTTAACGTGTTTTTAGATGGGGTTATGATCGAAAATAAGCTTTATGTGGCCTCTCTGGACTCCCATATATTTGCACTAGTCTAAGACTTAGTTTAGGCGGGCACCAGTTGCAGTCATCAGCCGACATTTGAAGCAAAAAAGTCAGGTCAAAAAAAAAAAAAAAGCCGCGTCGCCGCACCTCTTTTTGGACAAGCTCCATACCAGAAACCGGAGACTTTTTTGGCCTAAGCAAACTCGGGACTGATATTTACATATCCAGTTCCCGATGAAAATTCCATCGAATGTTTCAGACGGATTGACGGAGAAGACTTACCTGCTGGGGTTGTAGGATTGTCCACAACTGTTGACACCTCTGTGCTACATTCCGATGGATTCCCTCTCCTAAAAGACAACAGTCGTAATTGAAATATATACAGTTTTTTTTGGATGGAGATGGAACTAAAATCAACAAAACCCTGTAAAAAAAAGGACAAAAGGAGTGTGTTACTTTAATAAGGAAAATTGACATCGGGTCCGTAGAAATGGATATGGTCGGGGAGGGTTGGGTTCAATTACCAACACATGTAGTTTCATTGGCTAATATTTTGAATCAACAAATATTGTGTGAATGATTACATTTTAAGTATCGTACAACTTTTAGATACAAAATGTAAATACTTGGTTAACAAAAAAAGCGCGATTACCCTCACAACAAGCTAGCCCCGGTCCTGCAGCTGCATAGCATATAGCAGTTGTTAGAAAAAAAACCGGGCATGGAGGGAAAATCGTGTGAGTCGTGGCCATTTCTTGTCAAAATATGGGGGACCGAACAGTTAGCGAGGAAGAGTGTTGTGGGAACCTATGGATTCTCTGTTACGTCACTTATAATTTGAAACTTACTTCTTGCACTTCTGCGTAGGTCCTTCGCCAACAATTGCACTCATTTAAAGTAAAGCGAGTGATTTGTTTTGTCTTAGTCACCAAATAAACATTCAGATGTAGTATAATCGTACAGATATAGACTTTAAATTTCAATATTAGAAAATCGTAGACAGCACGGCTCTGAAAAAAATCGAATCTCTGACCAGCACTGCAGATATTCTTTCCTTAATTTACCAACTTTGACTTTGTCAGCAGATTGCAGAGGGGCACATTGTCTCCAAACTGTATAGTATGATCTGCGGCCAGTACATTCATGCTACGTGCACCGTCCTTTGCAGACAAACTCGCGTATACTTAAAACGTCGTATTTTTTTTAAAGCTCGTTCTTGCCTTTTCTGGTATAGCGGTCCATAGCTCCGACGCCTGATAAGTCCGACGCCTCGGTTTTCCGAAGTCGGACTTATGAGGCGTCGGACGTATGATACGGCCCCCATACAAAATCTTTTAAAAGACAGAGGCAAGAAATAATAAAAAAGGAAATCCCTACCTTCCAGGATCCACTATTTTCAAAATTTGTCCTCGATCATTATTTGCGGATTGTTCAGTTTTTCCCATAAAGTACACCTCACCTGCCGACGAAATGATAAAATGCACGTCAGGAAGAAGATAGACATATTTCTTTTAGCAGTTTTGTGCCTCACTGTTAATGTTGACGCCCGAGTTCTCAGCACCTATACTCATTGGATTGACGTACGGCGTCATCTTGCCGCAGAAAAAGTGCGTAGAATCGACTCTCGTTAATACAAAGTTCTCCGGACTCATGAATGCATGGATGTCCTCTTATTATCCGGAAGATCGTTTTATGCGGAAAGCCATTTGTATATTAGCCTACTCGGCTTGCACGGAAAGTCGATTGCGCAAGCATATCCCCATGTAGTGTTGTTGTCGAGTCAATCACAAGTCCCCATACGGTCCCTGCAAGTCGATCACAAGCCCATCACAAGTCCTTCAGTCTCAATCCACTTGCTATTCAAACAAGCTCGCGGGAACGGGGGTGCTGTGGGTGCTGTAGCACCCCCATCTTTTTGGATGGGGGTGCTGGAATATGCTTCAGTACCCCCTACTCCCGGGAAAAATGTGTTCCAGCCAGCAGTGTTCAACGACGATGAAATTGCGCCGCTGCACTATACATTATGCTTGCTCTATACAAATATCTTCTTCGTTTTGTTCGTTTCTAGTTTTGCCACGGCTAAGCGCGGCGCTTTGAACGTCTAGCACAAAGGAACACTGCAAAATATCCAGAAGAGGTATTTTCTAAATCTTCAGGCAGTGCTTAATCTAATGTATCTAAATTCATAACATGATATAGGATATTTCCGCCATAATGGAAGCTTTGACCCGAAAGCAATAACCTCGGCGATGACAATGGTGGCAAAGTTGATTATGCTTGCCAGGATTTTTTTCATTCGATCTTTCAATAGGGGCAAATATTCATACCTTTCCCCTGAAGGTTTTTCTTTTCATTTAAAACTTTTATAGACGTTGCTAGCATTCTGTATTCAACATATAGCAAGGTTCACACACACACACACACACACAGACTTGTTTCACATGACTAGTGTGGACTTTCCATTGCTTTCGTGTAGTTAAGAAAAACCAGTGAAAAAACTCATTTTTCTCAAACTGTGAAAACTCTTTCAACCCAATTTTTTTTCTATGATTCCCTTTAGTGTTTCTCTTCATTCTGCTACAGATAAACCTAACCCAAAAATGCCTCTAAACCTGTTTTCCAGAAATGGGGAAACACTGTGTGGACGTGGGGCAAGTCCACACAACGTCGGTGCTACCTACATTATGTGGACGTCTTTTGTTCGGAAGTCCACACTGCGTATGTAAGACAAGCTCACCCATTCCCAAACTAATAGGAGTGGGAGCGGCTTTCATTGAAACCAGTCATGCTTTACGCAAATTCCAGTGTAGTTATAAAAAAAAGAAGCTATTCAAGTTTTACCCTCTGCAAGTTTTTTTCCTCATAAAAAATCAGTAGACCGATAAATCCTTGCCTATAGCCCCAAACTTGCCATCTATTGATCATAAACACAAAGATGCATTTGGTGTGTTAGTCTTTTATATTTGCCATTCCCTGTAACAAACAAAATACACTGCAAATATATCGAGAGCTACATCGTCTAGGCCTATGTGAATATTTTTATGAACAGCAATTCATCCGCTTCCAGTGGAACCATTTTGTTTTAACTTGAACCAAAAAACATCCTTTCGGGTTTTATAAGTTTAAGTATATACTTCATTATATTTCATCACAGTGCATCCAGAATCCAACATTTTCAGGGGCCTTAAAGCAGGCCCTTTGCCCTGTGGCCTCACGCCGTAAGGGCTCGGAAAATAAAACAAAACATACACGACGGAATTTACTAAATGTAAGAAAGCAACCTTGCAATAATAATATTTACATGCGATGTCATGCATAATGATACAATTCTTCTTAACAGAATTAAATGGAACAAAAAATGGAGATAAAAATACAGGGTTCTCGATTTTTCAGTACAGTAGAAACGTTATAATAGCAACAGTTTTCTAAACAAAAAAGTGAAATAAATTGTCTTTATAATCTAAAAAAACCCAAAAAACACCTTTTGCTAAAAAAAAGTCATATGAAAGAGGCCTGGAATCGCCTCAGATTGCACCACAGAGCATCCATATTCTAGAATCCCCGGGGCCCTTTAAGCCACGCCATAAGGGCTTTGTGCTCCGCGTTCGCATTAATTTTGTCCGTCCTTAAGAAATTCCAGCGCCCCTGGCAAAAGTTTGTTCCAGCGGGCTTGTATTCAAATGAACCGTTTCAAAAGACCCTCTACTTCGTATGTAAGACCAACTACGCCCTAACCGGTCTCAACATGATGGATCTAGATAACGTTACAAAGTGAGAGCTATTTAAAAACTCTGAACAATGTGCAACACGCATTTACCTCTTTCGTCCTCTGCGAATGACATGATGTATCTTGGGAAGGTATTGAGCAGATTTCCTTTGCAAACCGATGAGTCGCCCAAGCAGATATCTTGCCTCTCCCAGGTGTTCGTCGTTGTGTTTTCGGTGAGTTGGAACAGTCGGCTACAAACAGAGTCAGAGATCATACTCAATTAATAATCTGAGACGGTTAATACTCATTTGTCGGTCAAGGCGGCTGCCAAGGACCCATGCGTATTTTTTTCTTTTGTAGCCAAGTCACTTACCAAAACACGCATGCGTGCAGCAACCACGTGATTGAAGTACACAATGTAATCTATCTTGTGTGTTAATCATGACATGTCTTAATAGGCCTATGTGGGGTTTAGCTCTTAAATCGACGCCAAAGCTATACACCGTGGCCTAGTGGTTATTTACTGGTGTTTCTTTTTGTATATAGATTTCTGGAAACCATGGCTTCGAATCCAAGCGAATACAAGTAAATGCGAAAAGATGCGAAAAGACAGGGTTGAAAACAGTGGTGGTTCTTACCCATACTGGAAATCGCCAAAGATATATTTGCCGTTAAGGTTGGGCGATTGACATCCTCTGTACACGAAACCTCCAATGACACATTTGCCCTCTGAGTGTGGATAGCTATGGATTGGTAAGACTTCATCAGCTGGGGAGGAAGCAATGTTGAGGTTATTTTCATGAGTATTATTATAAAAAAAGCAAAAAACAAAACAAAAAGCAATCTAGCTAGTGATATGTAATTGACGCGACAATCAACAAGCAAAGCATTTAACAATGTCATATTTGCGTTTCGGAAGTATGTCTTTTGCTCTGTGTTCTGGTTCGGAAGGGTAAAGAACAGAAAGCTGTCCGCTGGAACACCTAAGTTATTGTAAAACAAAAATTGAAGGAAGATTTGCGTTATTTGTTTAAGAGGGGTTTTGCCACTTTTAATTACCTAGCCACTGGTCGTTACACTGTCCGCTTTTGAAACAGGAGAATCCCTCTTTAGCCCGCCAGCCATAGTTGCCTCCTTTGACGATGATATTGACCTCCTCATACGAACTCTGACCGACGTCGCCGAAGAACATGCGACCCTTACCGTACCCGGTCAGTCTGTCGCCCCGGTCCACCGAACCTCTCCATGAGTTACGTACTCCATAGGCGTAGATTTCTGGGCGGGTGTTAACGACCCCCACAAATGGGTTATCTGGTGGAATTCCGTAGTTTCGGCCGCCTGTCTGGCTGTCCACGTCAATTCGGAGAATCTTACCTAGAAGACTATTCCTTTGTAAGAAGGAAAAGAATAACATGATCAAGGTGGAGTCGTCTTTAATTTGCTTTTGCAAACAAACATGCCTACCTTTCGAGTAGACTGGTTCATGCATAAGGGGGAACCAGTCGACTTTTGCGAGCCGAATATAATTCGGAGTTGGCCATCGGACCCACCCCGCCCCCCCTCCCCCATTTGTGTGGTGGGAAACAAAGAAATGTCGATTTTAAGGTTCCCATAGTCCAAAACTCCAAATGGATATAGTTAAGAAAATAGGATAATAAACAGTATAAAGCTTTAAATACACCATTTAGCGGTAAGGTTAAGGGACATAAGCGCACAACTTTGCATACGATGTACATTTGTATCATGGACAGCGACCCTAGTGTCATATGTGTTGTCCAGCCTCCCCCCTTTATAAATTCGAATAACCTCCGGCCCGACAATAATTCGGCTATCGCAAGGCGTGTTTTGTGCGCAAAATGAAACCTCATTTGAGAGGGTGTCAAAACCCCAAAATCGAAAAGAAATAGTTTTTAGTGAAAACAAAACTACAAATTTCAAATTTCGTTAGGAGGGAAAAAACCCTGTTTTTTGAAGATTACAGGGTTATGCTATTTAAACTGATTTCTGTGCGTGTTTCCATAAAAAGTCGGAAATTGAAGTTTAATGAAACTTACTTATTGAGTGCGACATTGTGTGGATCACCACCTGCTCCTCCGTCTCCAAGGCTTGCGTACAGGTAGCCATCTAACCCAAACAGTAACTGACCGCCGTTGTGGTTGACAAATGGCTGGTCCTCGTCTAAGATAACTTTTTCCGTTGAAACATCAGCTCTATTTTTGTCATTGGCCATAACTTTGAATTCGCTAATTCGAATGAATATATTGTTGAGCCTCGGGCCCGCCGTGTAAAAAACATAGAACTTGGAATTGTCTGTGAAGTTTGGGTGAAAGGCCGCGCCAAGTAAACCTCGTTCGTCTCCATTAAATTTTTTTACGGTAACTGAATCGCGGATGTCCAAGAAAGGGGTCTCCAGTCTGGTACGATTCTCCAAAAACACATGTATGACTCCGAGCTGCTCTCCAATAAACAATCGGTGGGTGTTGTCGTTGGCGTGGATGGCGAAGATAGGATTGCGTAGACCGCCGGCGAATTCCTCAAGGCACAGACACTGACTGCGACCGGTCCCTGACTGCGCCTCCCCCACCCACTTTGAGAGATCATCATCGGTTAAGACATCGGGAAAGCAGTAATCCATATCCGTTATGGCCATTCTATCACAAAACTCAACAGCCGAGTCGGCAGCGGCTTGTCGCACCAGCTCCTCCGTGGTGATGAAGGGGACGAGTTGGCCGCAATATCGATGAAACTCGGTGCAGTAATCGCTGCAAAGCCCGGGCAACTGTCTTATATTCTCCGGTGAGTCCTCACCATCGAAAACATGAGCCGCGTACGGTGAACAATCCTGACAGAGGATTTCTCTCAGGAAATTACTGCAATTGCTCGATAAGCTTCCATGCATGGTATTATATTCCGTGACGATAGTCTGAAAGGTCTGCCTAATTTGCCGATCCTTTGCGAGGGTGCAGCATCCGAAGTCTTGGTACAGAGTGCAGAACTCTGGTTGATCGCCCTGGTCGAAGCTAAACGGTGGGAAAAAGTCAAGGCATTGTGGATGTGCAGTTGAATCTCCAATCATCGACAGCAAAATCTGGACCACAAAATAAGACTTTGTCCCGAAGTAAATAAAATGTGCATTGCATGTCGTCATTGTATATCAAAATAAGGCAGTGTTAGATATGCATGTACACGACGTGTATACAAAAAGCTTCACAGTGTCAGTGTGTGACGACTGTAGCAAGAAGATTCAGGCAAACGTTGTTCTACAGCAAATCGTTGAGCCAAAACGTATGCAACGGTACAACCACACCCAAACATATTGCCCAGATGACTGGCAGTGGCACACACGCATCACAAAATGAAGGACGTGATTGGACTTTGAAGTTCGAAGATTACGACGAAATATAATGCAATGGACAAGTTGAACAAAGAAAACTGACTCAGTGGAGCCATGGAGCTATAGCTCCATGGTGGAGCGGGGCTAGACTTGCCACCTCTGCGGACACGTATTATTTTTGTTGCAGCATATATCGTATTTTAACCAATTACATCACACACCCTAACATGAATATTTATTACTCTGTGTGGATGGAAGACACTTAGGTTCTCGTAATGTTTTCTCTTCAATAAGCCACTTGCGTGTTAAATTTGAATAAAATCTGGAACGCTGACTTAATACAATGCTTTGCACGTTTTAACCTAGCATTCTCCCGACCAAAGAGACTGTTACTATATCATGTGATTCGGGGCAAGCCTTATGCTAGCAACCCCCAGCTCCGGCATGGTCTGGTGTCTTTGTGCCATTCTCACCCATTGTGAACGATGTATTGGTGCTGAGCGTCTCTTACGTAACTATGCAAGAGCTTGCCCCGAATCATGTGATTAGCAACAGTGTCTTTGGTCTTGAGAATTCACAGTTAAAATGTGCCAAGCATTCTGAGCAAGTCATTGTACCAGACGTTTTTCAAATGTAAATCCCAAAGGGTATAGGTTACACGCAAATGGATTATTAAACCTATCCCAACCAACAACAATATTTGATAAAAATGGGCATGAACCACTAATCTTGCGATCCATAGTTCACTCCACTATCAACTATATAGGTTACTGTGGCAGTTCGACGAAAGCCGTTCTTGGAAATGCTTTTATGAACATGCATGACCGGGTGATAGCAATGTTGAGACGTCATTGTTATTCTCTTATGAATAAACATCGAATTAGCTGAATAATCATGATCCTTTGACGATGTGTGCTGGAAATAAAAATACCGCCCTCTGGATAACCGTTCCGGCGCTTCTGATTAGCGCCACTTGAACAAAAAAAAAGATAATTGGGCAACCGCCAACATAGGGCTGGATAGCTCAGTTGGTAAGAGCACCAAAACGGTTGTCCGGAGGTCGCAGGTTCAATCCCCGCTTCAGTCAATATCTACGTTCAACAATTCGATTGTTATAATTCACCTTGTCAGTTTCCCTGTTGTGTTCATTATGAAATATTTTCAGTTACGAGACAGTAATGCCCAAAATCATAAGAACTGTAACGTAGGCAAAGAGGTACAAAAAGAGACAGTATGAAAAGTTGATCATCAATAGCGCTAGAATAAAAGCAGTAAGATGTAAAACAATGTAAATGAGTGCGTTTTCACTCTGATTTAGGAATTTAGAGAGTTTACTAGAAGTGAAGAAAACTAGATGAACATCACTGAGTAGACTACATTTTAAGGCTGAATTGTTCGAATGACATACTTCTCTTATTTTCTTATTTTTATAAATCGAAGGGCAAACTTGCAAACCGCTTTCTCTTAAACAAATAGATTTGTGTCGCTCCTAACGAATTTTCAATTTGTTGTGTTTTAACGAAAAAAGTCCTTCTTCTGATTTTGGGCACCTGCATCCGTCTGCAAAAAAAGGCTTTCAATTTGCGCATAAATGAACCCGCCCAGGGAGAGCCGAATGATTGTCTAGCTGCCAACAATTCGAATGTTTCTTGAGAACAAATAATTTTATAATTTTTAATTCTAAAGAAATGCATACATAACAAAGAAAATAATAATTTCCATCGGTGGAAAGTTTTCGTTCGATATCTCATTCAAAAGTGACCATCTTTTATATTGCTTCGGAAATAGCCATTGAGTTTTGTTTTATAACTTCGAGGTGAAACTCGAAATAGCGAATGTAACACATCTTCAATCCCATGAGTCAATCGGGTGGAATAAATGACGAATGTACCGTACCACATGAATGACACAACATGTGAATTGGAGTGCCTGAATTTTTTAAAACTGATCCCAGGAACAAATAGTTTAAGCAAAATCGCCTTGATTCGACTGTATGACGGATAAAGTGGCTTTGTCAATTAAATTATACAATGTAAAGCTTTTCCATCGGAACGGAGCAAAATTTACAAATACTTCCATAACTCAAATAAGCATCAACGAATTTTCGTGGAAATTTTACTAGTATATAATAAGAGAACTAAAATCTACGGATCCAATTTTTTTTTTTAATTGAGCCGTTTACCCATTGTCAATATTTATTTGGACACACTGTAGATCAAGTTATTATGGGAGCTGTAACGAAGGCGGCCATTTTTTTTTTTGGGGGGGGGGCACTACCCTTCCACCCGGCGCTCAATTTAACCTATCCAACCAAGCGCGTAAAGATTTTATTTACCAAAGCAGCCCAAGTTTTCACAATCATATAATAAAACAACGATAAGATAGCGCTTGCCAAACAACCTTCAACAATATTATTTACATGTACTGCGAGGTATGTGCCAAATTACACTATACATGCGAACATAGTCCCCCACTCCAAAATAATGTTGACGAAAAATCGTCGCTGCTGAATAGTGTGCGCGGACATCTGGGAATTCTGTGCATTGGCTTATGTAACTCTCAGACTTTTTTTAGCCTATTCGAGGTGTTATGGCAGACACAATAAAAGGGCGCTTTTACCCAAACTAAATTACGCCATCTTATTGTGTCCGCCACTTCTCAAAAAGGCTATATAGTCAGGTGGCATATGGTCGGAATCGTGACCGACTGGTCCAAAGCACCAAACTTGGCAGATATATTCTTATAGCCCTAAAGAAGATATTTAGAAGGGGTGACACCTGAATGTCTTTTGGGAAGGGTGCCTAATTTGCATAAATCGTTAATCCCTGCCGTGTAATATATTTATTCCCATATTTGGGTATATTTTTATTTTTTTATTTTTTTGAAAAGTGTATTTTGTGATTCTACTTGCATATTCTTACTTCAATAACATTTTGTAAAACATATAAGTGACTGAATAATTAGGAGGACATAGTAAAGAACCACAATTGCTACTATTTTACCCTAAAGTTACGCGCATTTACCTTTTCCTCAGATATCATCAACTAGTCTCGCCAAACGTGGGTATTGATGAGCTTCAAATTAACAAAGTTACTTACTGGTATAGTTACACTAACAAAAATAAGTGGGAAATTAAGTGAAAATTGATAACATCTTGATGCTTAGCCCAAAAGACCAAAAAAGGGGAGAAAATGTAGTGTCCGTAAATTGGGCTAGTACGGGAAGGGTAACGTGGGAACTTAAACAAGTTCAAAAAAATCCCCCTAAATAAGAGATTATTGTTGTTTACAATAATTTTGTCTACGCCAAAACGTTTTCTCAACAATAATTAGGGGAATTTCCTTGAACTTGTTCCAGTGTTCCATGTTAGGCAACCATTCACCTACTTGTTAGCCTAATTTATGGACACCTCGTTTTTCCCCAGTTTTTGTTTTCTGGGCTTAATATCACAATGTTATCAAAGTTTACATGATTTTGCATAAGGTTTTAATAGGGTAACTGTACAAGTAAGCTACTTGGTGAATTTGAAGTTCATCAATGCTAATGTTTGGCAAGACTAATTGATGATATCTGGAGACAAGGTAGATGCGCGCAATTTTAGGTCATAATAGTAGCCATTTTGGATCGTTACTATGTCCTCATAATTATTCAGTCACTTATATGCTTTGGAAAATGTTATTTAAGTAAAGATATGTAAATAGAATCCCCAAAATATACTTTTCAAAAAAATAAAAAAATGGAAATATATCCAAATATGGGAATAAATATATTACACGTCAGGGATTAACGATTTATGCAAATAAGGCACCCTTCCCAAAAGAATTTCAGGTGTCACCCCTTCTAAATATCTTCTCTAGGTCTATACGAATATATCTGCCAAGTTTGGTGCTTTGGACCAGTCGGTCACGATCTTGACGAAAATTAGATCTAAGCCACCTGACTAATATTCTGGATAGCTGAAAGGCTTTAGTCTGGATAGCTGAAAGGTATCGATCCATTATAAAGCAACCTATGAAAACTGGCTGGGCGAGCGAACGTAGATGCTTTTTATCAACTGACTGACGTAATCCCGCAATGAATGACTTATGAAAAGGCCATACTCGAGCGCGAGCTCGACCGATCACTCCGCCCGTGACGTCCCCCTATTGTCCTAGCGCTCCATTATTTTGTACGAATGGAGCGTTGGAGGCGATACCTCTCCATTCTTTTGGAAGGTAATAAATGCCTCTATCACTCTATTCTTACAAAATAATGAAGCGAGAAATAAAGAAACACAAAAAATGACACAATTATAGTTTTGCAGTTGCAACTTTACTACACAGTTTCTCAATGATGATTTTATGCATTCTCTTATACATTTCGTACAATGCTTACGTAAGTCAAGAACCTTTTTTTTCTCATATTTTCTCATAGGCCATACACCGTTTCTTAAATGGAATTTTGTGCATCATTCCTACAATAACGTGAAGTTAAGGACCATTTTCTTTCTTTATACAGCCTGCTACACCGTTTACACCGTTTCTTAAATGGAATTTTGTGCATCATTCCTACAATAACGTGAAGTTAAGGACCATTTTCTTTCTTTATACAGCCTGCTACACCGTTTCTCAAATGGAATTTTAGGCATCATTCGTACGTTTACGTGAAAGTAAAAAAACATGCTTGTTTCTTAGGCTATACAGCATGCTACACCGTTTCTCAAGTAGAATTTTATGCATTTTTTTATACAATTTCTTACAGTGTTTAGGCAAAATTCAAGAACCATTTTTTCTTGTACAGAATGTTCACACATAGTAATGTTACATGTAATAATATAAACGTTTCAACGATATAAATGTTTCACAGTTAAAGCAAATGTTTTGACAAGGTTCGTATAATACAAATTATATCTCAATCTTGAAAATCACAAGTTCGTGCAATGTAAATCCGGCCTGGAAAACTTTAAGCCGTTTTGCCTAAAAAATGCACCAAATTCTTAATCTTTTTATTTTTAGAGGTTTTAGCTCGTCCCAGTCCTTGTCCAGTGATGAGTAGTTATAGTCTCGAGTTGTGTTGGTTATATCATCCGTCGACGAAGTAGTCCGAATGGAGACTGTCCGCTAGTTTTGACCCTCTTCATGACACTATCCACAGTCTGTATAGCCAGAATTAGAAGAAAACAAAATCAGAAAATTAGTTTTTGGGGTCAAACAATATTAAGCTCAAGTTCATATTCCTGTAAATCCACTTATTTTTAAGTTTTACAAAGCCGTAAAAGGCACAGGGCAGATTTGACTATTGCAAAGCTGATTGCAAAAGTGACGACACAGAAAGCTTCGAATTAGAACAGTTTTAGTGCAAACACGATGTCTGAATAAACTTTATCAGATAACAAATTAAAGAATAAAGCTTAATGTATCTGACATTATCATGCTCAAAATACAGCAACATTTAAATTTCTGATTTTATTTGCTGTTATTTCTACTTAACAAAAAGGGTACTTCTTACCTTTATTCCCTTTACATGCAATCTTCATATTCATTTGGAGTGTCGAAATGGTCTTTTATATCTTCCAGGCAAACTTTGAAGCGGCCGGTAAATTATCATCCGATATATCCAAGGAGCTAGTATCAGCACCATATTAGAGCCAGTTCCCTGGCACGCTATAATTCCACTCACAGTATCTCACCATCTCACACACGGCAATATCAGTCCTCAACGTATTGAGACTGAACACTGCCTGTCATCAGCACGCTATCCAAGAACGGATCCAGGCGCGGATCCAGGGGTGGGCCGCGGGGGCACGTGCCCTCCGTCAAATTGAGTCCACAAAAAAATAAAATTAATAAAACAGGGAAGGAGGAGGGCAACCTTCTAACAAAAATACCGGCCTGCAAACATTGTGTGGCCGTATGACACAGGGAATTCGAGAAGCTTCGAAATAAACCGCGATCCCACCGTACTTAACTCTGCATAGTATATCGGTTTATGAAATGCGATTCTGAGCGTATGTACCCGTACGAAAAACACGCAAGTCAGTGTACGTGTGACGGCCGTTATAGTGTGCTCTTTAGACCACACTATGGGGGCCAGCATTTCTTCCACGCGCTTTCAAGGATCGAGTCCAAAACATGTCTGCTTCCGTATAAAATTTCCGTAGAAAATCTTATCTTGTTGATAAACTGAAAAATTAAACTTTATACAAAACATTAGAAAGCATTCTTGCAAAAGTTTACAAACTAAGTCTATACATTTCCGTTTCAAAAATAAAATGCACAAAAACATGCAGACGAAAGTGAAAAAAGAAGAAACTTAAAACGCTTGTTATTGCAAGAGTATATATTAAACCAATAAAAAAAAAGGGGGGAAAGAGGGGCCAGGAATCGCCTCAGGTTGCACCACAGAGCATCTAATTATCAAAAATTTCACGGGGTCCTAAAGCGGGCCCCGCACCCCACGCCGAAATACATTCAAAAAGAAATCCGTCTAAAGAAATCCTGGATCCGCGCCTGTGCATGGTACCTGGGTGGGGTTTAGCATTTATACCAAGCGCGCCTAGAATCCAGCATTGTATTGGTTACGTAAGAACATACGCTAACATACGATTCACAGCACAATTCTGTACAATTCCATTCATACTAATGCATTTAACAGTTACGCAATAAGACAAAGCGTGTGTCTTTGTATGAAACAAAGTCGCTCCATTCGTGCAAAATAATGGAGCGCTAGGACAATAGGGTGACGTCACGGGTGGAGTTTAAGTCGGATAATGCCGCTCGGTACCGCGCCATTCGTGGGTAAGAATGGCCCTCAGGCTTCGCCCTCGGGCCATTCTTACCCACGAATGTCGCGTACCTCGGGCATTATCCTTTACCTAAATAAGTTCGGTGGATCGTTAAAGCGGGAGTATCTGACAGGATGCTGAAGTTGTCTCTGTGTGCTCACTGAAGCATGTCAGAAGGATGGCGGTATACGCTAGCTGTGGTTAACATCAACGTGTACATGATATCTAAGGGTGCATACCTGCAAATAAACTCCCATAGACACTAGTGCTAAATGCCCGTACTTCTAAATTCTTTTAAAAATACTCAAAACTCTCACAGGTATTCAAGCTGCACAGAAAAATGATGATCAATGTGTCATCTTTCATTTTCTTTTCAATTTATGGTGGGTTGACCATTGACTTTTCGAGATATTTTCACGCAAAGAAGACGACCCCTATTTTCCCCAAAGCGGAAAAGTAGCCATCTTGAAAAACGATCCCTCCACAACATGGCAAAATAGCGCCACTTTCGAGCCCAATAGCATCCAAAATGCTCAGAATTGGAAGCCCCAAGTCCGGGCTAGAGGTTCACTACCATATCTCTTCAATTCCCCAATTTTACGGCGCTCAGAACTCTCTAATATAGAATATTTTGAGGGTATAACTTTTATTCATGAGCTTGGCGGATCGATTTACAGGTGTGTACCCTATAATAGCAGGCAACTTTTAAATTTTAACACAAAATCACATTCAGGACAAGCAGAATATCTCCAAAGTCAATATTTTGAAAAAAAAAATGAAAGAAAAATATTATCTGAGGTAGATATTAAGCCCGAAAATAGTGATTGTTTTGCCCCTGCTAAGCTGTAGAGCGCCCCCAGCGACAATAAATTGAGTTCCAGCTACTTTTAAGCTCAAAATGCCCCCCCCCCCCCTTTTCAAGTATCAATTGTTGTAATCGGGTGATAGCCTACTGCTCCCTAATGATTTGGAAGCATCCGTTACGGCAAAAAACCCTTGTTGATACCTTTAAAACACTTTTTCCCCCTCCCCGTAGGTTCCGCCCACTGAAAAGACCACTGCCGCGGCACAGCGCATGCGCGAAACGGCCATCTTTGTGATTCTTTATAATAGCAGGCAACTTTTAAATTTTAACACAAAATCACATTCAGGACAAGCAGAATATCTCCAAAGTCAATATTTTGAAAAAAAAAATGAAAGAAAAATATTATCCGAGGTAGATATTAAGCCCGAAAATAGTGATTGTTTTGCCCCTGCTAAGCTGTAGAGCGCCCCCAGCGACAATAAATTGAGTTCCAGCTACTTTTAAGCTCAAAATGCCCCCCCCCCCTTTTCAAGTATCAATTGTTGTAATCGGGTGATAGCCTACTGCTCCCTAATGATTTGGAAGCATCCGTTACGGCAAAAAACCCTTGTTGATACCTTTAAAACACTTTTTCCCCCTCCCCGTAGGTTCCGCCCACTGAAAAGACCACTGCCGCGGCACAGCGCATGCGCGAAACGGCCATCTTTGTGATTCTTTATAGGGTGCATACCTGCAAATAAACTCCCATAGACACTAGTGCTAAATGCCCGTACTTCAAAATTCTTTTAAAAATACTCAAAACTCTCACAGGTATTCAAGCTGCACAGAAAAATGATGATCAATGTGTCATCTTTCATTTTCTTTTCAATTTATGGTGGGTTGACCATTGACTTTTCGAGATATTTTCACGCAAAGAAGACGACCCCTATTTTCCCCAAAGCGGAAAAGTAGCCATCTTGAAAAACGATCCCTCCACAACATGGCAAAATAGCGCCACTTTCGAGCCCAATAGCATCCAAAATGCTCAGAATTGGAAGCCCCAAGTCCGGGCTAGAGGTTCACTACCATATCTCTTCAATTCCCCAATTTTACGGCGCTCAGAACTCTCTAATATAGAATATTTTGAGGGTATAACTTTTATTCATGAGCTTGGCGGATCGATTTACAGGTGTGTACCCCTAACACTCTGTATTTACATGTACATACAATGACGACATCCAATGCACATTTCATTTTCGTCGGGACAAAGTTGTATTTTGTGGTCCTGATTTTGCTGTCGACAATTAGAGATTCGTCAGCACATCCACAATGCCTTGACTTTTCCCCACCGTTTAACTTCGACCAGGGCGATCAACCAGAGTTCTGCACTCTGTACCAAGACTTCGGATGCTGCACCCTCGCAAAGGATCGGCAAATTAGGCAGACCTTTCAGACTATCGTCACGGAATATAATACCATGCATGGAAGCTTATCGAGCAATTGCAGTAATTTCCTGAGCGAAATCCTCTGTCAGGAGTGTTCACCGTACGCGGCTCATGTTTTCGATGGTGAGGACTCACAGGAGAATATAAGACGGTTGCCCGGGCTTTGCAGCGATTACTGCACCGAGTTTCATCGATATTGCAGCCAACTCGTCCCCTTCATCACCACGGAGGAGCTGGTGCGACAAGCCGCTGCCGACTCGGCTGTTGAGTTTTGTGATAGAATGGCCATAACGGATATGGATTACTGCTTTCCCGATGTTTTAACCGATGATGATCTCTCGAAGTGGGTGGGGGAGGCGCAGTCAGGGACCGGTCGTGGTCAGTGTCTGTGCCTCGAGGAATTCGCCGGCGGTCTACGCAATCCTTTGTTCGCAATCCACGCCAACGACAACACCCACCGATTGTTCATTGGAGAGCAATTCGGAGTCATACTTGTGTTTTTGGAGAATCGTACCAGACTAGAGACCCCTTTCTTGGACATCCGCGATTCAGTGAAATTTTATAGTGGCGAACGAGGTTTACTTGGCGGTGCCTTCCACCCAAACTTCACAGACAATTCCAAGTTCTATGTTTTTTACACGACAGGCCCGGTCAGCAACAATATATTCATTCGAATTAGCGAATTCAAAGTTATGGTCAATGACAAAAATAGAGCTAATGTCTCAACGGAAAAAGTTATCTTGGAGGAGGACCAGCCATATGTCAACCACAATGGCGGTCAGTTACTGTTTGGGTTAGATGGCTACCTGTACGCAAGCCTTGGAGACGGGGGAGCAGCTGGTGATCCACAAAATGTCGCACTCAATAAGTAAGTTTCAATAAAACTTCAATTTCCGATTTTTTTATGGAAAAACATATACAGAAATCATTTTAAATAGCATAACCCCATAATTAAAAATCAGGGCGTTTTTCGTCCGAGCGAAATTTGAATTTGTAGCTTTGTTTTCACTAAAAACCATTTCTTCTCTATTTGGGGGTTTTGACACCCTCTCAAGAAATGTTTCATTTTGCGCACAAAACACGCCTTGCGATAGCCGAATTATTGTCGGGCCAGAGGTTATTCGAATTTATATAGGGGGGAGGCTGGACAACACATATGACACTAGGGGTGCTATGTACATCGTATGCAAAGTTGTGCGCTTATGTCCCTTAACCTTACCGCTAAATGGTGTGTTTAAAGCTTTATACTGTTTATTATCCAATTTTCTTAACTATATTCATTTGGAGTTTTGGACTATGAGAACCTTAAAATCGAAATTTCTTTGTTTCTCACCACACACATTGGGGGGGGGGGAGGAAGGGGTCCAATGGCCAACTCTGAATTATATTGGGCTTGATTATCATATATTTCCCACGCTCAGGGTCGACTGGTTCCCCCTTATGCATGAACCAGTCTACTCGAAAGGTAGGAATGTTTGTTTGCAAGAGCAAATTAAGATGACTCCACCTTGATCATGTTATTTTCTTCCATCTTACAAAGGAATAGTCTTCTAGGTAAGATTCTCCGAATTGACGTGGACAGCCCGACAGGCGGCCGAAACTACGGAATTCCACCAGATAACCCATTTGTGGGGGTCGTGAACACCCGCCCAGAAATCTACGCATATGGAGTACGTAATTCATGGAGAGGTTCGGTGGACCGGGGCGACAGACTGACCGGGTACGGTAAGGGACGCATGTTCTTCGGCGACGTCGGCCAGAGGTCGTATGAGGAGGTCAATATCATCGTCAAAGGAGGCAACTATGGCTGGCGGGCTAAAGAGGGATTCTCCTGTTTCAAAAGCGGACAGTGTAACGACCAGTGGCTAGGTAATTAAAAGTGTCAAAACCCCTCTTAAACAAATATCGCAAATCTTTGTTTGATTTTTGTTCTACAATTGGAATTCAGGTGATCCAGCGGACAGCTTTCTGTTCTTTACCCTTCCGAACAAAAACACAGAGCAAACGTCATACCTTCAAAACGCTATTATGACATTGTTAAGTGGTTTGCTTGTTAATTATCGCGTCAATTGCATAACACTGGCTCGATTGGTGATTTTTCTGTGTTATGACTCCAGTTATGTAATAAAATATAATAATACACATTAAAATCACCTGACCATTGCTTCTTCCTCCCCAGCTGATGAAGTCTTACCAATCCATAGCTATCCACACTCGGAGGGCAAATGTGTCATTGGAGGTTTCGTGTACAGAGGATGTCAATCGCCCAACCTTAACGGCAAATATATCTTTGGCGATTTCCAGTATGGGTAAGAACCACCACTATTTTCAACCCTGTCTTTTCGCGTCACGAGTAACTTGTATTGGCTTGGAATCGAACCCACGGTTTCCACAAAGCTCTCTACCAAAAAAAAAAAACCCACCATAACCACTAGGCCCCGGTGTAGCTTCGGCGTCCATTTAAGAGCTAAGCCTCACAAGGTAGCAGACCAGTAAATAAACTTCCATAGACCCCAATGGTAAATGCTCCCACTTCAAAAATTCGGGAAAAATACTCACAACTCTCCAAGGTGCACGAGATGCACATCAAATTCAAGCTTATTTCATCATCTTTCATTTTCTTTTCAATTTTCGGTGGGTCAACTGATGACTTTGAGGAGAAATTTCCATCTGAAGATGATCACCCCTGAAAATAGTCCTGAAGCCCATCGCCATTTTGAAAAACGATGCCTACACTCCATTGCAAAATAGAGCGCTTTTAGGGTCCAAATTACATCAAAATTACACAGAACTGCAAGCTCCCAGTCCTGTGCACGGCTTCCACCCATATTTTTTACAAACCCTCAAGTTCATGGCCCAAAGCATGCCCAAATACCGAAGATTTTGAGGGCATGCAAATCGTGATTTGGCCGGCGCAGGCAATTTCGGACCGATTTACTGGTCTGCACCCACAAAGACATCTCATGATGCGTGTTTTGGTAAGTGGCTATACTTGGCTGCAGAAGAAAAAATGAATGCGCATGGGTGCTTGGCAGCCGCCTCGTCCGACGAAAATGAAGGGGGCAGGGCAGTGGGTCTTATTCTTCTTGCAATTAATTGAGTATGATCTCTGACTCCGTTTGTAGCCGACTGTTCCAACTCACCGAAAACACAACAGCGAACAGCTGGGAAAGGCAAGATATCTGCTTGGGCGATTCATCGGTTTGCAAAGGAAATCTTGTCAGTACCTTCCCAAGATACATCCTGTCATTTGCAGAGGACGAAAGAGGTATACATGATGCACATTTTTCAGAGGTTTTAAATAGCTCTCACTTTGCAATGTTACCTTAATCCATTATGTTGGCGGATCGTCATGAGACCGATAGGGCGTGGTTGGCCTTATACCTTCGACGTAGAGGGTCTTTCGAAACGGTTCATTTGAATAGCCATGACTTGACTGAGACTGAAGGACGTGTAATGGACTTTACTTGTGATGGACCTGCAGGGACCGTATGGGGACTTGTGATGGACTCGACTTCAACACTGGGGATACGCTTGCAATCGACTCTCCGTTCAAGCCGAGCTAGTATACAAATGACTTTCCGCATAAGACGAGCTTCCGGATAATACGAGGACATTAAATGAGTCCGGACACCCTCGTATTAACGAGAGTTTATTGTACGCACTTTTTAGCGGCAAGATGGCGCCTTACGTCAATACAATGAGTAGGCAAGGGCGGATCCGGGGGGGGGGGGCAACGGGGGTCAACCCCCCCCCCCAAAAAATGAAATTTAAGTGACTTCGCAATAAAGGCAGGCACTGCGTACACCATCATCTTTTCCTAAAAAAAAAAAACAAGCGGGCCCCGAGCCCCTCGCCGTAATTTTCGGACCCACTTGTTGGGGGACCAAATTTTTTGGGGCCCCAAAAATTGTGTACTGGATTGTGAGTAGTTGCTGAGTACTCGGGCGTCAATATAAATAGCGAGACACAAAAATGGCACCTTTGTTATCAGCACTGTTACATGAGTGATAAGTCAAATGGAAGATTCGAAAAATAAAGAAAAGATATTTTTCAAAGTTTCCCAAAATATCATTGAATTGCTAAAAATAACCAACAAATGCTATCAATGATTTTTTTCTATTAAACAAAAATCACCAGTTCTACTAATCAATTCTAACGGACAGTTTCATTAAATGCAACTGCTATAAGGGAACTGCTAAATGTCATCATTTCGTTGGCAGGTGAGGTATACTTTATGGGAAAAAATGGCCGACCATCCATAAATAATGATCAAGGACACATTTTGAAAATAGTGGATCCTGGAAGGTAAGCATTTCCTTTTTATTAGTTTCTTGCCTTTGTGTCTGTCACAAGATTTTGTCTGGATCCACACCAATTTGTATTTTAATGATTGAATGGGGGACCATATCAGATTTTTAATTGAAACTTATAGTTTATATCTTTACGATTATACTTCTTAATGTTTATTCGATGATAAGACAAAAAAAATCACCGACTTTACTTCAAATCGGATTGTTGGCGAAGGACCTAAAACGCAGAAATGCAAGCATGTGTATACAAGGAAGTAAGTTACATATTATGAATGACGTAACAGAGAATCTAAAGGTTCCAACAACACTTTTCCTTGCTACTGGATCGGTCCCCCACCGAACCGGGGGGGGGGGGGGCAGCAGGAAGGGGGTTACTTACCAAGGTTCCCCCCCCCAACACACACCCACACACCCCCCCCCCACCCCACCCCCCCCCCCCCCCCCACGCACACACCCACACACCCAGTCGTGTTTTGCTAGGCTTCCGAAGATTGGCTTTGTGTTTTCCTTTGTTCCCTTATCTAAACCTTTCCCATAGACTAAGTGCACAAACCGGCATTTGAGGACAATAGGCACCGTCGTCCGAGGATGCAAGGCCCCTTTGTGCTCCTTTTGTTGTCTGTCCTGGAGCGTAATACAATACAATACAAGAGCACATGCACACACACACGCACCCACCCAGGTAGCATGCCCATATGGGGCCCATATGGGAAGTATCTGGGCAACCTGGGTATGGGCAAACCTCTATGTATCCCATATGGGACCCATATGGGTTATCCCATATGGGGGTCTACCTGGGCTTTCCCATATGGGTGTCATATGAGGGAAAACTGGGCAAACCCATATGGGCTAGGAAATGGGTTGACCCATATGGGTGTCATATGGGAAGAAACTGGGCAAGCCCATTCGGGCAGAATATGGGCTGGCCCATATGGGTGTCATTAGGGAAAAAGCTGGGCTGGCCCATGTGGGGAAAATACGGGCTGACCCATGTGGGCGTCATATGGGATAAATCTGGGTACGCTCATATGGGCAAAATACGGGCTGGCCCATATGGGTGTCATTAGGAAAAAAGCTGGGCAAGCCCATGTGGGGAAAATACGGTCTGACCCATGTGGGCGTCATATGGGATAAACCTGGGCACGCTCATATGGGCACAATATGGGCTTGCCCATATGGGTGTGATTAGGGAAAAAGCTGGGCAAGCCCATGTGGGAAAAATACGGGCTGACCCATGTGGGCGTCATATGGGATAAACCTGGGCACGCTCATATGGGCAAAATACCGGCTGGCCCATATGGGTGTCGTTAGGGAAAAAGCTGGGCAAGCCCATATGGGGAAAATACGGGCTGACCCATGTGGGCGTCAAATGGGATAAACCTGGGCACGCTCATATGGGCACAATATGGGCTTGCCCATATGGGTGTGATTAGGGAAAAAGCTGGGCAAGCCCATGTGGGGAAAATACGGGCTGACCCATGTGGGCGTCATATGGGATAAACCTGGGCACGCTCATTATGGGCAAAATACAGGCTGGCCGATATGGGTGTCATTGGGAAAAAACCTGGGCAAACCCATAAGGGGAAAATACGGGCTGACCCATGAGGGCGTCATGGGATAAACCTGGGCACGCTCATAATGGGCAAAATACGGGCTGGCCCATATGGGTGTCATTGGGGAAAAACCTGGGCAAACCCATGTAGGCGGAATACTAGTGCTGGCTGGCCCATGTGGGTGTAATAATGGAAAGAAAACCTGGGCGAGCACGTGTGGACAAAATACGGGATGGCCCGTATGGGTGTCATAATACTGGGCAACTCCATGTAGGCAGAATACAGACTGACCCATATGGGGGTAAATGGTAAAAACCGGGTGTGTGGGCAAAATACGGGCTGGGCTCACTGGGGTGTCATTAGGGAAAAAGCTGGGCAAACCCATGTTCGCGGAATACTGGCTGGCCTATAAGGGCATCACATGGGAAAACCGTGGGCAAAACCAAGTGGGCAGAACACCGCCTGGCCCATTACGGATGTCATATGGGGAAAAGTGGCAATCCAATGTGGGTTGAATACGGGCGGGCTCATGTGGGTGTCACATGGGAACAACCTGGGCAAACTTATGTGGGCAGAATATGGGCCGGCCCATATGGGTGTTACATGGGGAAAAGCTGATCTAAGTTTGAACTTCCGGTCGAGCCGGAAGTAAATGTCGAAGGAGGTCATGTACAGTTCGCAAATGTTGATCTATGAATGTAGCATCGCATTGCAAAGTATGAACACGATTGGTGATATTGTTGAACAGTTATAAGAGAAATAATTGATCATATTTCGAACATCCGGTAGAGCCGGAAGTTAAGGTCAAACGAGGTTGTGCACACTGCCAAGTTGTTGTTCAGTGAATTGTCTATGGAAAGGGAAAGTATTCACAAGATCGACGGTGTTAGTCAAGAGTTATAAGCTAAAGAAGTTGTTTAGAAAATGTCTTGTTGATCATTAAGAGTTGGTATGCAAAAAGTCATGAATATTTATTACGTAACCGAGCATGCTCACTTGTGAAACAAAGCTGTGGGCGGAGCTTGACAATTTGCTAACTGTGATTTAGAAAATGGAAATTATTGGGCATATATATAGGAAGTGTGCACACAAATGATATAATTAGAAAGGATAGAGAGGGAGGGATGATTATGGGGAATATGATTACGGGTATAGAGGATGTGATTTCGGGGTATATTATGGTTGTAGACGCTATTTGGGAGGATTAAGGGATTAATTAGGAGAAGTAAAGTTGGATGGAGCATTGTGAGATGTATTAGCGAGGAATGTGACTAGGGTATGCAAATATAAATAGAAATGGAAATATAATGTGATTTGGACATTATGGTGGATGAGAATGTAATAAGGTAAGATTCAGGATTGAAATTCAGGATTAAGATTAGGATTAATATATTTTGGACAACCCACATTTTACCCAGATGGGCCCCACAGGTAACCCATATGGGTTATCTGGGCTGGCCCATATGGGTCCCATAAGGATCTTGGGTGCAAAATTATCTGGGGCCCATTTGGGTCCGCCCATATGGGACCCATATCTTGGCCCAGATGGGGCCCATTAAAGCTTTCCCATATTTTACCCAGATGTTTGCCCAGATGGGCCCCAGAAATAACCCATATGGGTTTATCTGGGCTGGCCCATATGGGCCCCATAAGAATCTTGGGTGCAAAATTATCTGGGGCCCATATGGGTCCTCCCATATGGGACCCATATATTGGCCCCGATGGGGCCCATATGCCACCCATATGGGCTTGCTACCTGGGCACTATTTGAATTTACGGAGGCCAAGTGTCCGGTGAAAAAAACTTATGGACATTTCAGCACGGATGTGCCCCCCACCGACGGAAGATGCCTTTTACTGAGCAAGTGGCCCTTTTTAGTGATGCCCCCCCCCCCAGTTTGAAAACCGTTCCGCCGCCGCTGCCCCCACCCTTACTTTGGCAAGAAATGGCCGTTGCGAAGACGATTTTCACTCCATGCCCGGATTTTTCTAACAACTGGTAAATAGCTGTAGGTCCGGAGCTAGTGGTAACCAAGTGGTAACATTTTGTAACTATAAGTTGCGCGATATTTGCCGCAATGGCTGAAACTCTAATCGTTCGTACAATTTGTTGATTCAAACTGAAACAATTTGACCCACCCATCCCCGACCACCCCTTTGTGGGCGTGATGTATATTTTCCTTAAGTAATACACTCCTTTTGTCCTTTTTCTACAGGGTTTCGTTAATTTTTCCCCATCTCTATGCAAAAATCCTGTATTAATTTCAGTTATGACTGTTGTCTTTTAGGAGGGGGAATCCATCGGAATGTAACCCGCAGATGTCCACAGCTGTGGACAATCCTACAACCCAAGCAGGTAAGTCTTCTCCGTCATTTCGTCTGAAACATTGGATGGCATTTTCATCGGGAAGTGGAAATGTAAATATCAGTGCTGGGTTAGCTTATAAGCACTTGACATGTAAATCCAAAGCCACTGGGGAGATATAGACCTCAGGAAATAAGCCATTTGCGAGTTAAATTTGAATAAAATCTGGAACGCTGACTTAATCCAATTGCACATTTTAACTTTGCATTCTCCCGACCAAAGAGACTGTTACTACATCACGTGATTCGGGGCAAGCCTTATGTTAGCAACACCCAGCTCTGGCATGGTCTGGTGTCTTTGTGCCATTCTCACCCATTGTGAGCGATGTATTGATGCTGAGCGTCTCTTACGTAACTATGGAACAGCTTGCCCCGAATAATGTGATTAGCAACAGTGTCTTTGGTCTGGAGAATTCAAAGTTAAAATGTGCCAAGCATTCTGAGCAAGTCAGTGTACGAGATGTTATTGAAATGTAAATCCCAAAGGGTATAGGTTACTCGCAAATGGCTTATTGCAACAAATTCAAAAGCTGCTTGGGTGGGACTCATCGGCCAATATCTTGCTTACTGGGCAAACACTGAGAGCATTCCAGTTGAGAACGAACCTTATGCGTTTAGGCGAAGTTGGAGGGCAACGGTTTTGTATCCCTTGGGTAGGCATAATTGTAACCATTTGTGTGTTTTCATTGTTGCTAAATTAAAACAACAAAGGACACTCTTTGGGACACATGCAACGAACACACCTTCGTAAACACCGGCAATCGTGGCCCCCTATTGTCCCTATAAAGCCCTCATCCCTTCGTTTTGAACACTTTTTAGCAACAGCTCTCATTGGTTTTGTACACGAATTTCAATCGTGGACGTTCGGTCAATCGTGGACGTATTGTTTGTGCCGGCCCTAACTCTTTTGCCCTATGTCCACGATTGCCGTTGTTTACATACTCGTAAGTTCTAGTGCGTTGTTGTTTTCCTTTGCCACATGAATGACAGTTTAATTGGTGTACATAACGAGAAATCCTTTGAATTGCACTGGCCATCATGATTGTAGGTGCTTGCTGGTTTTCTCAGAGAAAGGCATGGGTAGACCTCTTGTGCACTCACTGTTGTTGTACAAGTTCCCTAGCTTGACTGGAAGTTGAGCATCAAATAAGGCCTTTGAATGTGCATTTTTTTTTCTTTTTTTTTCTATCTCCAGACAGTAGGGTTTAGGTGTTTATTGCAAGTATTCTGTGCATGTTGAATCTCTCCCCTTTTTAAAAAAAATATTTTTTTTTAATATACATGTCCCTCCAAATTGCCTTTTTATAGCTTTGTCCCCCTCCAGATGGTGGAATTTTCCCCTTTTTACCTTGCCAGGCCCTTTCAGGGTCCCCCCCTGTTCCTACGCCTGAGTCCTAGGTTCCCCCCTTCTTCCTTTTTTTTAACTGCTACTTTGGTGTATGCACATTTGTGAATTTGTCCATGTTTGACGTTTTCTGTGTGATAATGAACAAAATGTAGATGTTTTTATTTATAAATAAATGTAATTTCTTAATGTTCTTATTGTATCACTGATGTGAATAACAATAAAGGTATTTCAATATATATATATAATTGAAACCTTGAACAAAGATCAACCCTGATCCCGAGGTGTGCAAATATTACTCTGACATCATGATGACGTCATCAATGAATGTTCAGTCATTATCTAATTGACCATACATTGATAAACGTAGTGTCGCTTGGCATTTCCTTGCGGGGTTACGTCAAAGATAGGAGAAATCAAAGTGCAAACAGAAGCCTCACATCAAAACAAACCAAACTGTCTTCCATACGGTTCACGGGATTACGATCAAACTTTAATTTTGTAACGTCATCATGACGTCTTCAGGTATCAAATTACAAGTGATTTAATGTCAACATTTGAAAAAATTACTTTGAACTCTAACATTTTAAATGAATGTAGTAATAAATAATTTGTTTGTAATATGGTAGACATTGCCTATATGGCAATAGTTTGGATTCCCGGTGACAAACCCTTTTCACCTATATTTCCGGTGTTACTGGAAGTGCAATGAGAATTGACTGTAACTTGAAATTGAAGCATTTTTCTTCATTAAACAAATCATAGAAATATTTAGTGAAGGATGCCAAGCACAAAAGAGGCACGATGACGTCATCAACCGAAAGGGTGTCCTTTAGCGGCACTTCAAAAACAGTTGAACTTCTTGGATCTAAAAACCATTCATGAAAATGTTATCAATGTTGGCATTATATTCTTTGGACATTCCTTGGTTTCAAGATGATGACGACATCAGATAGACCGGAAGTTATTGTAGGGAGAATTTGTGAATGATTAGTTTTCTTTAGTTCTTTTGTATTTAAATCCATCATATGATATAATGATTGTAGTCGTCATGCTGTGCCGCCATCAAACCGAAAGTTGGGTGTTGGTGTTCGTAAAATGCGTACTGAAATTTATCATATGCCTACCCCTTAAGGTGCATTTTTGTTCAAATTAAAACACATGGTTCTATATACTATTACGGTAAAAGGCTGAATTCCGTGATCCATTTTCGTGTTCGGACATAAAAAATACTCACAACTTAACTGGCCAATAAATAACAGTTGGAACTCAACAATACCGTAGCTCTAGTTAGTTGTGCAACGTTACCAGTTTTATATACACGGAATGGCAAAAATAAAAGAATATTAGTCACTTATCACCTGCCTATCATAAAGATCAATTTGGTCCATAAATGGACCAAACTGGCTTCCAAAACCGGAAGAGAGTGAAAAATCATTATAATTTCCAAATTCTCAAAAGGTTTTTCTGTTTCATTCATAATGAACATATGAACTAAAACAGTCAATTTTCGGTTTACACATTGTATGTGATGACGTCATCAAACCGGAGATATCAGGTACGTGTAAATATAATGTATGCTGATATTCATCAAACCACAAAAGGGCCATATTTTTGTTCAAATCAAACTAATTGTACTACCGGAAAGGCCAAAATTCGTGATCTTTTTTTTGGTTCTGGATTTAAAAAAAATATTCACAACTTAACTGGGTCATGTCCAATGAAATAGTTGCATGCCCAATCACCCTGCGCTTGTAACTCAACAAACGCTCGTCTTTATAGCTATCTTCTTTTATTCACAAAGACTATTTTTAACGGAGTTTGGGGCAATTCCAGTTCAAAAATGCATATGGGATCATTGAAAGTCCTGAGTTTAACCGTCGCCCTATCTCCTATAGCATATTATCTCTTTCAATAAGACTGAGATGGAACCTTGAGATGTAAACTATACATTACCACCATGATCATATTGGAACTCCACAAAATGAGCTATCATCATAGTCCTTGGAGACAGCGGTTTGTTTAATTATCCTTTATGAGTGCGCCAATGCATCACCGAATATTTTTCTGAGAACTATAAAATGATGATTTCTGATTACGAAAATGACGTTAAAAGAACAGAATTTCACCCTTATGGCTATCCAGTTAGGGTTTTTTTGCCACAGTGGAATTTCTCAGTTCAGCCACCTCGAAAGCAGAAACTTATGTTGCTCTTTTGGCTAAATTTGGGGTTTTTTTCACTTTATGGTGCCGTTTTCCTTTTCTCTACTTTCAACAAGAACCAACAACGACAGCTGATTTCACATCCACTGTGGAAGCAAACATCAACCAACTGACTACGAGTGATTCGCCAATAACGACTAGTCGATCAATCACCACTGAATCGCCGATCAACGGACGACTTGCCACCACTGACTCAGGTAACACGCTTTTCCTCATCAGAGAAAAGTCATTGTCTCGCTTTTAATGAAGCTCATATCTCCTTCTAATATTATTGTGTTGATTCCAGTGGAATTTCTTAGTTCAGGCACCTGGAAAGCAGAAACTTATGTTGCTCTTTTGGATAAAGTTGGGGCTTTTTTCACTTCATGGTGCCGTTTTCCTTTTCTCTACTTTCATCTGGAATCAACAACGACAGCTGACTTGACATCCACTGTGGAAGCAAACATCAACCAACTGACTACGAGTGATTCGCCAATAACGACTAGTCGACCAATCACCACTGAATCGCCGATCAACGGACGACTTGCCACCACTGACTCAGGTAACACGCTTTTCCTCATCAGAGAAAAGTCAATGTCTTGCTTTTAATGGAGCTAATTTTCCCCTCCTACTATTATTGTGTTGATTCCAGTGGAATTTCTTAGTTCAGCCACCTGGAAAGCAGAAACTTATGTTGCTCTTTTGGATAAAGTTGGGGCTTTTTTCACTTTATGGTGCCGTTTTCCTTTTCTCTACTTTCAACCAGAATCAACAACGACAGCTGACTTGACATCGACTGTGGAAGCAAACATCAACCAACTGACTACGAGTGATTCGCCAATAACGACTAGTCGACCAATCACCACTGAATCGCCGATCAACGGACGACTTGCCACCACTGACTCAGGTAACACGCTTTTCCTCATCAGAGAAAAGTCAATGTCTTGCTTTTAATGAAGCTAATTTTCCCCTCCTACTATTATTGTGTTGATTCCAGTGGAATTTCTTAGTTCAGCCACCTGGAAAGCAGAAACTTATGTTGCTCTTTTGGATAAAGTTGGGGCTTTTTCACTTTATGGTGCCGTTTTCCTTTTCTCTACTTTCAACCAGAATCAACAACGACAGCTGACTTGACATCGACTGTGGAAGCAAACATCAACCAACTGACTACGACTGATTCGCCAATAACGACTAGTCGACCAATCACCACTGAATCGCCGATCAACGGACGACTTGCCACCACTGACTCAGGTAACACGCTTTTCCTCATGAGAGAAAAGTCATTGTCTCGCTTTTAATGAAGCTCATTTTCCCCTTCTAATATTATTGTGTTGATTCCAGTGGAATTTCTTAGTTCAGCCACCTGGAAAGCAGAAACTTATGTTGCTCTTTTGGATAAAGTTGGGGCTTTTTTCACTTCATGGTGCCGTTTTCCTTTTCTCTACTTTCATCTGGAATCAACAACGACAGCTGACTTGACATCCACTGTGGAAGCAAACATCAACCAACTACCTACGACTGATTCACAAATAACGACTGGTCTACCAATCACCACTGAATCGCCGATCAACGGACGACTTGCCACCACTGACTCAGGTAACACGCTTTTCCTCATCAGAGAAAAGTCATTGTCTCGCTTTTAATGGAGCTCTTGTGTTTTCGCGTCAAATATTATTGTGTTGATTCCAGTGGAATTTCTTAGTTCAGCCACCTGGAAAGCAGAAACTTATGTTGCTCTTTTGGATAAAGTTGGGGCTTTTTTCACTTCATGGTGCCGTTTTCCTTTTCTCTACTTTCATCTGGAATCAACAACGACAGCTGACTTGACATCCACTGTGGAAGCAAACATCAACCAACTACCTACGACTGATTCACAAATAACGACTGGTCGACCAATCACCACTGAATCGCCAATCAACGGACAACTTGCCACCACTGACTCAGGTAACACGCTTTTCCTCATCAGAGAAAAGTCATTGTCTCGCTTGTAATGGAGCTCTTGTTTTTTCCCATCAAATATTATTGTGTTGACTCCAGTGGAATTTCTTAGTTCAGCCACCTGGAAAGCAGAAACTTATGTTGCTCTTTTGGATAAAGTTGGGGCTTTTTTCACTTTATGGTGCCGTTTTCCTTTTCTCTACTTTCAACCAGAATCAACAACGACAGCTGACTTGACATCGACTGTGGAAGCAAACATCAACCAACTGACTACGAGTGATTCGCCAATAACGACTAGTCGACCAATCACCACTGAATCGCCGATCAACGGACGACTTGCCACCACTGACTCAGGTAACACGCTTTTCCTCATGAGAGAAAAGTCATTGTCTCGCTTTTAATGAAGCTCATTTTACCCTTCTAATATTATTGTGTTGATTCCAGTGGAATTTCTTAGTTCAGCCACCTGGAAAGCAGAAACTTATTTTGCTCTTTTGGATAAAGTTGGGGCTTTTTTCACTTTATGGCGCCGTTTTCCTTTTCTCTACTTTCAACCAGAATCAACAACGACAGCTGACTTGACATCCACTGTGGAAGCAAACATCAACCAACTGACTACGAGTGATTCGCCAATAACGACTAGTCGACCAATCACCACTGAATCGCCGATCAACGGACGACTTGCCACCACTGACTCAGGTAACACGCTTTTCCTCATCAGAGAAATGTCATTGTCTTGCTTTTAATGGAGCTAATTTTCCCCTCCTACAATTATTGTGTTGATTCCAGTGGAATTTCTTAGTTCAGCCACCTGGAAAGCAGAAACTTATGTTGCTCTTTTGGATAAAGTTGGGGCTTTTTTCACATTATGGTGCCGTTTTCCTTTTCTCTACTTTCAACCAGAATCAACAACGACAGCTGACTTGACATCCACTGTGGAAGCAAACATCAACCAACTGACTACGAGTGATTCGCCAATAACGACTGGTCGACCAATCACCACTGAATCGCCGATCAACGGACGACTTGCCACCACTGACTCAGGTAACACGCTTTTCCTCATCAGAGAAAAGTCATTGTCTCGCTTTTAATGGAGCTCTTGTTTTTTCCCGTCAAATATTATTGTGTTGATTCGAGTGGAATTTCTTAGTCCAGCCACCTGGAAAGCACAAACGCATGCAGCTCTTTTGGATAAAGTTGTTTTTTTTCACTTCATGGTGTCGTTTTTCTTTTCACTACATTCAACCAGAATCAACAATGACAGCTGACTTGACATCGACAGTGGAAGCAAACATCAACCAACTGACTACGAGTGAATCGCCAATAACGACTAGTCGACCAATCACCACTGAATCGCCGATCAACGGACGACTTGCCACCACTGACTCAGGTAACACGCTTTTCCTCACTGGCAGAGAAAACTCAATGTCTTGCTTTTAATGAAGCTCATTTTCTTGTTTTAATATTATTGTGTTGATTCCAGTGGAATTTCTTAGTTCAGCCACCTGGAAAGCAGAAACTTATGTTGCTCTTTTGATAAAGTTGGGTTTTTTTCACTTCATGGTGCCGTTTTCCTTTTCTCTACTTTCATCTGGAATCAACAACGACAGCTGACTTGACATCCACCGTGGAAGCAAACATCAACCAACTACCTACGACTGATTCACAAATAACGACTGGTCGACCAATCACTACTGAATCGCGAATCAACGGACGACTTGCCACCACTGACTCAGGTAACACGCTTTTCCTCATCAGAGAAAACTCAATGTCTTGCTTTTAATGGAGCTAATTTTCCCCTCCTACAATTATTGTGTTGATTCCAGTGGAATTTCTTAGTTCAGCCACCTGGAAAGCAGAAACTTATGTTGCTCTTTTGGATAAAGTTGGGGCTTTTTTCACTTTATGGTGCCGTTTTCCTTTTCTCTACTTTCAACCAGAATCAACAACGACAGCTGACTTGACATCCACTGTGGAAGCAAACATCAACCAACTACCTACGACTGATTCACAAATAACGACTGGTCGACCAATCACCACTGAATCGCCGATCAACGGACGACTTGCCAACACTGACTCAGGTAACACGCTTTTCCTCATCAGAGAAAAGTCATTGTCTCGCTTTTAATGGAGCTCTTGTTTTTTCCCGTCCTACAATTATTGTGTTGATTCGAGTGGAATTTCTTAGTCCAGCCACCTGGAAAGCACAAACGCATGCAGCTCTTTTGGATAAAGTTGTGTTTTTTTCACTTCATGGTGTCGTTTTTCTTTTCACTACATTCAACCAGAATCAACAACGACAGCTGACTTGACATCCACTGTGGAAGCAAACATCAACCAACTACCTACGACTGATTCACAAATAACGACTGGTCGACCAATCACCACTGAATCGCCGATCAACGGACGACTTGCCACCACTGACTCAGGTAACACGCTTTTCCTCATCAGACAAAAGTCATTGTCTCGCTTGTAATCGAGCTCTTGTTTTTTCCCGTCAAATATTATTGTGTTGATTCCAGTGGAATTTCTTAGTTCAGCCACCTGGAAAGCAGAAACTTATGTTGCTCTTTTGGATAAAGTTGGGGCATTTTTCACTTTATGGTGCCGTTTTCCTTTTCTCTACTTTCAACCAGAATCAACAACGACAGCTGACTTGACATCGACTGTGGAAGCAAACATCAACCAACTGACTACGAGTGATTCGCCAATAACGACTAGTCCACCAATCACCACTGAATCGCCGATCAACGGACGACTTGCCACCACTGACTCAGGTAACACGCTTTTCCTCATCAGAGAAAAGTCATTGACTCGCTTTTAATGAAGCTTATTTTCCCCTTCTAATATTATTGTGTTGATTCCAGTGGAATTTCTTAGTTCAGCCACCTGGAAAGCAGAAACTTATGTTGCTCTTTTGGATAAAGTTGGGGCTTTTTCACTTTATGGTGCCGTTTTCCTTTTCTCTACTTTCAACCAGAATCAACAACGACAGCTGACTTGACATCGACTGTGGAAGCAAACATCAACCAACTGACTACGACTGATTCGCCAATAACGACTAGTCGACCACTCACCACTGAATCGCCGATCAACGGACGACTTGCCACCACTGACTCAGGTAACACGCTTTTCCTCATCAGAGAAAAGTCATTGACTCGCTTTTAATGAAGCTTATTTTCCCCTTCTAATATTATTGTGTTGATTCCAGTGGAATTTCTTAGTTCAGCCACCTGGAAAGCAGAAACTTATGTTGCTCTTTTGGATAAAGTTGGGGATTTTTTCACTTTATGGCGCCGTTTTCCTTTGCTCTACTTTCAACCAGAATCAACAACGACAGCTGACTTGACATCGACTGTGAAACCAACAATCAACCAACTGACTACGAGTGATTCGCCAATAACGACTAGTCGACCAATCACCACTGAATCGCCGATCAACGGACGACTTGCCACCACTGACTCAGGTAACACGCTTTTCCTCATCAGAGAAAAGTCATTGTCTCGCTTTTAATGAAGCTCATTTTCCCCTTCTAATATTATTGTGTTGATTCCAGTGGAATTTCTTAGTTCAGCCACCTGGAAAGCAGAAACTTATGTTGCTCTTTTGGATAAAGTTGTGGCTTTTTTAACTTCATGGTGCCGTTTTCCTTTTCTCTACTTTCATCTGGAATCAACAACGACAGCTGACTTGACATCCACTGTGGAAGCAAACATCAACCAACTGACTACGAGTGATTCGCCAATAACGACTAGTCGACCAATCACCACTGAATCGCCGATCAACGGACGACTTGCCACCACTGACACAGGTAACACGCTTTTCCTCATCAGAGAAAACTCAATGTCTTGCTTTTAATGGAGCTAATTTTCCCCTCCTACTATTATTGTGTTGATTCCAGTGGAATTTCTTAGTTCAGCCACCTGGAAAGCAGAAACTTATGTTGCTCTTTTGGATAAAGTTGGGGCTTTTTTCACTTTATGGTGCTGTTTTCCTTTTCTCTACTTTCAACCAGAATCAACAACGACAGCTGACTTGACATCGACTGTGGAAGCAAACATCAACCAACTGACAACGAGTGATTCGCCAATAACGACTAGTCGACCAATCACCACTGAATCGCCGATCAACGGACGACTTGCCACCACTGACTCAGGTAACACGCTTTTCCTCATCGGAGAAAAGTCATTGTCTCGCTTTTAATGAAGCTCATTTTCCCCTTCTAATATTATTGTGTTGATTCCAGTGGAATTTCTTAGTTCAGCCACCTGGAAAGCAGAAACTTATGTTGCTCTTTTGGATAAAGTTGGGGCTTTTTTCACTTCATGGTGCCGTTTTCCTTTTCTCTACTTTCATCTGGAATCAACAACGACAGCTGACTTGACATCCACTGTGGAAGCAAACATCAACCAACTACCTACGACTGATTCACAAATAACGACTGGTCGACCAATCACCACTGAATCGCCGATCAACGGACGACTTGCCACCACTGACTCAGGTAACACGCTTTTCCTCATCAGAGAAAACTCAATGTCTTGCTTTTTATGAAGCTCATTTTCTTGTTTTAATATTATTGTGTTGATTCCAGTGGAATTTCTTAGTTCAGCCACCTGGAAAGCAGAAACTTATGTTGCTCTTTTGGATAAAGTTTGGGCTTTTTCACTTCATGGTGCCGTTTTCCTTTTCTCTACTTTCATCTGGAATCAACAACGACAGCTGACTTGACATCCACTGTGGAAGCAAACATCAACCAACTACCTACGACTGATTCACAAATAACGACTGGTCGACCAATCACCACTGAATCGCCAATCAACGGACGACTTGCCACCACTGACTCAGGTAACACGCTTTTCCTCATCAGAGAAAACGCAATGTCTTGCTTTTAATGGAGCTAATTTTCCCCTCCTACTATTATTGTGTTGATTCCAAAGGAATTTCTTAGTTCAGCCACCTGGAAAGCAGAAACTTATGTTGCTCTTTTGGATAAAGTTGGGGCTTTTTTTCACTTCATGGTGCCGTTTTCCTTTTCTCTACTTTCAACCAGAATCAACAACGAAAGCTGACTTGACATCGACTGTGGAAGCAAACATCAACCAACTGACTACGAGTGATTCGCCAATAACGACTAGTCGACCAATCACCACTGAATCGCCGATCAACGGACGACTTGCCACCACTGACTCAGGTAACACGCTTTTCCTCATCGGAGAAAAGTCATTGTCTCGCTTTTAATGAAGCTCATTTTCCCCTTCTAATATTATTGTGTTGATTCCAGTGGAATTTCTTAGTTCAGCCACCTGGAAAGCAGAAACTTATGTTGCTCTTTTGGATAAAGTTGGGGCTTTTTTCACTTCATGGTGCCGTTTTCCTTTTCTCTACTTTCATCTGGAATCAACAACGACAGCTGACTTGACATCCACTGTGGAAGCAAACATCAACCAACTACCTACGACTGATTCACAAATAACGACTGGTCGACCAATCACCACTGAATCGCCAATCAACGGACGACTTGCCACCACTGACTCAGGTAACACTCTTTTCCTCATCAGAGAAAAGTCATTGTCTCGCTTTTAATGGAGCTCTTGTTTTTTCCCGTCAAATATTATTGTGTTGATTCGAGTGGAATTTCTTAGTCCAGCCACCTGGAAAGCACAAACGCATGCAGCTCTTTTGGATAAAGTTGTGTTTTTTTTCACTTCATGGTGTCGTTTTTCTTTTCTCTACATTCAACCAGAATCAACAACGACAGCTGACTTGACATCCACTGTGGAAGCAAACATCAATCAACTGACTACGAGTGATTGGCCAATAACGACTGGTCGACCAATCACCACTGAATCGCCGATCAACGGACGACTTGCCACCACTGACTCAGGTAACACGCTTTTTCTCATCAGAGAAAACTCAATGTCTCGCTTTTAATGGAGCTCATTTTCCTCTCCTACTATTATTGTGTTGATTCCAGTGGAATTTCTTAGTTCAGCCACCTGGAAAGAAGAAACTTATTTTGCTCTTTTGGATAAAGTTGTGGCTTTTTTAACTTCATGGTGCCGTTTTCCTTTTCTCTACTTTCATCTGGAATCAACAACGACAGCTGACTTGACATCCACTGTGGAAGCAAACATCAACCAACTGACTACGAGTGATTCGCCAATAACGACTAGTCGACCAATCACCACTGAATCGCCAATCAACGGACGACTTGCCACCACTGACACAGGTAACACGCTTTTCCTCATCAGAGAAAACTCAATGTCTTGCTTTTAATGGAGCTAATTTTCCCCTCCTACTATTATTGTGTTGATTCCAGTGGAATTTCTTAGTTCAGCCACCTGGAAAGCAGAAACTTATGTTGCTCTTTTGGATAAAGTTGGGGCTTTTTTCACTTCATGGTGCCGTTTTCCTTTTCTCTACTTTCAACCAGAATCAACAACGACAGCTGACTTGACATCGACTGTGGAAGCAAACATCAACCAAATGACTACGAGTGATTCGCCAATAACGACTAGTCGACCAATCACCACTGAATCGCCGATCAACGGACGACTTGCCACCACTGACTCAGGTAACACGCTTTTCCTCATCGGAGAAAACTCAATGTCTTGCTTTTAATGAAGCTCATTTTCTTGTTTTAATATTATTGTGTTGATTCCAGTGGAATTCCTTAGTTCAGCCACCTGGAAAGCAGAAACTTATGTTGCTCTTTTGGATAAAGTTGGGGCTTTTTTCACTTCATGGTGCCGTTTTCCTTTTCTCTACTTTCAACCAGAATCAACAACGACAGCTGACTTGACATCGACTGTGGAAGCAAACATCAACCAACTGACTACGAGTGATTGGCCAATAACGACTAGTCGACCAATCACCACTGAATCGCCGATCAACGGACGACTTGCCACCACTGACTCAGGTAACACGCTTTTCCTCATCAGAGAAAAGTCATTGTCTCGCTTTTAATGAAGCTCATTTTCCCCTTCTAATATTATTGTGTTGATTCCAGTGGAATTTCTTAGTTCAGCCACCTGGAAAGCAGAAACTTATGTTGCTCTTTTGGATAAAGTTGGGGCTTTTTTCACTTCATGGTGCCGTTTTTCTTTTCTCTACTTTCAACTAGAATCAACAACGACAGCTAACTTGACATCGACTGTGGAAGCAAACATCAACCAACTCCCTACGAGTGAATCACCTATAACGACTGGTCGACCAATCACCACTGAATCGCCAATCAACGGACGACTTGCCACCACTGACTCAGGTAACACGCTTTTCCTCATCAGAAAAAAGTAATTATCTCGCTTTTAATGTAGCTCATTTTCCCCTTCTAATACTATTGTGTTGATTCCAGTGGAATTTCTTAGTTCAGCCACCTGGAAAGCAGAAACTTATGTTGCTCTTTTGGATAAAGTTGGGGCTTTTTCACTTCATGGTGACGTTTTCCTTTTCTCTACTTTCAACAAGAATCAACAACGACGGTTGATTTCACATCCACTGTGGAAGCAAACATCAACCAACTGACTACGAGTGATTCACCAATAACGACTAGTCGACCAAGCACCACTGAATCGCCAATCAACGAACGACTTGCCACCACTGATTCAGGTAACACGCATTCCTCATCCGAGAAAAGTAATTATCTTGCTTTTGGAGCTCAAGGTCATTGTCGGTTGTACATCAATTTCAAAGTATATGAACGGCCAAAACTGAAAGATTTTTTTTCCGCAAAATTGAGGCCTGCATATTGTTACCTTCTGTAGTCAACTAAAGAATAGAATCAGTAGTGGCCAGCCAGTCCGCAAATTCAGACGTGGATAATCGGCCAGTGACCATGCAGTTTCAGTGGAAAAAGAGTTCATTTTAAAAACTTCTTCTCTCCAACTTTTATTACCAAATGGATGTAAAATTAATTTTTTTGACAATAGTTGTCCATGTAATGTGATTTGGTGTGTTTTTCTTTCTCCCAGGATCATTGTCATCGGCATCATTATTGTCGACTGAAACGAAAGCTGCAGAATCGACAATCAACCCACTACTAACAAGTGTATCATCAACGACTGGCCGATCATCCACTTCTGAATTCACCATTGACCGACTGGCCACCACCGATTCTACTCTACAATTGACTACGGAAGGTACTTCTATGGGTTCAGGCATCGATACAGTAGAGTCTTAATGTTGCCCCGGCATAAAAAAAATATAGATACGCTGCTGGCCGACAGAGACTTTCTGATAACAATGGTTATGCTATCGGTTGCACCACGAAGTGATCGTGTGCCCAAAGTCCATAGACGATATATACGTCACTTCGTGGTGCACCCGAATAATCAAATATTTACTATTGATTGATTCATCATCAACGCTGGTGGCCGTATTCTTTTAAAATAAAAAAAATTAATGTTCAAAACGACAGTCATCTACATATTTTGCAACAGAGTTGCTTATGGACGTTTCAATGCACAAAACTGACTGCTAACCACCCCCACCCTTGACAGTTAATTCCCGCTTAAGTCATAGCTGGATCCGCCCCTGACATCATATTATGGTAAAACACAATATTTTAAAGGAAACTTGTGGATCATATTTCTGAATATATTTAGCCTCCAAAGGAATCGTGGCCCCAATTCAGACATTACTACACAAAGGAGAAGTATTTAAAACACAAAACATCGTCTTGCTCTTACAAGTTTAAAAGTCAAAAGTGACATTTAGTGATAATATTCTTTTTCTGTACCATTTGAAGTGACTGTCGGACTCCGAATCCTCGCGTTGAATGGCTTATCAGCTAGATTTACCGATGATCTTACCAACAGCAGCTCTCAGGCATTTCGTGAGCTATCAGCACAAGTGACCATGGCGGTAGGTGTTCGGTACTTTAAAGAGGGGACGTCCCATTGGTCCGACGTCCTGGGGTCAGTGTCAGTCAACCTGAACCAGTGGAACTACGCAGTACTGTTATGTTTCATCGGACCAATGGGACGTCGGACTATTAGATGTAACCCTTTACAGAATCAGATAATCTCGAATACGGATAGCTTTGATAAACGATCATAGTCTGTGCTACTTGTAAATTCAAATTTGATATCGTGCCGAACTTTTCATCGTGTTTTCCCGTCGCATCTGTTGTTACTTTTGGGAATAATATTAATGTTGATTTGTTTTGTTGCAGGTGTTGGACATCCTCCGCGGTTCACCATCCACCGCTCTCGTCGTGGATTTTGTGATTTCTTCGATACGTAATGGGAGTTTACTGGTCAACGGCGTTGCCATATTTCCTACCAACTCGGCGATCGAGGCGAATGCTTTAGTCCAGGTCCTGAACATCGCTGGAAGTAACGACGGAGATGCATCCGATTCACTTACTATTGATCCGTCGGCTACCTATGCAGCAGGTTCATTTAATGCCACTTAAATACATTTTAACTAGAATATCTTAATAATGCGAAAGGAATCTGAACTTTGATTAAGGTGTTTTTCTACAACACATGCTATTGAGGTATCGTAAATGTTGTCGTCGAGTACTTGAGTCGAGTTCGAGTCTGAGTTTTAAGGCACTTGGGCCCGGTCGAGTCCGAGCCTGAGTATCACGGTCATTCGATTCGAGTCCATATTGATGTGCATGGACATAGAACCATAATGTACACGTAGCGATATGGATATCAGGATGCGCTGTTGCGAGAAAAATAAGGAGAGGCGCATTTAATAAACACTTATTTGCATTACCACCTGGTGAGTGTTATTTATCTTCAGTGGCGTTACTTTCGATAAAAAAATTAACGTCGGAACTATTTACTATAGTTATTTTTTGTTTGTTTAAAACAAGGTGGCTCACGAGGTCTCAATTTGAAGTCTTTCCCCCCACTAGTGACTCAAGTCGAGTCCAAGTAATCGAGAATACGAATCAAGACTGACTTGAGTCCGTGTCCTGGACTCCAGACTGACTCGAGTCCGTGTCCTGGACTCCAGACTGACTCGAGTCCGTGTCCTGGACTCCAGACTGACTCGAGTCCGTGTCCTGGACTCCAGACTGACTCGAGTCCGTGTCCTGGACTCCAGACTGACTCGAGTCCGTGTCCTGGACTCCAGACTGACTCGAGTCCGTGTCCTGGACTCCAGACTGACTCGAGTCCGTGTCCTGGACTCCAGACTGACTCGAGTCCGTGTCCTGGACTCCAGACTGACTCGAGTCCGTGTCCTGGACTCCAGACTGACTCGAGTCCGTGTCCTGGACTCCAGACTGACTCGAGTCCGTGTCCTGGACTCCAGACTGACTCGAGTCCGTGTCCTGGACTCCAGACTGACTCGAGTCCGTGTCCTGGACTCCAGACTGACTCGAGTCCGTGTCCTGGACTCCAGACTGACTCGAGTCCGTGTCCTGGACTCCAGACTGACTCGAGTCCGTGTCCTGGACTCCAGACTGACTCGAGTCCGTGTCCTGGACTCCAGACTGACTCGAGTCCGTGTCCTGGACTCCAGACTGACTCGAGTCCGTGTCCTGGACTCCAGACTGACTCGAGTCCGTGTCCTGGACTCCAGACTGACTCGAGTCCGTGTCCTGGACTCCAGACTGACTCGAGTCCGTGTCCTGGACTCCAGACTGACTCGAGTCCGTGTCCTGGACTCCAGATTGACTCGAGTCCGTGTCCTGGACTCCAGACTGACTCGAGTCCGTGTCCTGGACTCCAGACTGACTCGAGTCCGTGTCCTGGACTCCAGACTGACTCGAGTCCGTGTCCTGGACTCCAGATTGACTCGAGTCCGTGTCCTGGACTCCAGATTGACTCGAGTCCGTGTCCTGGACTCCAGATTGACTCGAGTCCGTGTCCTGGACTCCAGACTGACTCGAGTCCGTGTCCTGGACTCCAGTCTTACTACACCGTCTCCGGCAAATGATCATTGATGTATTTTATTTATTTCTGAGCAGTTCCAAATCAAGGTTGTCCCACGAACTACTGCACAAATGGCGGCATCTGCAAGCAAGCAGGAAGTCCCCAAGACTACGTGTATTCTTGCGAGTAAGTCTTAACATTATGTGATTATATAATCAAGTGAAATTATTTTTATTCTTTGAAAATTGGCAGGATCTTAAGGTGACGAATTGTAATGTTTGGAAAAAATACGATAACGATATGCTAATCTCGTTCTTGATTCCTTTCCTCATACAGATGCGTGGAAGGTTACACGGGACGTCTGTGCGAAAACGGAGGTTTGTGTAGTGTCTATCTTGTAAATGATTGTATGAATCGACAATGTAAGAAAACAAACCCTTGAAGTAAATCTCAGTTTTATACAGTAAATGTGATTAAGATTGATGAAGCATAAGTCAGAATTATCTAAATTGATTGTTTTTACTTCTTTGTTTGAGAAATTCACGGGAAATATACATGGGGACTGACTTAGGATTTGGCCATAGTTATACAAAATTTACCAAATGGGAGTAGGCCTACGTTATGGATAATTTACTTCTAAATTTAAACGTAATCACGTCGACCCAAGAATATCTCGGAGTTTTCTCTAAGATGTCAGGGCACCCCTTGAGCTCGAATGAAATATTTTCAAACAAAAAGTGAACTTGAAAGCATTTCCTAAGCATAATTCCATTATTTTTCCTAATGCCATGTATTTTGTATGATAATATAGGCCCAGAGGTAGGTGATAATTTCCACGTTATTGTCATTCTGGCTGCTGTGGGAGTTGTGGCTCTTGCTGTCGTCGTGGGACTGATGGCGGTGGTTAACATGATGCGTGCTCGCTCTGCAAGAAGAGTTGAAAGGCCAGAGACAAACGCGCCCAGATATCATCATCAAAGATCCTTCGGTGTGGGTTTTGCAGACAGAGCTACGACACGTCCCCCATCTCAGGTAGGCGGAAAAGTCTATATTGGATATTTTGCAGTGCAGTCATCTTCAGGATGTTGTTTGTATTCCACAGGCATGTGCTCATTAGTTTGGTAGACCTCTTGTGCGTTTGCTGTTACAAATAAAATAAGAAGACACCTCATTAATGGCTGCATGCTACATGTAAATGTTCTTCGAATTCTTCCAAGTTTAAATGATCATTTTAATATTATGTATTTGCAATATTGTCTTCCCTTCACTTTTTGGTCAAAAATTACTGTTTTTTGTACGTGTAGCAGATTTTTCTTTTTCTTTATTTCTTTTGAAGTATTGGGTTCGCAACCTGGAAAGGGAAAACTTTCGCTTGCCTTACGTTGTCCCCGACACACCAGTTAGTATACTTTTCCAGTGTGGCTTACAGCAGTGCTTATAATAGTTGTCGCTTATCGTGGTTTTCTCTCTCTCTCTCGCCTTAAAAATAGTACATCTATACAACTCTTGAAATCTTAGTCCTCCCACTTTCAAACTTCTCGTTGAAATAAAACCTCAGGCTGATGGTTTGCAAATAAAATAGATATAATCATTTGTAAAAATAATCATCTGTGTAGAGGTAATACGGTCTGAAATGTTGGCAATACACCTCAGACATAGTTTGGATCACAAATTTGCAACCAAAACAAAAATTGACAACCCCCCCCCCCCCGACAAAAAAATAATAATAATAATTACCTTGGGGTGTTGGTTGTATCTCTAGTTCACTATTTGGGTGCGTTCGAGTAGCTTACACGTTCAGTGAAACTAAAACTTACACAAGACCGTTCACTGCAAAAACTGCAGTGTTAAATTCACACTGTTGGTATCTATATAAGACCATCTGGTGTTAAATTGTACTGGTGTTGTTCTATATAGATACCGAATGGTGTTAAATTAACACTGCGGTTTTTGCAGTGGTCGATTTGCGATTCGCCGCGACGTAATGTTCGTGTCTGCCATGCATGGTGTCCACCACGTGACTGCCCCAGCTCGCAGGCGGGTGTATAGTGGTTGCACGTGTGTAATGACATAAATGGACGATTTCGTGGTTAGCGAGATTAAAGATGGCGGGAACTTGAATAGTGCAATGGAGAAATTTATGACACAAATAATCCCAGTTGTCAACGGTGTTGGATTGGATTGTCCCGTGTCTTCCGATTTCATTAATTGTTCTTGATCTGGTTCCCACGATCGAACTGATTCCATTTTACCAGTGGAGCAGACGACTTTATATATCTCTGGTTTCTTTAATCCCGCTAGGCAACAACCTTTCACCTGCGTGAAAGTTCATCTGTGTTGGTAGTGAAATACAATTTAGAGGTAAACTTTCATGTTGATCACAACACTTTAGAGAGTTTCGTATACCTGTGATTTTCGACCCGCAACGGTCTTCATCAGCAGACCCGGATGTTGCATCCTTGACCTTACGGACACGTGATCCCAACACGTGACCCAAGCCCCAGTTCGTCCACTGCGAAGGTTTCTCAACATATATATATAGAGAGAGAGCACCAGGCCATCACGGAGACATATCTAAAGTAAACATCTTAGATAGAGACGCACGATACTTCGAAAGGGGGTGAAGGAGGCAGCCTTTATCAGAACCTACAAACCTTCTTTAAACTGGGACGGGGGAGGCGGTACAAACCTCCCAGGAGTCTGTTACCCGGTGTTGGAATCACGTGTCCGTAACGTAAAGGTTGCAACATCCGGGTCATCCTGCTGATGAAGACCGGAGTTTCGGTCGAAAGTTACAGGTACGACATTCTCTAGTGTTGGGATCAAAAGTTTACCACTTTCACCTTATCATTGTTCAAAGAATGCAAGGCGAATACAAAACAGTGTTCGATTAGCCTTATTTTGTAGCTTCTTTGAATGTAAATCCAGTGAACACAGGAAAGCTACTCGAACGCACTCTTTCCAAACGTCTTGTTTGACAAGAACAGATCACGATTTTGTTCACCTAATGACAAGGGTCGGTAAATGATTGTATAGAGTACAAGAAGGGAGACTGTAGCCTTGCAAACGTCATTTGCTACACAAGTGTTTTTATTCGAAGTATTTGGTCCCTTTCTGAACGCACCCTGAGGCAGTAGTACTTTATTGCTGCTGTATTTGGTTCTTATGGTGGTGGTGGTGGTTCACTGTAATTACACAAATTACAATACTTAACTTTAGTATTAACAATTACAGAAAAAACATAATAAACCATTAGATTAATTAGTCAAATATAGATGCGATTGAGCTTGAGCCTTCACTTGACATAGTGCGTACATTATCCCTGTACGTGTAAGTAAACACCCCCAAAACATATAAATCTTCACTTTGAAAAGCTACAAATAATCTTACTTAATCACTCAGAATATGATAAATTATAACCATGAATAAATCAACAAGGCTTACCGATTGTGTTGGATCCAAAACTACAACATTTGGGACTTAGAAACCCTGATAATTTTACATTTATTTGGGGAGATAAATTTGGTACACGTTCATTGTTTACGAATCATCGGAATCATGAAGAATTTACACTTTGACCTTACAAAATGCACCATATCACAAGAGGGCGCTATTACGAAAGTACGGGAACGATTAATGAACAGTTTTACCGCAACAAACTTATTTCCAATCAAAGGTATGCGTGATCATAAATTAAAGTTTAGAAAACACTTTGAAATAACAACTATGATTAAACCCAAATTAAATTTCACAACTCACCGCTACAGAGACGTCCCTTGTACGGCGTAGCCACGTATACGTGTGCGCTCTTAGAACTGTATAATATTGTCATTTTTCATATAGGCCCTAACTCGGTGTTATTTTTCTAACCCTGCTGCAGGAGTGTTTGGACGATGCTTTTTACTATTAGCACCCTTCATTTTCTGCAAGTCTAGGGGACCTTCAAACCTTCCAGCCGAAGCAGATTGTTCATGGACTATAATCTTGGAGTGGAATACATATATGTCGTGCATTGGTTAAATTGGTTGCGAAGTATGTACACATTATTGCAACGAGTAAAGTTCTCAAGTTGCTCACTATATCGGTGCAGCTTCAAGGGCGGATCCATAACACATTTGTTTGGGTCAAAAAGTGGGTCAAAAATGATGGCGTGAAGTTTGGGACCCACTCATGGGCCACGAAATGTTTTGGATTCTAGATGCTCTGTGGTGCGATCTGAGGCAATTTCTGACCACTTTGACCATTTTTTGGAAGAAAAGATGGTGGTGTACTCAAACAAAACAATGGGTTCGTGGGTTTTTTTGGGGGGGGGGCATGGCCCCCGTTAGCCCCCCCCCCCCCCCATCCGCCTTCCCTTGGCGGCTTCATATTTTTTTAAAAGTGTGAGATTTTGATCTTAAAATATTCATATTGATGATGAACTTGTTTATTATTATTATTATTATTATTATTATTATTAATTATTCGGCCAACAAATGAACAAAAGTACAATGACAAAGCAAATATATATCAGAAAGTAAACAAAAATTGGAAATTGAAAAGTAAGACCAGACAAGACTGAAGGATGCGAGTAGGAATGGGTCGGTGGGAGGGGGAGGGAAGGGAGGGTGGACAGTTTGACAGGGGAGAGGAGATAGAGGGACAGAAAACAAGAACAATATAACATTCCAAACCGGCCAGGGTAAACAAAAGTGTACTTAAACACTGTAGCCCTAAGGCCTGCATACCCATGCTCGAAATGTCTACACAAAAAAATAAATAGAATACAATGCCAAAAAAAACCACATTATTTATTTATTAACATTATTCTGTGTTTACCATTATTAGTTGAGCACACACTTTTACATCTCTTAGATGAATGGAAGGGGATTTTAATACTATTTTAACATTCACAAAGGTCGGCGAAAGAATTTTAAAAGGATCTTTCTTTTTACAAAATGTATATTAGTGTACTTTTTTAACAACTTAACTTTGACTCAGATTTATGACGTATATAAAAATTAACACATTGACTATACAACGTATGTCGTACCAAGAACCGTCGTATCCCGATTTTGGGCCAATTTGAGTTTTTGCTTTTAACGTTTTATTTCATCAAAGTGCTCAACTTCACAAAGTTTTATTCCGATCTGCGTTCTAATTAACTGAGAACGCTAATTAGACTGTGCGGCGTATCTCTAAAAAAAATCAAAAATGTTTCACCACGAAGTGTCGTATCCCAATAATACGTTGCTTCGCGCGCTTATTCCCATAGCGCGCGCTGTGACGAAGCTAAACATCACCAGCCCCCATGAAAAGCGTGAATTCATCGTTTCACGAGCTGTCTTATTCTCGTATCTGCCACGTGGCCACTATTATACGCGCGTTGTATGAAATACAATAAAAAAAAACAGTAAGTTTTACAAAGCTACGTGTATCTTGGGAACTGAATATCTTAAAAACTATTAGTAACTCAGAAGCAAACGGATTGCATACGATGACGTTTAAACTATAATTTTCGAGCTGAAACGAAACGGATTGAACTCTTCTTATTAGGCCAAAAAAAATAATAAGTCGGTCTCTGGTCAGCGCGCGCGTCGATTTTAATCATGCGCGTCAATCTTTTTTTTTCCAAAATGTTCCGCGGTCGCTCCAACAGCTCCCTCTATTGCCGCACCTCCTCAATTGTTTTTCCAAAGAGCACCAAGGAATGGGAAATTGCACCAAGGCAAATGATCGAGAGCACCAAGGCAAATTATGGAGGACATCAATATACATGAGGACACCAAAAAAGCAAAATAGTACCCCCACCTTGTCTGTACAATCCAAGCTTGAAGAAAAAAAAAAGCCGCGTCCCCGCGTCAATTCCGGAACTTTGGTCCGACCAGAGACCGAATATTTTTGTTTTTTGCCTTACACAGGAAGTTTAAGGAGTGAGCCTACCAAACGTGACTGCCTTTAAAACGGTTTTTCTCAAAACACCAAAAATTGCGATACGACGGTTCGTGGTGCGACTCGTGAACTTCATTTCTCTTCAATGAATTTTCCCCCCTTAAAGAGGTTGGTGAATGCTCGAAGACATTTCCGTCATTTTTCGGGTATATGTAGCCTAGGTTGTGATGAAATAAAAACAACTATTGTTTCTGTCATGAAATGAATACAAAAGGTACTTTGAGAGCTGTTTTTCAGGTCCTGTTTCGACCCGAACGTGCAATTTGTGTAAAATTCGTCGTTGGGGGCAGCAAACAAAACATAGTAAATCGTGACGTAATAAACAGGACTCCCGATGCAGCGTAGTTCCAGCGAAACTTTTTGCAAATCACTCCGCGCAACGACATGACTTTGTTTACAATTACACTGAGCGACATTTTGTATGGGCAGCCACATGCTCCATAATATTCAACCGTAGTTGGCAACAGCTTTTACCCCCGAAATTCTAATGGGCAAGTTCAGAATTTAATAGGAAGATATCTCCATTGACTTTTTGGTACTTACTATTGATTATTCAGTGTTTTGATAGTTACACATCATTTTATTTATAGATCGGGGATCATTCTTTTGTGTTTGCCCCAACGGCCAACCATAGATGTCTGCGTTACATCAACATCGTCGATCGTTCACATGCACATAGTACATCGCATCACCGTGACACGCGCTATGCCAAGCTGGCTGGAAATTCACGGGTGTACTGTGCCGCTGGGCCCGGCCGTTGGGCCCGTAGATTTTGACACCGGTAAACGGTGTTGGAATTTCAAAATAATTCGTTGTTGATACGTGTACGTGTACGGGTAGCGAACGCACTAGGCCAAGGCAAACCTATATGCCTATAAATAATTGTGTCAGTCGCTGGCTGTAATCACATTTTGTATGCAATAAATTGCCAGCTTTCCCGTCCGGGTGTCAGCATGGAGGAATAAAGAATCCTCCGTAGCCATGCAGTTTGTCCGAAGGGTACCGTGCGAATCGGATTTCAGCCAAATTAACGGATAGAGCGCTGATCATGCACTGTACATTTGTACGACAAGAGTCTTCTTTTCTCAAGAGATTTGTTGAAATTGGACAAGAAATAATAGAGATATGATTTGTTAATGTTTTATAGGACCATTTCAAATGGTCCAAAACAGTCTTCTTTGGCCATTGCCAATCTTGAAGAACCGTAGACCCGTTCAAATGTATCCGCTCTCGACCCTCCATTATCTGCGCAGCATACGCGCACGCGTTGTCACACATACACAAATTGAAGGTAAATGCGTAGAAAAAGGACCGCTAGTTTTCCTAACGTTAGTGCTGATTAATGTGACAGGCCTCACCCTCCATTTTCCCTAGAACTTCTTTTGATCGAATGACAAATTCTCTGCCACTGGAATTTCTTGAATAAAGTCTTAATTAGGTACTGAAAATAATGATAGTGCTCGTTAAATTTCGGGACCAGTGAATTGTGTTTCCAACCAGGATCCCGAACATGTCGTAAGTCCAGAGATTTTTGTTTTATGAACGGAGCATGACTATGATTTATGAGTTGTACTTTTTTGGTAGCCACGTTTACAGGCCGAGGTGAAGCGGTAGTCTACGGCTTTTTTTTAGGTAAACAATAAAGTTAACAATTTCAAAATTCAAGTAAATTCGTAATTATCGTTTCAGGGTGTTAAAACAAGGGTTAAAATGCACAAGGAAAGAAAAGAGAAGAGGACTATTTTTTGTGGCGAACGTATACATAAAAAGCACCAGGCAACGCAAGGAACTTGACCGGGGCCCACGACGCTGCTAACCGTACAACATTAGTTCTGGACACGGTCGACCACATCCACTGCCGTGATGCGTTATGCGTGCCGTACGCGTATAATTCGAAAACAACCTGACGGTTTGTCGTCTCTGTGGACTGAATATTCACCAGAATAACGTTTGAGATTGTCTGTAAATCACGAAGAAAGTTGCGGTAGGACTGTTGATGCTCATCTAAAAATGTTATCATGAACATAATACTTTAGTCCTTGGATAACGCAGCTGTTTTTTTCACGCAAACGTCGCACTGAGACCTACCACTCATCAGAGCCGCGTTGCCTGGCGTTTTCAGCTGGCCAGTTGCAGTATCCGTGTTTTCGCTGGTCACTTTTTCGGGCAGTTGGGGCTCAAATTTATACGGAAGAACAGCTCAGAGGTCACCGTGTCCTTGTTCAATATACTCATCCAAAAATTAAGCAATGGGAAGGAATATCAATCTCCGCAAGTCTTTTACAAAATGTTGATTTTTCACTGCTTGACTGCGAGTCACACGTGCTGACGGGGCGGGTTGGGCAGCAGTAAACAGTCGTTCTATAAACGAGTCCTGTTTATTACTTCACGCTTTTTCTGATTTTACGAAGAGCCCGACGACTGTTGATTTCAATTATGCGCTCGCCGACCAACAAATAACTCGATGAATTTCAGTTTTATAAACATATAAACGCACATTAGAAAAGAATGGGAGTTTGCCATTATGCTATACAAGCTGGTTTACCCGATCATAGATCGGGTAGGGCGTAGTGTTGGGGATGAAATTGTGGGGAGTTAAATGTAAATGGGGGATATAGTCGGGGAGACATGCAGTTAAAGAATAGCAATTTCTGTGGTGTGATCTGAGGCAATTTCTGATCACTAAAACCAATTTGAGCAAAAGATCATCTGTGAAAGTTTTGAGTAATTGAATCAGCTACATGTATTCTGAGCAATAGAATCATTATTGTAGGCTACAATATTTTTATTCGGGGAAGAAAAAGTGTGGGGGGGGGGGAGACCAAACAATGTCCCCCCCTCAAAATGTGTGTGTGGGTGTGTGGGGGGGGGGGGGTCCCCCTGTCCCCCGTCGATTTACGCACATGATAATTATGTACCGTGGCAACTGTCTGTAAATGTTGCCGTTGTTCTGTTAAATTGGCTTTTTGTGAGGCAGAATTTGGAAAACGTAGTGAAGAGGTTACTGTAGTACACAGGCGAAGGCTGGTTTAAATCATAATGCAATAAAACGTGAAGGTGTCATTTGAAATGTAAATGTTGAGTGTTACCATAAAATTACAAACGGTCTGAATCATGAAGGAAGGTCATAATTAAGTTTCAGTATTGGACTCTTCAACAAACGTAAACTTGTAACAATTTGCGAGACCGTCTGCGAGGAAAAAGTCGGTAACTTTTATTAAAGTTGGTACAACCATCTATATAAGAGCAAGTTTTACTCGGCCGCCGAGAAATGTTTGCTCCTGAAAGGATCCGAGACCGCGGCTTCACGTCCGTGGAAAAATATGGGTGTCTTCCGTCGGGTCGGACACTTTTTCGTCGATTTTTTTGTGACTGCGTTTAAGATCGCGAGTTTGAAGCAATGCATCGATCCTTCGTTGACTCCAAACAGGCCCCCGAAATTATAACGCGACACTGAATTATACGTGGCGGGCAGCGAACTCCAACGCTCAGCCTAGGTGGTGGAAGCATGGAGCTGTAAACACATTATGGAAGCAACAGCACTCTGTCACGCGACGTCACATGCTTGCGCTTCAAATAGCGAGCACCGTAGACCCAACCTCGTTTCCAGGGTGTGGAGCAGGCTGCAGTACGCATTGCCATCGACAGTTTTGCATAGCCCGGAAATACTACGCAGTGTAGACTTTCGATTGGTCAGACCGCGCATGGCATACTTAATGTGTAGTCCTTCTGAGTATTCGTTGCACACGGCGCAGGGGCGGCAAGCGAAGCATATGAAAGAATAGGGGCACTTGGTGGCCATGCACCATGGAGAAAAAATATTTTACCAAGGTCAACCCATACACAATTTGGTGAACGCTTTTGCAGAACGGCTGAGTAGAACACGTAAACGGAACCCCTACGTCGAAGCCGCTGACCTCGCACAGTCTAGACACGCAGAAAAGCCAGGACAGGGGGCGGCCAGGCAGTCAACGTGAAAGCGCACACGACGGCAAATTCCTGCGCAAAATGCAGTCACGAAAAATCGACGAAAAGGATCGCCGGTCCGTACGGGAAAATCAGGACGACCCGAAGTGTCCGACCCGCCGGAAGACACCCTCCGCATTTTTCCACGGACGTGGAGCGATTTTGGCGCCGCGGGAGCCCGCGGTCTCGGATCCTTTCATGAGCAAACATCGTCTCGGAGGCCGAGTTAAACTCTCTCTTATATATATAGATATGGGTCTACTCTACAATATAAAAATATAAAAAACAAAACGATTTCCAGCATTCCACAACCTCTTTAACCCTTCGAGCAGCTTGCCCAAAAAATTTATGCAGTGGAACCACCATGAGAGTTTTATCACATTACGTGTTTCTAGGTCAATAACCCTGGCATGCCTGTACATGCACAAGATATAGGTCTTTGTTTACAACCTGTCTGGGCTCTGGGCGGCACGAGGGGTTGACACAAAGGGATGTTTGGCACTATTAGGGGTTGGCCACTAAGATCTCCAATTACTGCACAAAGGCATTAGCCGCCATCTTGGCTTCTGTCTTTCAAAACTCCTTACTCCGGAGTGGCTAGGGTCTGGCCAATGGGAGTCTACAGGCTTGTGGTGTTTAGTAGGGGTGAGGATTACATGGAAGCTTGGCCTTATTGGCCCATTGAAAAAAATTACGACCATATTTGGAAAACAAAAAGATTTCTTTCACTGCGCCGCTGCTCGAAGGGGTTAGGTAACACTTATCGCTATAGAAGGGGTTTGCCCGGTGTTTCTGGCAGTGGCTGCAATATGCGCCGCAGTACCTTGTAACTATGAAAGGTGCTACATAATGTGTCTCATATTTCTCATATTGTGGGCGTCCATGGAAAGCCGTGCTCTGCACTGATCGGAATTTACCCTCATTAATAGATAACGTAAATAACGTAAATAAAACATTTGACTCTTTTATCCCGAGGTTATTCGTGAAATCATGATCGTTTTCCCCAACCTTCACTAATGTAACTCAGTCTATATTGGATAATTTAAAAAAAAATTACGAGCTGCCATTTTAATGTTTTAGTGTACCCCTTGCTTCTTGGAGTTTGGTAATAATTATAGCAGTTCAAAATTTAATAAAAAGGAATGTGCATGTGCATGAATAGATGTGCATGAAAACCGACACGTCTCGGAGTGCCCAGTTGAATTTGAATGCATTTTGAATAACATTGACATGTTTGATAATTATATTAGACAGTAATACATTTTGATTCTGATTTTAAGTGTCAAGTAAATTGATAGACGCTGCGTTAAAACAGCCGTTGTTTTCGACGAATTCGGTCAGTATAACATAATTTTTTGCTCTGTATCAAATTGTTTTCGAATAAGAAATAAACAGTTATCAAACATTCAACAATTTTACGTGACTCAAGTTGCAAATGAAACTCTTTTAGAAAATGCCATGGTTATTGAAACTGCGCTGCAACCCATTATAAAGGTACGCCCAGTCCATCATGAGTTTGTGCATTTTGTTCGTTTGAAGCAACAAACGTGCAAAAATCTAAAGAAGGTGCTGAACAACTAACCTGATGAAGTTTCAGCTCAGCTCCAACTGTTAATTTCGAGAAAAACAACATTCTACGATCTCGATTTCAAAAGAAAAGTTGCTGAATCATGTTTTGATTTGTGCCTGAATGGACTGATCCAGTAAGCACCGCCCCATGGTGTTTTGACCAATCACAGCCGTGATTTATGTCCGACTGCGAGCACTACGGTCCGACCATTCCGACCGACATGCGCGTATGATGCTCGCGGAAGGAAAATGCAACATGGCATTGGACAGGAGCACGTGTTAATTTGCACACGTGCGCACTGGGCGGAGCTTACTGGATCGGTCCATTCAGCGCACCGATCCGACGAACCGCGGGCGCGTATATATGCGTCGTGCAGACGACTGCACGCGCTTCGCCGAATGAAAAAAAAAACACGAACTACTGACGAAAATGTCCAATGGCGCGCACCGTTTGAAAGGCCTTCGTTTGTTGATTTCTTTAAAATGACAGCTTGCCAGAAAGAAAATTCTCAGGGAGTTTAGTCCCCTTACTATCTTTCAACCAAGTACGCTTTTCAATAACAATTACTTCAGTTACTTTTAAGATAACTGCAAATGATGGATTGTAGCTTTAAGGGTTATTTATGTGCTCGGAGTTGCGTGGGATCGCAACAACTTCGTATGGAATCGGCGCGAGCGTTAAGGCCTCGCGCGCTTTAAAGGAGACACTAGCGCCCTCTGGAGCCTTGAAGGTGAACTGATGCATGAGGACAGTGAAGACGATAAACAACTCCATCTTAGCTAGGTTTTCACCGAGGCAGAAACGACGCCCTATCAGGAAAAAAAAAAATAAGAATGGATTTAAACTTATGCATTGTAAATGAGAGTAAGTAAACTATTGGTTATTATTACACTCACACACAGAGTAGGGTTTTACATAATTCCCGACTCCCGAGGACAAGCCATTGTCTTCTCCTTTGTAGTGCACGCGCCCGCCCACATCTACATTATCTGTAGGGAAGAAAACCTTTGTTTCCCTTCTTTTGTTTTCTGTGGTTCTATTGAAATATCAAACTCAATAGCGTTTTCCTTATTGGGCAATAGATTTCGAAAGACTGACTTGTGGGGTCTTTTTTCCCCTATTGTGCTTCTGACCCATTGAGGAACCTCGGTATGTACAGCCTTACATTACACACATGTTACATGTACTTAAGTGGAAGTGCTTTGTGTCCTTTCCTTTATTCTTCTTTGTTTCTATTGAAATCTCAAACTCCATAGCGTTCTCCTCATGGGGCTGATAGATTTGTAAAGACTGACTTGTGAGGTCAATTTTCCACATTGTGCTTACTATACCCCATAAGGCAGCATGTGTACACAGCCCCCCCCCCCCACCCCGATAAAAAAAGAACCAAATAAACACACACAAAAACACACACACAAAATCAGACGTTTGTTTCACCACAAACCTAGTGTGGACATTCCTTTGTTTTCGTGTAGTTAAGAAAAACCAGTGAAAAAAAATTCATTTTACTCAAACTGTGAAAACTCTTCCAACTCATTTTTTTCTCCGATTTCATTTAGAGGTTCTCTTCATTTTGCCACGGATAAAGCTAACCCCAAAATGCCTCTAAAGTTGTTTTCCAGATGTGTGGACATGGGAAAGTCCATACAACGTCGCTGCTACCTGGTTTATGTGGATACATGTATCTTTAATTTTGTTCGGAAGTCCACATGTACAGTGAATGTAATGCACGTTCCCCCACACAAACCCATCTTCGTAAACGCCAGCAATCGTGGACCCCCAATTGTCCTTAATTCTCATTCCGTTGTTTGTACTAACTTTAGCAACAGCTCTCATAAGTTTTGTACACGGATTTTCAATCGTGGACGTTCGGTCTATCGTGGATGTATTGTTTGTGTCCTACCCTTTTGTCCTAGGTCCAAGATTGCCGGTGTTATAAAACTCGCTAGCACACCCTTAATGAATTCAAAATATATAAAACAAACAACTCAGACCCTCTGGGATGAGAAGAGCTGCAACCTTACTTCATGGCGCTTTATCACTTACCTATGCCAAAAGGTATGAGCTTTTCCCGCCGCACAAAGTTGCCATCGCTGTCCAGGAATCGCTCCGGACGAAACTCTTTGGGATTGGTCCATTCACGCGGGTCGTTCAAGATATGCCAGAGGTTTGTTATCACAATGGTTCCTTCTGGAATATGGAACCTGGTGGAATTAAAAGATTCAGAAATCAGACTTAGGAACCCAAATATTTGGCAGCTTTTTTAAGTGTTGAATGAACACCATGTTGTACATTAACCAAACCAGACAGCAGTGCAAGGTACACATTGTGGTAAACCTTTCCATTACAAAAATTAAAGTTAAATGTAAAATTCAATTTTCAATTGTTAATCTTACGTCAATTTCATTAATGTTAATGTACCCATTCTGTATGTTCGTTTGTTTCAAAATAGGACGATGATAAAATGATGATGCAAACATGTTTTACCCTGAAACGGTGGTGTCTTCTGTGCATTTATGCGGCACTCCAAGAGGGACTATGCTGACACGATGAATCTCACTCAGTACCGCCTGCGTGAAGACTAGCTTCGGCTTATCTGAGAGCTGTGGTAGCCTGTCCCGTCCCACCACACTGTCAATCTCACGCTGAACCTTGGTCTGGATTTCAGGGTAGCCAATCATGTACAGCAATATCCAGCCGAGGGTACTGGTCGTAGTCTCCGTTCCAGCTCCAAACAGGCCCGACACGGAATAGTATAGACTGACAGGGTTCATGAAGGTTGGTTGACCATTGCTCTCTTTCGCTTTCATCTCGCTGTAGAACGCGTCTGTGTAGTCTCGCGAGATCTCGGGCTGATACCCCTTCTCGTGTTCCTTGAGGAGATTGCCCATTATCTTCTCAAAGGCCCTGTTGGAGGCTATGTGCTTCTTGACAATGGGTAAGAAAGTTAACTTAGCGAAGATTGGCACGAACTCGACCACCCCACCTGCCCCGCCTAGTTCATGCGAATAGTTCAACGCCACGAGGAGCTCTTTGAATCTGACGTCAGTATACTCAAACCTGCTACCAAACACCAAATAGCAGATGACGTTAGCTACGGCGTTTTGTAGCATATCCTTTGGATTGAAACTTTTACCTCCCTGTTTTCGTATTTCTTCGACAAGAAACTGCGCTTCAGTGGAAATTTGCTTTCCCAAAGATGACTTCCCCATCCCCAGTTTTCGCAGAGCAGATGAGGAGAAACGTCTTAATTCCACCCATGGTGCTCCGGAGGCAGTTAGAATGCCTGCGGGAAGTAAAAAGTTCAAATTGATAAATAATACGATTTGCAAATAATATTATGAAAGACAAAAGATGAAGTAACTTCAGTGATGCATGTTAGGTCCCCCTGTTCACTGCCAAGATTCATTCGTATATTTCCTTGACTGCCTTAGCTTACGTGCTGTTTTGTACCTACCGTGACCAGGCAATGTTATTTGACTGATTTCAAAGGAAGGGCGCCCGTTCAGTTGGTATTGATCCATAGCCTGTTTGATGACGTCATAGTCTTGCAATACAACCACCAGCTGGTTGACCACTTTGAAGCTGAATACAGGCCCGTACCTATGACCCAAACCAAAAGCACGAATCAATTATTACGCTATTTCAATTTCTTAATGATGACTTTAAGCCCCCCCTCCCAAAAAAAAGGTCTCCGGTTTCTGGTCTGCGCCCGCATCGACGTAGCCATGCGCGTCAGCCATCCAGTCTCACTCGTCTGTAGTGACATGGCTGCCATTTGAATACTCAGTAATGCTAATATGATAAGATTCGTTTGTCCGTAGAAGCATGAATTATGAATTCTCAATGAATTATGCAATTAGGCTATACGTACGTAATTAATAGGAAAATAAGAATCTGAAAGTGCATACCACAAAAACGAATATAAATGTGACAATATGTTTACTCTTATGATTGATGAAGTTAATTTCTTGATCAACCGCTTATTCCGATGAAACTGAACTTAATTTAACGACCATTTGAATTGGAATGAACTTATAATTATTTGTCAAAAGAATTCACAGTGAATGTCCGTGAATGTCTCGAGCGTCTCCTTTTGATGATTGATTACTGATGTAAGGCAAGGGCGGATCCGGGGGGGGGGGAACGAGGGCCATGCCCCCCCCCCCCAAACCATTTTTCTTTTAAAGTGATCTCGCCATAAAGGTGAGCACTGCGTACACCACCATCTTTTCCTCAAAATAATTTGGTTAAAGTGGTCAAAAATTGCCCCAGATCGCACCGCAGAGCATCTAGAATCCAAATTTCGGGCCCTTAAGTGGGCCCTGAACCCCATGTCGTAATTCTTTTGAACCCACTTTTTGGGGGACCAACGTATTTTTTGCCCTTCCCCCAAAAATGTGTTCTGGATCCGTCCTTGACATTGTAAGGTAGCATGTATCAATGTACCGTGTATAACACAGAACAACTTAGTGTCGAAATCGTGTCGACCATTCTAACCTGTCACCCATCTTGGATAGGGCTTCGTGTACGGGCTCGCTAATCCTCGCCAGCTGAGGAATATTACCGAGCAGCGGCCAACCCCACGGGCCGGGTGGAAGCTTCTTTGGCCGGCGGAAGAACCAGGAGAGCACGGTGAAGATGACAAGTCCGAGGAGAACCGTACGAATGTTGACATGACTCCACAGCACGGCAATATCCATGTTTCGAGACTGGCACTGCTGCAAGTTAATCAATCAAAGTGGATCGTGTTAATGGCCGCTGCTTATTCACAGTCCCAAGGTCAGGTCACGTACGGGAATGCCTGAGATTTACCGTAGTTGTCGAGTGTCGAGCGCAATTTGAGTCCTCCGCGCAAGTGTAAACTTGCGCGCGCAAGTTGCGCGAGGGACTTCCGAAGCACGCAAATTACACTGCGCCATTTTAATTTGCGCGCGCACGTTACAACTTGCGCAAGGCGATCGCAATATATTGAGAACCTTGCGCAAGGGGAATTGGCCAGCAATACACTAGCGGCGATTGCTTGAAAAGTGTACAAAGTTCCTGAAGTTGCTCAACTATGGAGAACAACAACTTTTTTGCCTCGTCAAACAAATTAGCATTTTATTTATATTCTATAATGTAAATACATCATAATTTCCTATGTGTAACCCGTTGTTAATTTAAAAAGAATGATTATTATCCCTTTGTTCAAGTTTTGACATTATTTTGAAAAATGCTTTAAATTACATTACATGAACTGTACAATTATAAAAGGAATTATTCTTAAAAAAGCTGAAATTATTCATTAATAAGTGTATTAATAAATTAGCTAATTTAATTAATTTAGAAATAAATTAATTGGACGATATGCCTACAATAATTCCTATTGTTTTTAAAAACTACTTTGCATTACATCTCGAGCGCTGTGTACAATTAAAGAATGCATAATTTAAAAAAAAAATGAATGCACCAATAACTTAATAAATTAATTAAATTTATTAACAGTTTAATTAATTAATTCGACTTAATGACTTTATATGTTGTCTATTAACAAAATCCTTGAGCCATAAACAATAATAAACATGATACAAAGTGCATAAATTGTTCACATTACCACCCCTTATATCTCTGAACCTCTACACGGTCAAGCTCATTAGCATAATACTGTTAATAATTTTTTTCAAAAAAAGGCATTTAGGCATTGTCTCATGAAGCACATTGGTGCTAATGCTATTAATCGGAGAAAAATCTGCTTTAAAATGTTACATATCTGCATAGGTTTACCCAAAAAATTGTGTAGCGGAAAATGAAAGTCGAACACCGGCGAGTCGCCGCGCCGCCGCCTCAATTTGTAGAGCGCAAGTTTAAATTTGCGTGCGCAATTTGCAGCGAGGAAATTAATGCACGCGCAAGTTTAAACTTGCGCGGGGGACTCAAATTGCGCTCGAACTAGCCAAAGTTCTCCCGTGACATTTTAATTCGTGAGTTGGTGAGTTTAGTTGGTAAGTTGGTAAAGGAAGGGAGCTTTATAGTCAGGTGACAGATCCACTATCGTATAGAGATTATCAGTTGTGAACTTTAGGCTCGACGTGGATCATTATTTCAGTAGACACTATCAGTGAAAATATAAGCACTGACAGAGTGAACTTTATACCTCTTCACAATCAATCGTCGTCGTCGTCTGTTGCGCACTCGTTTTCTAATTAAACATTGCGCGTCTGATCTCTTGTCTCCAGCCAGCTCTGTCATTGGTCTCCTTGTTCAGGTCTATGTTGCCTAGGGGTTTGAGGTCGTTGTTAATTGTGACTAACCCTGTTCGTTTCTTCCCTCCTGCCGGTCTTTTCACAATGAATGCAAACTACCCAGAATGGACGTAAAGCAAACGTAGTCACACACTACACTGAGTTGAACAGCGCCACCTCGGATTACAAATAGTGTCTCCAGCCCTTCGAATTTCCGACGTCCCTAAGATTTGGTCATCATCATGCCGCAGTCGACGTCCTTTATATTTCCGAATGGTTCGCGTTTTTCGGTAAACTGAAACTACGACGGAGCTGTTTGGTTTATCGTACTCGCTGTCCTTGTATTCCTCGCGACTGATTCACACAAGAGACTCTCCCCCAATAAAAAAGAGTATTTCACATTTTTCAATATAATAACATTCAACTTCATTCAATGTTTCGGAATAATTTGGTTCGACGCGACACTGCAAGACCAGTCTGAAAAGAGTGTTAGCCCTGGTGGGCTCAGTTTCTGCTTGATATTTTTCATGATATTCCCTTTATCCTGACGCACTTTTTCCACTGTCTGCAGTGATCGTTATAGACAGTTGAAACCCACGAAGGTATATTACTGTTGGAAAGTAATTCGAAATACTATCGCTCAGAGTGTAAAACTGGAGAGAAAAAAAGAAAGAAACAAAGAGACAAGAAGCAGGCCAACTTTAATCTCTAGGCAACACAATTCTCAGGAAGGAAGAGATGAGTTTTCTTAATTAGCCTCGTTCCAGGTGTCAGTCCCATTTTCAATATTTTTTTTCAAGTTTTACACTCGAAAGTGCCACAAAGTGAACTTAATTTAGAGGTATACTACCAGGCCAACACATTTACCGCTGTACTATAAAGATGAAAGGGTGGGTTTGTTAATGGGGTAATCGAGGACACACATTGTGAAACATCCTTCAGTAATTGAGGACAGGAGTCAAATCGGTGACGTCCTAGATTAGAAACGTATAAAAACCCAATGGAAGCTGTTTTGCAAAAAAAGAAGGATTTGCTGGGCACACAATTAGACAACCAACAATCCGAATGTGCAAAGCCTCTCCAATCAAACTTCCAAACCCAGCTCGCTTGATCGAGACTTGTTCCAATGTACGGGTCTGCCTTATAAAATATTTCAAGATTTACGGGGCACACAAGTAGTATAGGAACAAAAGATCGATGATGAAGAACAATAGGAACTCCTAGATTTACACCATAAACAAACGTCTGTGTGTGGGTGTGTGCCAAAATAAAGAAAAATATTGCAGGGCTGTGTTTACTTCAATCTGTGAGGCGACAGTCAGTGTACATGTATATGGTGGTGTTCCCTAAGTGACGCACTTCGACGTTTACCCGACTTTCCCGGCGTGTAGTGTTGCCAAACCTCTTTGGTGACAAACCTCAAATTCATGCAGTAACATACTGGTACTTTTACCTTATTAATACTCGCTATTTAACCTCTGTGAACAATTTCGGTTTCATGAAATTTAATCGGCAGTTTTTTCCTACGGTGCGTCTTCAGACGCACCGTTGGAAAGGCCTTCTTTCGTTGATTACTTCAAAATGACAGCTTGCCAGAAAGAATAATTTCACAGGGAGTTTAGTCCACTTAATATCTTACAACCAAGCATGTTTTTCAACAATCATTACGCCAGTTACTTTGCAGATTGCTGCAAATGATTGACTATAGCTTTAAGTGCCTTCCAGCGCCCTTTCGTTACGAATACACTTTTGTGAATTTCGCGTGAACGCCGTGCCGCCCTAAAACGCTATACATATAATCGTCCGGTTTGAACAGTTGCCCCCATAGAAATTTGTTGATTTTACGGAGGCCATTGCAAGTGACCGGTGAACAAACCCTGTCAATGATGGGCCAGTGCCCTTTTCGCTTTTTTTTTTTTTATCTAACACCCCCCCCCCCCCCCCCATAAAATTAACCTTGCTACGCCACGTACTGATCGGCCATGTATTATTGCCTCTTTTGAAGGTCACGTTAGGTCAGCATGTCAGCATTACAGACCACTGCGTGTACGGGGAACCAACGTGGCTTCACAGGGTGCGGTGCTGAAGTGTTCTGGTTCTGGTGGTTACCAGGCAAACACCTCCTAAGTGGTTATATCTCGTGTTGATGACCATTCATAATTATCCAGACAGCGGTGGATTTTGGGAGGCACGTTTCATACTTAAAGAAAAGTGGTCAGTTGTTCTTCAAAGTCAAGTGCTTCAAGATACGAGGTATGTATTTAAGCCTATCTAATACTTACTTATACTTTGTTCATGGACAATGATGGATGTTTGGGGCTAGTCGACTAAGGGGCACTAGGTCCTGAAATCCCCGAAAATTTCATGTTTTGGATTGTTTACTTAGCCCATAGAGCTTGCTCTATACGCTTAGCCTATTTCAAACGTCTGGTTGAAAGAATGTCTTACCGTTAACGAGAAAAGACGAAAAACCCGCTTCACATTGGACACCAATGCCAAAAAAGTGTTTTTTTCAACGTCCGCAAAAGGCGAACACTGTAGGGTGCACTGAACCAATTCAAGCCCCATTGAAAACAGTGTAAAATTAACAAAGTTCAGGGCCAAATATAGTGCAAACCGACGCCTGCCCTCAGATGGAAGTCCAAAAACCTGGAAGTTGATCCTTGGCTATATGTACACAATTCCACCGTTTTTAAAGCCAAACGGTCTCCTTTTATAAAAGAAATTGTGGGGTCACTTTTTATGCTAATCGGCTGGCGCAGAAATTCTCACTTGAATCAGTTCACTGCACCCTAATTGCGAAGGAAATCACAACGAGTATCCAATTAACAGATTGAATTTATGGGGTCGCAAAAAGTGGACCCCGAAATTCGTTCTCGCAAGCATAATACAGGAATAACACAAAAACGCCCAGTTTTTAAAGGATAGTTGTGTGGATGTTTATATCCTACTTTAAATGTTATTTCCAATTATACAACACCTGAATAAATCCCCGTCATCTGATTGGTGAATTGTAGATCACGTGACATATTATTATTCGGTATAAAGCACGGTGCGACCATGCGTTATACCCATGCGTTATACCGTTTCACTTTGTGCTTGTTCCATGACGCGGTATTTGCGTGCAAAATGCATGCTGGTGTGCGCGTTCAGCGTAGCGCGTATTGTTCCAAAGAGCCAGCGCTACAGCGTTGGGTTCAAACATTTTCGTGAAGGGGTAGTTCAACATCTTTAAAATCAAAATAAATTGTAGTTTATAATTTACCAATCAAATGACGAGAATTTATTCAGGTGTTGTATTAAACAAATAACGATAATAATTTACGTTCGTGCGATGGAAAGAATAATTTCTTCGGTGACAGATTGAATGTTCTATTCCACTCGGCTTCGCCTCGTGGAATAGAACATTCAATCTGTCACCTCATGAAATTATTCTTACCATCGCACTCACAAACATTCGTTATTTGTATATTAACATCATCTCGTTCCAAGCGCGTTTTGTAGCCTAATTGTGCTGTTTCCAGGACCAAGTGTCGCTTTAATTTGTAGCATATGGGTATACATGTTCTGGTTCCGGTTCGGGTTCTCCCGGGAAAATTCACTTCAGAATATCACACCAACTTAAGACCTTCATCCCTGCAGCCTCATACTGTATGTATGAGGATAACTGCCAGAAACACCGGGGCGAACCCCTTCTCTTAGCGATAAGTGTTTGCTGGGTTATTGTACGTGCATTATACAACACACGGGACCTACGGCTTTACGTCCCATCCGAAGGACTAGGCAATAATGGTTAAGTGCCTTGCTCAAGAGCACAAGTGCCTGGGCCCGGGCTCGAACCCACGCCACTGTTGCCTCTGAAACACCAGAGCATGAGTCCAAACATGAAATAAAATTTTGATTGCATTTTTTTTGCTTAAATCAATAAAGGATGATGTTCTCAACAATATTTTGTGTATGGCGGTGTTTATTTTCTGGGATAAATAGGGGAAAATAATTTGAGAACATGTTTGGTCAAACTACTCCGCCCCACAAAGGGAAGCTTCATTAACATAAAACTTCGCGAGGGGTATGACGCAAGTTAAGGCAGCGACTTGCCGCGCTGCGGGGGCACCGGCATTGCGGCGTGCATCATAATACATACATATATACATTGCGGCACTGAAAGTTTTTCTGGTGTTTCGTTCGGAATCGAGGAGAAATAACTCCCGATTTTCGGCCATGCCGACAAGGTGTGTGGCTGCTGGGTGTAGCAAAACTACCAAGGATGGAGTAAGCCTTCATTTATTTCCAGTAAATCCGAAATATCGGAGCATTTGGAGAGCCAAAGTGAAGGTAAATACCAGAGCAAAGTGGTCCGGGCCCAGTGAGTTCGCGGCCCTCTGCGCTGCACTTTGAGCCGTCGTGTTTTGATGCTGGTCTGTACAGCAACAAGGGCATGCCCCTAAAAAACATCGAGTCAGTGTCTGAATCATTAGAACTCTTATTCGAATTGGACGAATCTGTACCATTTTCATCGGATTCGCTAAGGCAAGAAGAGGACGGTCTTCGGAACTTTCACGGTCATGACGGTCGTCGTTGTGTTCATTCGACAACGGTGGCACCGTGACACGTCCATGTGTACTGTACATGTACATGCAGACACATTCGTACGTACGTGTGCATATAATGCCACGTATGGGTACGCGGCGGCTGCACATACACACAGCACAGTAGCTTCACTAATCCGTCTCGTACCCAGACGTCATTTACGGGCCCTGGATTTCTCTGCCTTTTTTTACGTCATGAACAGCGCCCTCATTTGGAGTTGCCGCGAAAATCAAAAAGGGGGGTCAACTTTGGACGGCAAATTACCACACTAAACGTACACCAGAACCAGGTCTGCTTTTAATTCACATTTAATACACATAAATGAAGGTATATATAAAATAAAATACGTTATGAAAATTTTGGACTGCATGTTTCCTTTATTAACCGCTAGGCCATGTAAATACAGTAATTATGTGTGTGTGCATATTATTATTTGCAATGATGTGTGGTGTGGGCCCCCTGAAAAATCATTCTTATGCAGTCGGCCCAGTTTTTGTAACAGGCCCGATTCAATAAAGATAACTTTCGGTACTTATAGTGAAGAGATGATGCCAAAATAATGTAGGGCCAGACTATATGTTCTTCTGATGCACATTTGGGTTTTAGAAGCTCTGCAATCTCAGCCCTCGGCTTTCCTGACCACTTTGGCCAGATTTTTTGGAGCAAATGTTTACTATTCTGTGCTCCGTTTTTTTTCCCTTAATTTTTTCCTCTCTATTTATCAATATAAGACGCATGTAGATTCCTTTGCTTTATGCATTTTGTTCGTTTCCAATAAAAAACCACTCAAAATCCAAAGACGATTGTTCAAACCCTATATAACCTGTTGAAGTTTCAGCTCGATCAGTATGTAATGTATACACGTTTCGAGAAAACAGTGAAATATCATGTACAACTTTTTGATCACGAACGGACGATTTCGTCCATAGACTTAAGCACTCTAGGCCTATACATATCAATTGAATGATCATTGGAAATCACCTACATTTCTACCGGTGGATTTTTTTCTAAATGACAGCAAGCCAGACGGAAAAAAATCCACGGTGTTTAGAACCCGTACGACCTTTATTCGAGTAATTTTTTTGATAATAATTTGGTAGGTTACTTTTGGGATAAATGCAAATGATCCTATATGCATTTAAGATATGAGTAGAAGAAAATGCTTACCAAAGTAAAACAGACGAGCAGTTATATTGCAACTTCATGACTACTCAATCTTTCGCCAGTTAATTTATTCAAGTGATGCTCTATGTTTCTTCCTTTGCCTCCCCACCCCCTTTTTTCGGGGAAGGTCGTGTAATTTGCAAGATTTTGCAATTAAAATTTGCTCGCAAATTCTCTTGGTGTCAGTCGAGTTTTAATTTTCAAGAACACTTAAACAAAAAAGCTGATCGGCGGCAATAGCTTGTAGAAGGTGTTCACTGTCAAAAATAGACTAAGTCATTTAATATAATAACTTTCACAATTTGAAAGAGGCTTCGGTTTTAAAAAAAAATGTTTAAAACAATACCTTGATTGTAATTCACGACGTTGAGAAATTGAGGCCGGGAATTGCTAACAATCCGGAACCAGGAATATAAAATCATGCAGTATAGGAAATGAAAGCGAAGCATTACCTGCCTGTTTAGTCCGCTTGTCGTAACATATTTAGTACTGAAAGGGCTTCGTCAATAATTGCTTTTGTCCTAAGGAATTATTCATTTATATAGTTACAAACAGATCAATCTTCTCAGATTTTGTTTTTTATTTAACGGGTTGTTACATCAACAAGCCAATATTTTATCGGGGTTTCTTCGAAGAAATTCAGTCAGTTGCCGGAATTTTATGGACATCTTCAGGGTGCTGATTTTTTTTTTAACCCTGCGCAGAGTGACCTGCTACCCTTTGGGCCCCAGGTAACCGAATTTTTTGAAGAAAAAAAAATTGAGGGCCAATAACGTTCACCTCCTATCTAATCCTCATTCAACCCTTGCCAAATCAGCTAGTGAACTTTGCAGCCAGGGCTACACCCAGGCCGTGTCAACAAACTTTCTACCAGGCCTCCTGCCAAGTCTCATTGAAAATCAACAAAGACCTGTAACTTGACACAGTCATCTCCCTTCATAACTGCATACCACAGGCACAGCCGCCAGTCAATTATCTTACCTGCGCACTGTCTGGCAACTGTCTGGACACTGTCTGGCACGTGGCTTTTTGTTGTGTTGCTATGAATAGGGTCTTGCGTAGTGCGGGAAAGTACCTGCTACCCAGAGGGCAGTTGACGAGTTGTTTTAAAGTTTTTTTGTAAACGCTGCGCAGGGTTAAGCTTTAAATCGTTACTAGACAAAGTCTTTACGATTTTTTTGTGCGTGGCTCCGATAGGCGCAGTAGCTGTTCATATAAATACTTTTTTTTTTACCTGAATTCCATAAAACTTGGAAATTAGGGTAAATCGAGTAGCAAAGATTATGTGGGATATTTTTCAGGTCCAAAGTCAACTGAGGTCAATAATGATTTAATTCACGGAAGTTTCGGTTATGTTTTTTAGGGAAAAGTTTATAACATTGTACATGCATGCTTTGATGGAGTTTGATGAAACTTAGATGCAGTGACCCTTGGATGTGAAGACACAATTCTGCTTCGGAATGTAGAGGTCAAATGTCATGTAGGAGTCATTGTTAAAATGTACTTCAAATGTCTTTTTTTCCTACATAATTTGATGGATTTTGATGTAAAACTGTTGACCTGCATAGGATAGAAAATTCTAAACTTTTGATTCTTGTAGGACTTTATGTTCCTGAAGCAGAGCATGGACCTATTCATTTATACAGAGGTTCCCAAGTCATATGGTACTAAGTTCTTCTTTATCCGAAGCTGGAGACAAACCCGGTTTTGGTCGACCTTTCCTCTATACTGCACGAATTTAATTCATTAACACATTGAGACCTTTTTCCTGTGGTTTTCAAATGCCCCAATATTTATTTATTATTTCAACCGACGATACACCGTTTTTTCCTGCATTATTTGTCATAACAATACATTTCTTCATTATTTACATAAGAGGATACAGATTCTGTATAATAACAATTCATGTATATCAATATTTTTTGCTAGTTGAAATAAATCTTCCGGGGACCGGGAATTATCACTGACCAACTGAGACACTGAGTAAGGCCTATAGACCTTTCTACGCTTGGTTGGCAAACTGCATTTTTGCCAACCACGGGTTGCAAAACTATGGAAGGTCCAACACTGCAAAAATGAAGAAGAGTTATTACAGATAACCAAAATATTATTTGATTGTTGGAAATACAACATTGTTAACAAAGCTACAACCTAATTTCCAGACATGCCTTTTTACTTTGTATTAAGGGCGTTTGGGGGATTTTGTTTGGTAAAACATGTTGCCAACCACGGCTTCAATAATATGCGCTTGCGGCAGCCCATATAAAATGGCGCCAATGTTTACAAACGAAAGAAAGGTCTATAAATGGCCGTTCAGGTTGCGACTGTCTAACTGCTGAACAACTGATCAGCAGTCAACCCTTCGGGTCCAGCTCGGCTATGTAGGCAAACATTGTCTTTCCTTAAGCATATCAAATCAACTCCTTGGCATAATTCATTTGGAATATGAATCATCATTGTAGCCATTTATTTAATTCCCTTCATCAGACACGTTAATTCAAAATGGCCGATCGGTTCACCGTAGTCGTCATGTTGCTCATGTCCACCTCTGTCCTGGCCCTGAAGAAGGGGGAACTTCTGGACATGTCTTTCGGCTTTGATGGCAACTCCCTCAGCTATCCCGGGTTGGGTTTCTTCGAATTGACGTCACAGTATCGGGGGCCCTTGAACGCTATACCGTGGTAAGTTTGTAGTATCCTAGGATGCTCCTTCATCAGCAAAGCAATCCTTGCTAGAGCCATAGGGCCTATATGATCATTTGCATTTATCCTAAAACTAACGGTATTAAATAAATGAAATTGATTGCTGCCATTTAGAAGAAATGAAAAAATATAGGTGATTCCCAAACGATCGGTCAATTGACTGATTTTTGGAAATAAAGAGTTATACAATTATAGAGATCATGTTTCATGATCAAAAGTGTAATGTCAACTGAACTGAAACTTCAACAGGTTAGGTTTATAGAACACAAGCTGATCTACCCGATCATAGATCGGGTAGGGCGTAGTGTTGGAGATGAAAATGTGGAGAGTTAAATGTAAATGAGGGATATAGTTGGGAGACATGCAGTTATAGTAAAGCATTTTCTGTGGTGTGATCTGAGGCAATAGAACATGTTTCTTTTTAAGTTCTTTGGATTTTGATTGGTGTTATTATTGCAAACGAACAAAAGTCATGACAAGCAAATGATCCTAGGCTATATGTCTTTTAACATTCATTGGAAAGAATGGAAAACCGATGTCACATTTGAAGTGGCAGGACTGAAGAAACGCTCATCAGAAGGCAGTGAAAAAAACCTGGACCAGAATTATACAAACTTACAATCACTCGCTCTAACTTTGAAGAAGAAAAAACATTATACACCGAATTCCCGAAGCAGTCTACGTTCCACTCGGTTACGTACTTGTATACACAATGACATGTACACTTGAGCCAGCAGGAACATGTTTATATAAAAGCTTTCCAGTTGATGATGAAATGGTTGCTAATGTTGGTTCTAGTCCTCACGAATCACAATTTTTAAGCACGGTCGGTCAAGGTCAATTGCTTATTAAGTTAACCTATATGAGATTGTTCCGCAGATTTTAACTGACTGTTACATGACTTTATCGTTTCTACATCTTTTTCAAATTCCAACAGGGTGGAGTACAACAATATCCTTTCACCGGAACACGTTGGCACCCACATGGACGCCCCCATCCATGTTTCCGAAGGCAAGCTGCACATCGACGAAATACCACTCAGTCGCTTCACATGTCCGGCCGTCCGAATTGACATAACTGAGAAGACAAAACTGGACAGAGATTACGGAATGACAGTCCAGGATCTGCAAGACTGGGAGGAGGTCCATGGCAAGATTCCAGACGACTCTTTGCTCTTCGTCTACACCGGTTGGGGTGCTTTCTACCCGGATCGTCTAGCCTACCAAGGAACGACGCGTAATGACACTTTTCTGGATGAGCAAGGGGAGTCATTGGTTCACTCGCCGGGAGTTGCACCAGAAGCAGCCACGTGGCTGTTGGAAAATCGCAAGATTTCGGGCCTTGGATTAGACGCACCATCCCTCGACATTGGTCAGGACACTGAATTTAAGACCCATCAGATTTTATTGGGAGCAAACGTTTACGGCGTTGAGAACGTGGCAAATCTCGATAAACTGCCAAATACCGGAGCTTGGGTGTACGCATTCCCCATGAAAATTGTAGGTGGAAGTGGTGGATCAGTGCGTCTCGTCGCCCAGTTGAAGGCGGATACCTCCGGCGCAGTGATGCTCTCCGCTTCGTTTGCTACACTTCTGGGCTTGATCTCAGTTTTGTTTTAGCCAACAGATACCTGGCTATAGTAATCTTTGCAGATTAGCTCTTAATTAACTAACATGGTCTTAAAAAAGTATCTGCTTCAAAAATCTTGCAAAGATAAAAATGAAAAGTTGTAACCGTAGAATGGCAAAATATTATGATGCTTATATTAGTTTGATATTCTCTTAGTTCTAAAATTAATGATCAATATTCCAAAGTTATATTCATGTCAAAATTCACTCTGTCCGATGGCAATTCCTCTAAAACGTTTGCGTCAGATTTGACAGGAATCCTGACATTTTTTTTTGGGGGGGGGGGGGAGAACGACACTTCTCCGGATCAACATGACAATTTTCCTGGTCAAAATTCTAAAAAAAAAAAATCAAACTGTAGGCTTAATTGTAGATAGAAGAGTAAATATATGAGTTATTAATACCGATTATACTCGACTCCAATAATATTCTGACGTTTTTGGGTAGAGTAGCATGACATGTACGTGTCGGCATGACGTAACACAGGGCATATTGGTCAATGAAAGGGAGACCAAACAGGTTACATGTAGATTGTGCGGATGGCTCACGCCACAGTAAATCAAGTTTACCAAGCAAAAGGTTTTGAGCATATATTACAAAGTCGATGTCGTTAAGTCGTGAACATAACTTGGGTTGACCTAATACATCAACGGAGAGCTGATTTTTTTCCATGTTAATCAATCAAAGAAGATCGTGTTAATGGCCGCTGCTTAGTGGCGTAGCCAGGAATTTTTCCAGTGGGGGGGGGGGCGACGCTGGGGGGCTGGAACATTTCAGGGGGGGGGGGGGGTGTCATGTAGATCAATGATAATTTTTTTAGAAACTCAAAATCTCAATGGGGGCGACTGGTGGGCGACAAGGTTTCATGGGGGGAGGGGCTGTCACCCCCACGCCCCCCCCCCCTTGGCCACGCCACTACGACAGCCCCCCCCCATGAAACCTTGTCCCCCCAAGTCGCCCCCCCCCCCTGAGAATTTAAGTTTCTAAAAAAATTATCATTGATCTACATGACGCCCCCCCCCCCCCCCCCCCCCCTGGAAAATTCCTGGCTACGCCACTGGAATTACTAAACCGTACGTACGAATTACTAAATCGTACGTACGAATTACTAAATCGTACGTACGAATTACCCATTATTTCGTACGTACGATTTAGTCATTCGTACGTACGGTTTAGTAATTCGTACGTACGGTTTAGTAATTCGTACGTACGATTTAGTAATTCGTATGTACGGTTTAGTAATTCGTACGTACGAATTAGTAATTCGTACGTACGAATTAGTAATTCGTACGTACGGTTTAGTAATTCGTACGTACGAATTAGATTTATTTTTAACCATGTCCTATCTACACTTCCATAGTTTCTTCATGAAACTTTCAGGGTTTATTTCACGTATAATGATCCAATTATGTGTTAAAAATCGTTGTTGATATGTTCATCACTTTTCGTTGAAATTGGAAAAATAGAGCTGGCTACGTCCATTTTTGAACGCTGGCGTCTGCAATATCTTTAAATCTTTTCAAGCCTCACGAATATTAGTATGGTTTCTATCCATTATGGTGTGCAGTAAAATTGTGCATAAAAGCCTACCTCACGAGTTATATTTAATAAATATCACCCTTTTTGCCGGCTTTCATTGGTCAATCTCGAGACCCCACCAAGTCACGCCAAGTGACGCTATATGCTAATATACCCGTCGTTAATATTATTGGAGATAGTTCAAGGTGTAACACTAGCGTCTGCAACAACAGATTAAGCTGAAATTCGGAATATACTTAGGTGATGAAAGTGTTCAACTACTCGTGAAATAACGGCTTGAGTAGATTCTTTGAAAATGTGATAAATGCATATATTTGGGGAAGTTTTCGAACGATTTCTTCCCGACTTGAAGGTCAGCTTTACCAGTAACCAGTATTGACGTTTCGGCATCGATGCCGGCGATTTTTTCACTGACATGAAGTTTAGAATTTCTTCCTCTGCTATAATTCAACATTTCAACCATACTGAGCATATGTTCTGAGTAACACAACGTTCAAAAGGTCATGTGTTTTTTTTTTTTTGGGGGGGGGGTGCTATACGAATTTCACTGCTCTGTTACAGCATCCAAGTACGTAATCGGATGAGCTTTGCCTGACATCGACAGACGCTTTGCCTTCGCAACCATATGGCTGTTTTAATGTGTACTTATCATCATAAGTCTTCCAATTCCTTTTCTATTTGTCTTATATTTGTTTCCCACATATACCGATAGAGCAATAGAAGAACTTCTGAAAAAGCGAGTATGGATTTCATTCTCGAGAACTATGTACAATCAGCATATAATTATCTGGCAGCCTGTAATTCGATTAGTGTGAAAAAATAGTTCAATAATTATAAACGTCTTTAGATTTTTTCTTTCGATGTCTCATTCAAAAGTGAATAACTGTTATTATTGTCCGGATAATAGCGATAGGTGAAACTCGAAAATAGCATGTGGAGCGCATCTTTATACTGTACGTTTTATAATTACTTGATTACTCTAAAAGTATTATTTAAAGTTAGATGCTATTTTTTTCATTTGAATACACTTAACCGAGAAAACATTGACAACCAACAATCATAACATGAAAAGCCTCTCCAATCGAAATTCCGAACCCATGCTCGCTGGATCGAGACTTGTTCCTGCTTACGGGTTTGCCTTATAAAATCGTTTTCCAGATTTACGGGGCAGAAATGCAGTGTCCTCCGTCGGGCTGCACAAATGCATTAGTTTTTAGCCTCTTTATAAACACCATAAACACAGGAATGCGCTTTGTGTGTTTGCTCTAGTGTGAAGGATCAAAAGAGGGCTCTAAATCAGCAGTTTTTACAGCATTTTTGACGATCTTTCAGATCTAACAGTTGAAAGATAAAATACAATAGTTTAGACTTGTGTATGCACTAGTACTACGCACAGTCAAGTTGCAGTTTACTGCACCAAGTCGGGTACAGAATTGTGTCCCTCAAAATCGAGCCGTTCATGGCGCTATAATAAATCTTCGCAATTCCAGTCAGACGTTGCTCGAAAGGTGTGCACTGCTCTCACTGTTGACAGGTTTCTGCATAAATATGAAGTCGTGATATTCTAAACTCATCGAGATTTTATCAAATTATGGCAGAATTTGTCCCTCTTCCAAGGTTTTTACAAATGGCTCTAGATGGGTGGCTAGCTTTAGCTGCTGAAAACACGTCAATTAAAAAAAATGGCTATCGGACCTATGTGAAATACTTTTTTTCTTCTTTTCGTATATAGATGTATTGTGTAGACTCCAATATTATGTGGAAAATAAAAGAATGAATGGATGAATGATATGAATTAAAAATATAATAATTTTTTTTTGGGGGGAGGGCAATCTTTAACAATCTTTACCTTTCACACTTGGTATTTACGTAGTTTCATCAGTTAGTGGTGCAGCCAGCGGGGAGGGGGGTACAAGGGTGTATATTAACCCCCACCCCAACCAATATTTTGTAAACAGTGCCCTCAGGCTCATGCTCATGTCCACAATAAAGTGCCTTTTTTTCCACCAGCGTCCTTTCGTTACGAGTACACGTTTGTGAATTTGGCGTGAACGTGCGGCCCTAAAAGCGCTATACCTATAATCTTCCGGTTTGAACAGTGCCCCCGTAGAAAATTGTTGATTTTACGGAGGCCAAGTGACCGGTGAACAAACCCTGTCAATGAAGGGCGAGCATGGACGACGCGAGGGAAGGGGTGCAAAGGGGGGCGCTTGCCCCCCCCCCCCCCCCCGGAAAAGCACCCCAAAAAAAAAGGGGAAAAAAGAGAAAAAAGGAAAAGAAAAAGAGGCGCGAAGTCATAGTTGTGTTAATTTAATGAGTTGGGGGGGGGACAATATGTCCCTGCCCCCCTCTAAAACTGATAAATCGAAAATTTGTTGAGAAATACAATAATTTTTGGGGAGAAAATACGTTTTGCCTCCCTCTAGAAAAAATCCTGGCGACGCCCATCTGGGTGAGTGCCCTTTTCACCTTTTTTTTTATCTCACATCCCCCATAACATTGACCTTGCTACGCCACGTACTGATCGGCCATGTATTACTGCCTCTTTTGAAGGTCACGTTAGGTCAGCATAATGTATTATACACAGACCACTGCGTGTACGGGGAACCAACTTGTCTTCACAGGGTGCGGTGCTGAAGTGTTCTGGTTCTGGTGGTTACTGCGCAAACACCTCCTAAAAGTGGTTATCTCGTGTTGATGACCATTCATAATTATCCAGACAACAGTGGATTTTGGGAGGCACGTTTCATACTTAAAGAAAAGTGGTCAGTTGTTCTTCAAAGTCAAGTGCTTCAAGATACGAGGTATGTATTTAAGCCTATCTAATACTTACTTATACTTTGTTCATGGACAATGATGGATGATTGGGGCTAGTCTACTAAGGGGCACTAGGTCCTGAAATCCCCGAAAATTTCATGTTTTGGATTGTTTACATAGTCCATAGAGCTAGCTCTATATGCCTAGCCTATTTCAAACGTCTGGTTGAAAGAATGTCTTACCGTTCCCGAGAGAAGACGAAAAACCCGCTTCACATCGGACACAATGCGAAAAAAGTGGTTTCAAAGTCCGCAAAAGGCGCACACTTTAGGGTGAACTGAACCAATTCAAGCCCCATTGAAAACAGTGTAAAATTAACAAAGTTCAGGGCCAAATAACATGCAAATCGACATCACTGGGGTTTCTCAAACAAAAATCAAATTATTGTCTTTTCCTTCATGTTTTCATTTCTTTTCAATTTTGGGAAGCCGATTACATTTTTAAATATTCACACCAAAACAAAATCACCTCCAGTGGTAGTTCCCAAGTCTGCATGTAGCCATTTTACAAGTGGCATATCCTTCCACTTTCCATAGGACCCATTTTTCAACCGTAATTTTATCAAGCCTGCCCTCAGATGGAAGTCCAAAAACCAGGGAGTTGATCCTTGGCTATAAATAATATACACAATTCCACCGTTTTTAAAGCCGAACGGTCTCCTTTTATAAAAGAAATTGTGGGGTCACTTTTTATGCTAATCAGCTGGCGCAGAAATTCTCACTTGAATTAGTTCACTGCACCCTAATTACAAATGAAATCACAACAAGCATCCAAACCCCATGCACACGGGAAGCGGTCATGGCCGCGGCCGCTAATCCTCATTGGAATGCAGTTGCCAGCTGTGGTATGCCGTGGCACACGGCTAGTGGGTAGTTCCACAGCTGCTGCTTTTGTGCAGTCCCGCTACCACACTAAGGCTGTGCAGTCATGCGGGCCACTTGCTCTATGTGTGGAGGAATGTCCTCATTAATATAACCCGTGCTTAAGGGGTTAACAGCTCGAATTTACGGGGTCGTAAAAAGTGGACCCCGAAATTCGTTCTCGCAAGCATAATACAGGAATAACACAAAAACGCCCAGTTTTTAAGGGATAGTTGTGTGGATGTTTATATCCTACTTTAAATGTTTTTTTCTAATTAACATCATCTCGTTCAAAGCGCGTTTTGTAGCCTATAATTGGGCTGTTTCCAGGACCCAGTGTCCCTTTAATTTGTAACATAAAAATTATGGGTATACATGTTCTGGTTCTGGTTCTGATTCTGTCGGTAAAATTCACTTCAGAATATCACACCAATTTAAGACCTTTATCCCTGCAGCCTCATACTGTATATGTATGAGGATAACTGCCAGAAACACCGGGGAGAACCCCTTCTCTTAGCGATAAGTGTTTGCTGGGTTCTTGTACGTGCATTATACAACACACGGGACCTACAGCTTTACGTCCCATCCGAAGGACTAGGCAATAATATGGTTAAGTGCCTTGCTCAAGAGCACAAGTGTCCGGGCCTGGGCTTGAACCCACGCCACTGTTGCCTCTGAAACACCAGAGCATGAGTCCAGTGTTCTTAACCGCTAGGCCATGTAAATACAGTAATTATGTGTGTGCATATAATTATTATTATTTGCAATGATGTGTGGTGTGGGCCCCTGAAAAATCATTCTTATGCAGTCGGCCCAGTTTTTGTAACAGGCCCCGATTCAATAAAGATAACTTTCGGTACTTATAGTGAAGAGATGATGCCAAAATAATGTAGGGCCAGACTATATGTTCTTCTGATGCACAATTGGGTTTTAGAAGCTCTGCAATCTCAGCCCTCGGCTTTCCTGACCACTTTGGCCAGATTTTTCGGAGCAAATGTTTACTATTCCGTGGAATCCGTGCTCCATTTTTCCCTTAATTTTTCCTCTCTATTTATCAATTTAAGACGCATGTAGAATCCTTTGCTTTTTTATGCATTTTGTTCGTTTCCAATAAAAACACCACTCAAAATCCAAAGACGATTGTTCAAACCCTATATAACCTGTTGAAGTTTCAGCTAGATCAGTATGTAATGTATACACGTTTCGAGAAAACAGTGAAATATCATGTACAACTTTTTGATCACGAACGGACGATTTCGTCCATAGACTTAAGCACTCTAGGCCTATACATATCAATTGAATGATCATTGGAAATCACCTACATTTCTACCGGTGGATTTTTTTTCTAAATGACAGCAAGCCAGACGGAAAAAAATCCACGGTGTTTAGAACCCGTACGACCTTTATTCGAGTAATTTTTTTGATAATAATTTGGTAGGTTACTTTTGGGATAAATGCAAATGATCCTATATGCATTTAAGATATGAGTAGAAGAAAATGCTTACCAAAGTAAAACAGACGAGCAGTTATATTGCAACTTCATGACTACTCAATCTTTCGCCAGTTAATTTATTCAAGTGATGCTCTATGTTTCTTCCTTTGCCTCCCCACCCCTTTTTTCGGGGAAGGTCGTGTAATTTGCAAGATTTTGCAATTAAAATTTGCTCGCAAATTCTCTTGGTGTCAGTCGAGTTTTAATTTTCAAGAACACTTAAACAAAAAAGCTGATCGGCGGCAATAGCTTGTAGAAGGTGTTCACTGTCAAAAATAGACTAAGTCATTTAATATAATAACTTTCACAATTTGAAAGAGGCTTCGGTTTTTAAAAAAAATGTTTAAAACAATACCTTGATTGTAATTCACGACGTTGAGAAATTGAGGCCGGGAATTGCTAACAATCCGGAACTAGGAATATAAAATCATGCAGTATAGGAAATGAAAGCGAAGCATTACCTGCCTGTTTAGTCCGCTTGTCGGAACATATTTAGTACTGAAAGGGCTTCGTCAATAATTGCTTTTGTCCTAAGGAATTATTCATTTATATAGTTACAAACAGATCAATCTTCTCAGATTTTGTTTTTTATTTAACGGGTTGTTACATCAACAAGCCAATATTTTATCGGGGTTTCTTCGAAGAAATTCAGTCAGTTGCCGGAATTTTATGGACATCTTCAGGGTGCTGATTTTTTTTTTAACCCTGCGCAGAGTGACCTGCTACCCTTTGGGCCCCAGGTAACCGAATTTTTTGAAGAAAAAAAAATTGAGGGCCAATAACGTTCACCTCCTATCTAATCCTCATTCAACCCTTGCCAAATCAGCTAGTGAACTTTGCAGCCAGGGCTACACCCAGGCCGTGTCAACAAACTTTCTACCAGGCCTCCTGCCAAGTCTCATTGAAAATCAACAAAGACCTGTAACTTGACACAGTCATCTCCCTTCATAACTGCATACCACAGGCACAGCCGCCAGTCAATTATCTTACCTGCGCACTGTCTGGCAACTGTCTGGACACTGTCTGGCACGTGGCTTTTTGTTGTGTTGCTATGAATAGGGTCTTGCGTAGTGCGGGAAAGTACCTGCTGCCCAGAGGGCAGTTGACGAGTTGTTTTAAAGTTTTTTTGTAAACGCTGCGCAGGGTTAAGCTTTAAATCGTTACTAGACAAAGTCTTTACGATTTTTTTGTGCGTGGCTCCGATAGGCGCAGTAGCTGTTCATATAAATACTTTTTTTTTTTACCTGAATTCCATAAAACTTGGAAATTAGGGTAAATCGAGTAGCAAAGATTATGTGGGATATTTTTCAGGTCCAAAGTCAACTGAGGTCAATAATGATTTAATTCACGGAAGTTTCGGTTATGTTTTTTAGGGAAAAGTTTATAACATTGTACATGCATGCTTTGATGGAGTTTGATGAAACTTAGATGCAGTGACCCTTGGATGTGAAGACACAATTCTGCTTCGGAATGTAGAGGTCAAATGTCATGTAGGGGTCATTGTTAAAATGTACTTCAAATGTCTTTTTTTCCTACATAATTTGATGGATTTTGATGTAAAACTGTTGACCTGCATAGGATAGAAAATTCTAAACTTTTGATTCTTGTAGGACTTTATGTTCCTGAAGCAGAGCATGGACCTATTCATTTATACAGAGGTTCCCAAGTCATATGGTACTAAGTTCTTCTTTATCCGAAGCTGGAGACAAACCCGGTTTTGGTCGACCTTTCCTCTATACTGCACGAATTTAATTCATTAACACATTGAGACCTTTTTCCTGTGGTTTTCAAATGCCCCAATATTTATTTATTATTTCAACCGACGATACACCGTTTTTTCCTGCATTATTTGTCATAACAATACATTTCTTCATTATTTACATAAGAGGATACAGATTCTGTAAAATAACAATTCATGTATATCAATATTTTTTGCTAGTTGAAATAAATCTTCCGGGGACCGGGAATTATCACTGACCAACTGAGACACTGAGTAGGGCCTATAGACCTTTCTACGCTTGGTTGGCAAACTGCATTTTTGCCAACCACGGGTTGGAAACTATGGAAGGTCCAGCACTGCAAAAATAAAGAAGAGTTATACAGATAACCAAAATATTATTTCATTGTTGGAAATACAACATTGTCAACAAAGCTACAACATAATTCCCAGACGTGCCTTTTTACTTTGTATTAAGGGCGTTTGGGGGATTTGTTTTGGTAAAACATGTTGCCAACCACGGCTTCAATAATATGCGCTTGCGGCAGCCCATGTAAAATGGCGCCAATGTTTACAAACAAAAGAAAGGTCTATAAATGGCCGTTCAGGTTGCGACTGTCTAACTACTGAACAACTGATCAGCAGTCAAACGTTCGGGTCCAGCTCGGCTATGTAGGCAAACATTGTCTTTCCTTGAGCATATCAAAACAACTCCTTGGCATAATTCATTTGGAATATGAATCAACACTGTAGCCATTTATTTAATTCCCTTCATCAGACACGTTAATTCAAAATGGCCGATCGGTTCACCGTAGTCGTCATGTTGCTCATGTCCACCTCTGCCCTGGCCCTGAAGAAGGGGGAGCTTCTGGACATGTCTTTCAGCTTTGATGGCAACTCCCTCAGCTATCCCGGGTTGGGTTTCTTCGAATTGACGTCACAGTATCGGGGGCCCTTGAACGCTATACCGTGGTAAGTTTGTAGTATCCTAGGTTGCACCTTCATCAGCAAAGCAATCCTTGTTAAAGTCATATATGATCATTTGCATCAATCCCAAAAGTAACGGTATAGGCCTACCGCGTGAAATTGATTGCTGTCATTTAGAAGAAATGTAGAAATGTAGGTGATTCCCAAACGATCGGTCAATTGACTGATTTTTGGAAATAAAGAGTAATGCAAGTATAGAGATCGTGTTTCATGATCAAAAGTGTAATGTCAACTGAACTGAAACTTCAACAGGTTAGGTTTATAGAACACAAGCTGATCTACCCGATCATAGATCGGGTAGGGCGTAGTGTTGGGGATGAAACTGTGGAGAGTTAAATGTAAATGGGGGATATAGTTGGGAGACATGCAGTTATAGTAAAGCAATTTCTGTGGTGTGATCTGAGGCAATAGAACACGTTTCTTTTTAAGTTCTTTGGATTTTGATTGGTGTTATTATTGCAAACGAACAAAAGTCATGACAAGCAAATGATCCTAAGCTATATGACTTTTAACATTCATTGAAAAGAATGGATGTCACATTTGAAGTGGCAGGACTGAAGAAACGCTCATCAAAAAGGCAGTGAAAAAAAACCTGGACCAGAATTATACAAACTTACAATCACTCGCTCTAACTTTGAAGAAGAAAAAAAAAAATTATACACCGAATTCCCGAAGCAGTCTACGTTCCACTCGGTTACGTACTTGTATACACAATAACATGTACACCTGAGCCAGCAGGAACATGTTTATATGAAAGCTTTCCAGTTGATGATGAAATGGTTGCTAATGTTGTTTCTAGTCCTCACGAATCACAATTTTTAAGCACGGTCGGTCAAGGTCAATTGCTTATTCTGTTAACCTATAATGAGATTGTTCCGCAGATTTTAACTGTTACATGACTTTATCGTTTCTACATCTTTTTCAAATTCCAACAGGGTGGAGTACAACAATATCCTTTCACCGGAACACGTTGGCACCCACATGGACGCCCCCATCCATGTTTCCGAAGGCAAGCTGCACATCGACGAAATACCACTCAGTCGCTTCACATGTCCGGCCGTCCGAATTGACATAACTGAGAAGACAAAACTGGACAGAGATTACGGAATGACAGTCCAGGATCTGCAAGACTGGGAGGAGGTCTACGGCAAGATTCCAGACGACTGCTTGCTCTTCGTCTACACCGGTTGGGGTGCTTTCTACCCGGATCGTCTAGCCTACCAAGGAACGACGCGTAATGACACCTTTCTGGATGAGCAAGGAAAGTCATTGGTTCACTCCCCGGGAGTTGCACCAGAAGCAGCCACGTGGCTGTTGGAAAATCGCAAGATTTCGGGCCTTGGATTAGACGCACCATCCCTCGACATTGGTCAGGACACTGTATTTAAGACCCATCAGATTTTATTGGGAGCAAACGTTTACGGCGTTGAGAACGTGGCAAATCTCGATAAACTGCCAAATACCGGAGCTTGGGTGTACGCATTCCCCATGAAGATTGTAGGTGGAAGTGGTGGATCAGTGCGTCTCGTCGCCCAGTTGAAGGCGGATACCTCCGGCGCAGTGATGCTCTCCGCTTCGTTTGTTACACTTCTGGGCTTGATCTCAGTTTTGTTTTAGCCAACAGATACCTGGCTATTGTAATCTTTGCAGATTAGCTCTTAATTAACTAACATGTTCTTAAAAAAAGGATCTGCTTCAAAAATCTTGCAAAGATAAAAATGAAAAGTTGTAACCGGAGAATGGCAAAATATTATGATGCTTATATTAGTTTTATATTCTCTTAGTTCTAAAATTAATGGGCAATATTCCAAAGTTATATTCATGTCAAAATTCACTCTGTCCGATGGCAATTCCTCTAAAACGTTTGCGTCAGATTTGACAAGAATCCTGACATTTTTTTTTGGGGGGGGGGGGGAGAGAACGACACTTCTCAGGGTCAACATGACAATTTTCCTGGTCAAAATTCTAAAAAAAAAAAAATTCAAACTGTAGGCTTAATTGTAGATAGAAGAGTAAATATACGAGTTATTAATACCGATTATACTCGACTCCAATAATTTTCTGACGTTTTGGGGTAGAGTAGCATTAAATGTACGTGTCAGCATGACGTAACACAGGGCATATTGGTCAATGAAAGGGAGACCAAACAGGGCACATGTAAATTGTGCGGATGGCTAACGCCACAGTAAATCAAGTTTACCAAGCAAAAGGTTTTGAGCATATATTACAAAGTCGATGTCGTTAAGTCGTGAACATAATACTTGGGTTGACCTAAGACATCAACGGAGAGCTGATTTTTCCATGTTTCGAGATTGGCACTGCTGCAAGTTAATCAATCAAAGAAGATCGTGTTAATGGCCGCTGCTTATTCACAGTCCCAAGGTCAGGTCACGGCCACGGGAAAGCCTGAGATTTAACTGTAGCTGTCGAGTGTCGAGCGCAATTTGAATCCTCCGCGCGAGGGACTCCCGAAGCGCGCAAATTAAACTGCGCCATTTTAATTTGCGCGTGCACGTTACAACTTGCGCAAGGCGATCGCAACAACTTTGAGAACTTGCTTGCGCAAGGGGAATGGGCAAGCAATACACTAGCGACGATTGCTTGAAAAGTGTTCAAAGTTCCTGACGTTGCTCATTATGGAGACCAACAAGTATTTTGGCCCGTAAAACAAATTAGCATTTTATTTATATTCTTAAATGTAAATACATCATAATTTCCTATGTGTAACCCGTTTTTAACGTAAAAAGAATGATTATTATCCCTTCAATTGTTAAAGTTTTGACATTATTTGAAAAATGCTTTAAATTACATTACATGAACTGAACGATTAAAAAAGTACTTATTCTTAAAAAAGAAGAAGAAATTATTCATTAATAAGTGAATTAATAAATTAGCTAATTTAAATAATTTAGCAATTAATTAATTGGACGGTAGGCCTACAATAATTACTATTGTTTTTAAAAACTACTTTGCATTACATTTCGAGCGCTGTGTACAATTAAAGAATGCATAATTAAAAAAAAAAATAATGAATGCACCAATAATTTAATAAATTAATTAAATTTATTAATAGTTTAAATAATTAATTCGACTTAATGACTTTATATGTTGTCTATTAACAAAATCCTGTTGAGCCATAAACAATAATAAACATGATACAAAGTGCATAAATTGTTCACATTACCACCCCTTATATCTCTGAACCTCTACACGGTCAAGCTCATTACCATAATACTGTTGATAAAATCTTTCCAAAAAAGGCATTTAGGCATTGTCTCACGAAGCACATTGGTGCTAATGCTATTAATCGGAGAAAAATCTGCTTTAAAATGTTACATATCTGCATAGGTTTACCCGAAAAAAATAGTGTAGCGGCTTAGTTGCATGCATGGGGAAAATGAAAGTCGAACACCGGCGAGGCGCCGCGCAGCCGCCTCAATTTGTAGAGCGCAAGTTTAAATTTGCGTGCGCAATTTGCAGCGAGGAAATTAATGCACGCGCAAGTTTAAACTTGCGCGCACGCAAGTTTAAACTTGCGCGGGGGAATCAAATTGCGCTCGCCAATAGCCAAAGTTCTCCTTCACCGTGACATTTTCATTCGTGAGTTGGTAAGTTGGTAACGGAAGGGAGCTTTGTAGTCAGGTGACATATCCACTATCGTGTCGAGATTATCAGTTGTGAACTTTAGGCTCGACGTGGATAGACACTATTAGTGAAAATATAAGCACTGAACTTTATACCTCTTCACAATCAATGCAAACTACCCAGAATGGACGCAAAGCAAACGTAGTCACACACTACACTGAGTTGAACAGCGCCACCTCGGATTACAAACAGTGTCTCCAGACCTTCGAATTTCCGACGTCCATAAGCTTTTTCATCATCATGCCGAAGTCGTCGTCCTTTGTATTTCCGAATGGTTCGCGTTTTTCGGTAAACTGAAACTACGAAGGAGCTGTTTGGTTTATCGTACTCGCTGTCCTTGTATTCCTCGCGACTGATTCACACAAAAGACTCTCCCCCAATAAAAAAAAGTATTTAACATTTCTCAATATAATAACATTCTACTTCATTCAAAGTTTCGGAATAATTTGGTTCGACGCGACACTGCAGGAAGACCAGTCTGAAAAGAGTGTTAGCCCTGGTGGGCTCAGTTTCTGCTACATATTTTTCATGATATTCCATTTATCCTGACGCACTTTTTCCACTGTCTGCAGTGATCGTTATACACAGTTGAAACCCACGAAGGTATTACTGTTGGAATATAATTCGAAATACTATCGCTCAGAGTGTAAAACTGGAGAGAAAAAAAGGGGAAAAAAGAAAGAAAGAAACAAAGAGACAAGAAGCAGGCAAACTTAGTCTCTAGGCAACAACATTCTCGAAAAGGAAGAGATGAGTTTTCTTAATTAGCCTCGTTCCAGGTGTCAGTCCCACTTACAATATTTTTTTTCTTCAATTTTTACACTCGAAAGTGCCACAAAGTGAACTTAATTTAGAGGTATACCACCAGGCCAACACATCACCGCTGTACTATAAAGATGAAAGGGTGGGTTTGTTAATGGTGTAAATCGAGGACACACATTGTGAAACATCCTTCAGTAATTGAGGTCAGGAGTCGAATCGAGGACATCCTAGATTAGAAACGTGTAAAAAACCAATGGAAGCTGTTTTGCAAAAAACAGAAGGATTTGCGGGGCACACAATAAAGACAACCAACAATCAGAATGTGAAACTGAGCCTCTCCAATCAAACTTCCGAACCCAGCTCGCTTGATCGAGACTTGTTCCAATTAATACGGGTCTGCCTTATAAAATATTTCAAGATTTACGGGGCACACAAGTAGTATAGGAACAAAAGATCGATGATGAAGAACAATAGGAAATCCTCGATTTACACCATAAACAAACGTCTGTGTGTGGGTGTGTGCCAAAATAAAGATAAATATTGCAGGGCTGTGTTTACTGCAATCTGTGAGGCCACAATTAATCAGCAGTGATCAGTGTACATGTATATGGTGGTGTTCCCTAACGTGACGCACTTCGACGTTTACCCGACTTTCCCGGCGTGCAGTGTTGCCAAACCTCTTTGGTGACAAACCTCAAATTCATGCAGTAACATACTGGTACTTTTACCTTATTGATACTCGCTATTTAACCTCTGTGAACAATTTCGGTTTCATGAAATTTAATCAGCAGTTTTTCCTACGGTGCGTCTTAAGACGCACCGTTGGAAATTAAGGCCTTCTTTCGTTGATTACTTCAAAATGACAGCTTGCCAGAAAGAATAATTTCAAAGGGAGTTTAGTCCACTTACTATCTTTCAACCAAGCATGTTTTTCAACAATCATTACGCCAGTTACTTTTCAGATTGCTGCAAATGATGGACTATAGCTTTAAGTGCCTTCCAGCGCCCTTTCGTTACGAATACACTTTTGTGAATTTCGCGTGAACGCCGTGCCGCCCTAAAACGCTATACATATAATCGTCCGGTTTGAACAGTGCCCCCATAGAAAAATGTTGATTTTACGGAGGCCAAGTGACCGGTGAACAAACCCTGTCAATGATGGGCGAGTGCCCTTTTCACATTTGTTTATTTTATCTAACCCCCCCCCCCCCCCCATAAAATTGACCTTGCTACGCCACGTACTGATCGGCCATGTATTATTGCCTCTTTTGAAGGTCACGTTAGGTCAGCATGTCAGCATTACAGACCACTGCGTGTACGGGGAACCAACTTGGCTTCACAGGGTGCGGTGCTGAAGTGTTCTGGTTCTGGTGGTTACCAGGCAAACACTTCCTAAGTGGTTATCTCGTGTTGATGACCATTCATAATTATCCAGACAACGGTGGATTGTGGGAGGCACGTTTCATACTTTAAGAAAAGTGGTCAGTTGTTCTTCAAAGTCAAGTGCTTCAAGATACGAGGTATGTATTTAAGCCTATCTAATACTTACTTATACTTTGTTCATGGACAATGATGGATGATTGGGGCTAGTCTACTAAGGGGCACTAGGTCCTGAAATCCCGAAAATTCCATGTTTTGGATTGTTTACTTAGACCATAGAGCTTGCTCTATATGCTTAGGGGCCATTCAGAATTTTCAATGTTTTAAAATTTCGATCTTTTTTCCAAATTGTGGGTGGGTGGGTCAAGCTACATAATTGAAAATCGAAATTCACTTTTCATGGAAAAAGATTAAAAAACCAAGAAAGATAGATCTTTTGACTTGCCTGAACTACGCGCAAGCGTTCCGATATTGCGATGCGTGTTTCTTTTCCAACTTCGTCCCCTGTATGTACTGTCAGTGGCGTAGCCAGTAATTTTTCAGTGGGGGGGGGGGGGGGGGGCTGGGGGGCTGGAACATTTGTACCTTCAATGGTACTATGTTTAATTAACCTGTTCATTTGTTTAGTTAAACTAATAACGCATATATAGTTGCCAAATATGGCACTAACAAGTTTGAGGTCGGCAATTTCGTCTTTAAAAATCTGGGTACGTCGGGTTACTGTACACACAATATTGTCCTGGAATCAACAGTACCAAAGTACAGAAAGTCGTACGCAAGAGCTCCCCAGCAAGTATCGCTGACGCCATTATGATTCCAAAATTTCTCACTGTGTCACACAGTGAAATAACTAAACAGCGTCGTTGTATTGTGAACACATAAAAGCATTCAAGTTGCGTTATTGCACACTTTCTGCAAGTCGACATAGATATCCTTGAACCACTGCCCCTGCTTTGCATAACAAGTGCACATGAATGAACTATTCGACTTTTATTCAAAGAAATTTCTATTACAGTCACCAGACTCTATTCAGTAAAGTCCCCGTCAAAACGGAAGTACACAATCCACGTGCATAACGCACGGCTACACCATCGTACAGTGTGGCAGGGACACCAACAAGTAACACAACTAAATTTGTTTTTAAAAATTGATAAATATTCTGATTGAATTTCGTTAAAAGAACTTGTTGGTGAGGTATCACATATTCTAGCAAATTGATAAAAATGTACATAATACAATATGCAGTTTTGAGGGAAATGGGCAAAATACTGCATAAATATTTTCACTTGATCATATTCATAATACACAAACGGACAATTTTCATTTTCAGACCCACAACGAGAAATATTGTTAACACTGGGGTTATTGTGAGGAGTTGTGCTGGGAATCCACCAATACATAAATTCCCATAGGCACCAAAGATAAATACCCCAATTTAAACAAATCGGGGAACATACTCTGAACCCTCACAGGTGATCAAAACATACATCAAATGAAAGCTGAATTAATCCTCTTTACTTTTTTGTAAATCTTCTTTTGGGGGGGGGGGGGTTGACCTATGACTTTTAGGTGATTTTTCCCTCGAACGATGATCACCCCATCGCCATTTTGAAAAAAACAAAAAAACAAACAGATTACTTCCACTCCATATCAATATAGATTCCATTCAAATTTTTTGTTCAGAAATCCAAATTCAGGAACATGGACCCTTCACTTCTACAAATACAGACCCTCAAGTGCAGGGGCCAACATTCTTTATTATTATAGATAAACTAGTATACAAATCGTAATTTGGCCGGATTAGGTCGCGCCTATTTGGGCTGCCTCTCAAATGTACTGCGATCGGGAAATCTCCAGCGTTATAAAGACTTGAAGAAACTTTATTTGATTTATTTGATTCAATTATTTTATTTTAAATCTTAAAACATAAAATAAAAGCTAAAAGTTGGACAGGCTGCCACGGATATGTAAAAGTAAAAAAAAAACAATTGTCATCAGACATTTATCCAAACCCCTGCCAATAAAACAGATTTAAAATTACATTCATAAAAATTAAAGTACTATTGAAAAGTAAATTGTACAAATCATACGAGACGAGACATGATGAGACATGACGAGACGAGACAAGACGGGGAGATGAGACAAGACTCAGCAAAAAAATCATAGAGTGAAACAATGGACAAGCCAGATAGATACAAAAATATAAAAACGAACTAATAAATAAATACTCTTACAACCCAACAAACAAACAAACAAACAAAACAAGACTCAATAACGGGAATGAATTACAAACGGGCTAAAAATATTATTACAAACAAAACAAAACAAAACCGAGAAACAAAAGCAATCCCATTCCCCAGAGAGAAAAATGCAAACCATAAAAACATACAACCTAGTTGGCATACATACGTCTACACTCACATTAAATACACACACTAAAGAAACAACAAGAAAATACCCGGAACAAAATGAAATAAGACACAATTTTACATTGACGATAAAATAAATATGACTGCAATAATTCCTCCCTCAGTTTTAAAAGAAAAGATTCACAACCTTCCATAGTTAAAACTTTTTCTAATTTTAACACGGTGACTTCAATGAGGCAATTGAACAGTTCTCTTATCTTGTAATCCATGTGTCTATCAGTTCGAAGTTTCAAGTGGTGAAACGTTAAAGGCTGTGCGACGGAACTGCCCTGCAATTCATTCCTGAAATTATTGTTGCATTCCCTATTAGTTCATTAACTTTATATTAGAATCAACATTATTATCTATGATAACGAATTTGGCGGGAAACAGAGCTTTCACTCAGTGACTTTACTGGTATATTTGACTTCGTGGGGATTCCTCCAACGTCAGGCTTTTCCTTGGTTTTAACACCGGTGTCGGAGTCTCACAACACTAACTGGGGGAACCAAGTATGCCAAAGATTCTAGCTGAACCGAGTGGGCATGGTACGAGCTTTCGCTTCGCAGAGACGGCCGGACTGAAGCGGGAGCGGACCACTACAGTGACGGGGAAGCAACAGCTGGACGGGGCCAGCGAGTGTACCGGATCACACTATAGTTCGAGCCATGGTGTGCATGGTCAACCGGGGCCAGTGGCGTAGCAAGGAATTTTTCAGTGGGGGGGGGGGGGGGGGGGGGGGGGGGGGGCGCTGGGGGGGCTGAAACATTTCATGGGGGGGGGGCGTCATGTAGATCAATGATAATTTTTTTAGAAACTCAAAATCTCAGGGGGGGGGGGGGGGGCGACGGGGGGGGGGAGGGGCGACAAGGTTTCATGGGGGGGGGGGCTGTCGCCCCCCCCCACGCCCCCGTGGCTACGCCACTGTGTACTGTACATGTGCGTCATGTAGGCCTACGTGTATCCAATCGCTATAAAAACTGGACTATTCAACCACTGGACTCCAAGACTACGAGGACCGCAGCCTGTGATGTGATGTCTGCCCAAACCTGATGTTTTCTTTCGCTCGTACCCCCCGCCCTGCAAACAGGGCGGGGGGGGGGGGGGGTACGAGCGAATGTTTTTCTCAGCTACCTCACGTGACAGGCACAACCTCGTATGTCACATGTCATCCACCTCATCCAGAAAACGACAAAACCACGGTCATCTTTGTGGCTTCCAAAACTGCAACCTGTCATTCGTTTCCCAACAGCATATCAGCTGGCAAAACACAAGAAAACTGAAGGTCACCAGTGCAAAAGAGGAAGACCAACAACTTCACGCCGTCACTGAACTAGACACACATGTACATGGTGTTCAAGTACATGTACATGCAAGTGCATGTACATGTTCAGTTTTTTATTAATCGAAATTAGGGGTGGGTGGGTGGGTCAAAATAATTTGGAAAAAAAGTCGAAATTTTAAAACATTGAAAATTCTGAATGGCCCATTAGCCTATTTCAAACGTCTGGTTGAAAGAATGTCTTACCGTTCCCGAGAGAAAACGAAAAAACCCGCTTCACATCGGACACCAATGCGAAAAAAATGGTTTCTTCAACGTCCGCAAAAGGCGAACACTTTAGGTGCACTGAACCAATTCAAGCCCCATTGAAAACAGTGTAAAATTATAAAAGTTCAGGGCCAAATAACATGCAAACCGACATCACTGGGGTTTCTCAAACAAAATCAAATTATTGTCTTGTCCTTCATGTTTTCATTCAATTTTGGGTAGCCGATTACATTTTTAAATATTCACACCAAAACAAAATCACCTCCAGTGGTAGTTCCCAAGTCTGCATGTGGCCATTTTACAAGTGGCATCCTTCCACTTTCCATAGGACACATTTTTCAACCGTAATTTTATCAAGCCTGCCCTCAGATAGAAGTCCAAAAACCAGGGAGTTGATCCTTGGCTATATGTACACAATTCCACCGTTTTTAAAGCCAAACGGTCTCCTTTTATAAAAAAAAAAATTGTGGGGTCACTTTTTATGCTAATCAGCTGGCGCAGAAATTCTCACTTGAATTAGTTCACTGCACCCTAATTACGAAGGAAATCACAACACGCATCCAATTAACAGCTCGAATTGATGGGGTTGCAAAAAGTGGACCCCGAAATTCGTTCTCGCAAGCATAATACAGGAATAACACAAAACCGCCCAGTTTTTAAAGGATAGTTGTGTGGATGTTTATATCCTACTTTAAATGTTATTTCCAATTACCATCATCTCGTTCCAAGCGCGTTTTGTAGCCTAATTGGGCTGTTTCCAGGACCCAGTGTCGCTTTAATTTGTAACATATGGGTATACATGTTCTGGTTCTGGTTCTGGTTCTGTCGGTAAAATTCACTTCAGAATATCACACCAACTTAAGACCTTTATCCTTGCAGCCTCATACTGTATATGTATGAGGATAACTGCCAGAAACACCGGGGTGAACCCCTTCTCTTTAATAGCGATAAGTGTTTGCTGGGTTCTTTTACGTGCATTATACGGCACACGGGACCTACGGCTTTACGTCCCATCCGAAGGACGAGGCAATAATGATTAAGTGCCTTGCTCAAGGGCACAAGTGTCCGGGCCTGGGCTTGAACCCACGCCACTGTTGCCTCTGAAACACCAGAGCATGAGTCCAGTGTTCTTAACCGCTAGGCCATGTAAATACAGTAATTATGTGTGTGCATATAATTATTATTATTTGCAATGATGTGTGGTGTGGGCCCCTGAGAAATCATTCTTATGCAGTCGGCCCAGTTTTTGTAACAGGCCCCGATTCAATAAAGATAACTTTCGGTACTTATAGTGAAGAGATGATGCCAAAATAATGTAGGGCCAGACTATATGTTCTTCTGATGCACAATTGGGTTTTAGAAGCTCTGCAATCTCAGCCCTCGGCTTTCCTGACCACTTTGGCCAGATTTTTCGGAGCAAATGTTTACTATTCCGTGGAATCCGTGCTCCATTTTTCCCTTAATTTTTCCTCTCTATTTATCAATTTAAGACGCATGTAGAATCCTTTGCTTTTTTATGCATTTTGTTCGTTTCCAATAAAAACACCACTCAAAATCCAAAGACGATTGTTCAAACCCTATATAACCTGTTGAAGTTTCAGCTCGATCAGTATGTAATGTATACACGTTTCGAGAAAACAGTGAAATATCATGTACAACTTTTTGATCACGAATGGACGATTTCGTCCATAGACTTAAGCACTCTAGGCCTATACATATCAATTGAATGATCATTGGAAATCACCTACATTTCTACCGGTGGATTTTTTTTCTAAATGACAGCAAGCCAGACGGAAAAAAATCCACGGTGTTTAGAACCCGTACGACCTTTATTCGAGTAATTTTTTTGATAATAATTTGGTAGGTTACTTTTGGGATAAATGCAAATGATCCTATATGCATTTAAGATATGAGTAGAAGAAAATGCTTACCAAAGTAAAACAGACGAGCAGTTATATTGCAACTTCATGACTACTCAATCTTTCGCCAGTTAATTTATTCAAGTGATGCTCTATGTTTCTTCCTTTGCCTCCCCACCCCTTTTTTCGGGGAAGGTCGTGTAATTTGCAAGATTTTGCAATTAAAATTTGCTCGCAAATTCTCTTGGTGTCAGTCGAGTTTTAATTTTCAAGAACACTTAAACAAAAAAGCTGATCGGCGGCAATAGCTTGTAGAAGGTGTTCACTGTCAAAAATAGACTAAGTCATTTAATATAATAACTTTCACAATTTGAAAGAGGCTTCGGTTTTTAAAAAAAATGTTTAAAACAATACCTTGATTGTAATTCACGACGTTGAGAAATTGAGGCCGGGAATTGCTAACAATCCGGAACTAGGAATATAAAATCATGCAGTATAGGAAATGAAAGCGAAGCATTACCTGCCTGTTTAGTCCGCTTGTCGGAACATATTTAGTACTGAAAGGGCTTCGTCAATAATTGCTTTTGTCCTAAGGAATTATTCATTTATATAGTTACAAACAGATCAATCTTCTCAGATTTTGTTTTTTATTTAACGGGTTGTTACATCAACAAGCCAATATTTTATCGGGGTTTCTTCGAAGAAATTCAGTCAGTTGCCGGAATTTTATGGACATCTTCAGGGTGCTGATTTTTTTTTTAACCCTGCGCAGAGTGACCTGCTACCCTTTGGGCCCCAGGTAACCGAATTTTTTGAAGAAAAAAAAATTGAGGGCCAATAACGTTCACCTCCTATCTAATCCTCATTCAACCCTTGCCAAATCAGCTAGTGAACTTTGCAGCCAGGGCTACACCCAGGCCGTGTCAACAAACTTTCTACCAGGCCTCCTGCCAAGTCTCATTGAAAATCAACAAAGACCTGTAACTTGACACAGTCATCTCCCTTCATAACTGCATACCACAGGCACAGCCGCCAGTCAATTATCTTACCTGCGCACTGTCTGGCAACTGTCTGGACACTGTCTGGCACGTGGCTTTTTGTTGTGTTGCTATGAATAGGGTCTTGCGTAGTGCGGGAAAGTACCTGCTGCCCAGAGGGCAGTTGACGAGTTGTTTTAAAGTTTTTTTGTAAACGCTGCGCAGGGTTAAGCTTTAAATCGTTACTAGACAAAGTCTTTACGATTTTTTTGTGCGTGGCTCCGATAGGCGCAGTAGCTGTTCATATAAATACTTTTTTTTTACCTGAATTCCATAAAACTTGGAAATTAGGGTAAATCGAGTAGCAAAGATTATGTGGGATATTTTTCAGGTCCAAAGTCAACTGAGGTCAATAATGATTTAATTCACGGAAGTTTCGGTTATGTTTTTTAGGGAAAAGTTTATAACATTGTACATGCATGCTTTGATGGAGTTTGATGAAACTTAGATGCAGTGACCCTTGGATGTGAAGACACAATTCTGCTTCGGAATGTAGAGGTCAAATGTCATGTAGGGGTCATTGTTAAAATGTACTTCAAATGTCTTTTTTTCCTACATAATTTGATGGATTTTGATGTAAAACTGTTGACCTGCATAGGATAGAAAATTCTAAACTTTTGATTCTTGTAGGACTTTATGTTCCTGAAGCAGAGCATGGACCTATTCATTTATACAGAGGTTCCCAAGTCATATGGTACTAAGTTCTTCTTTATCCGAAGCTGGAGACAAACCCGGTTTTGGTCGACCTTTCCTCTATACTGCACGAATTTAATTCATTAACACATTGAGACCTTTTTCCTGTGGTTTTCAAATGCCCCAATATTTATTTATTATTTCAACCGACGATACACCGTTTTTTCCTGCATTATTTGTCATAACAATACATTTCTTCATTATTTACATAAGAGGATACAGATTCTGTATAATAACAATTCATGTATATCAATATTTTTTGCTAGTTGAAATAAATCTTCCGGGGACCGGGAATTATCACTGACCAACTGAGACACTGAGTAGGGCCTATAGACCTTTCTACGCTTGGTTGGCAAACTGCATTTTTGCCAACCACGGGTTGGAAACTATGGAAGGTCCAGCACTGCAAAAATAAAGAAGAGTTATACAGATAACCAAAATATTATTTCATTGTTGGAAATACAACATTGTCAACAAAGCTACAACATAATTCCCAGACGTGCCTTTTTACTTTGTATTAAGGGCGTTTGGGGGATTTGTTTTGGTAAAACATGTTGCCAACCACGGCTTCAATAATATGCGCTTGCGGCAGCCCATGTAAAATGGCGCCAATGTTTACAAACAAAAGAAAGGTCTATAAATGGCCGTTCAGGTTGCGACTGTCTAACTACTGAACAACTGATCAGCAGTCAACCCTTCGGGTCCAGCTCGGCTATGTAGGCAAACATTGTCTTTCCTTAAGCATATCAAATCAACTCCTTGGCATAATTCATTTGGAATATGAATCATCATTGTAGCCATTTATTTAATTCCCTTCATCAGACACGTTAATTCAAAATGGCCGATCGGTTCACCGTAGTCGTCATGTTGCTCATGTCCACCTCTGCCCTGGCCCTGAAGAAGGGGGAACTTCTGGACATGTCTTTCGGCTTTGATGGCAACTCCCTCAGCTATCCCGGGTTGGGTTTCTTCGAATTGACGTCACAGTATCGGGGGCCCTTGAACGCTATACCGTGGTAAGTTTGTAGTATCCTAGGATGCTCCTTCATCAGCAAAGCAATCCTTGCTAGAGCCATAGGGCCTATATGATCATTTGCATTTATCCTAAAACTAACGGTATTAAATAAATGAAATTGATTGCTGCCATTTAGAAGAAATGAAAAAATATAGGTGATTCCCAAACAATCGGTCAATTGACTGATTTTTGGAAATAAAGAGTTATACAATTATAGAGATCATGTTTCATGATCAAAAGTGTAATGTCAACTGCACTGAAACTTCAACAGGTTAGGTTTATAGAACACAAGCTGAATTACCCGATCATAGATCGGGTAGGGCGTAGTGTTGGAGATGAAAATGTGGAGAGTTAAATGTAAATGAGGGATATAGTTGGGAGACATGCAGTTATAGTAAAGCATTTTCTGTGGTGTGATCTGAGGCAATAGAACATGTTTCTTTTTAAGTTCTTTGGATTTTGATTGGTGTTATTATTGCAAACGAACAAAAGTCATGACAAGCAAATGATCCTAGGCTATATGTCTTTTAACATTCATTGGAAAGAATGGAAAACCGATGTCACATTTGAAGTGGCAGGACTGAAGAAACGCTCATCAGAAGGCAGTGAAAAAAACCTGGACCAGAATTATACAAACTTACAATCACTCGCTCTAACTTTGAAGAAGAAAAAACATTATACACCGAATTCCCGAAGCAGTCTACGTTCCACTCGGTTACGTACTTGTATACACAATGACATGTACACTTGAGCCAGCAGGAACATGTTTATATAAAAGCTTTCCAGTTGATGATGAAATGGTTGCTAATGTTGGTTCTAGTCCTCACGAATCACAATTTTTAAGCACGGTCGGTCAAGGTCAATTGCTTATTAAGTTAACCTATATGAGATTGTTCCGCAGATTTTAAGTGATTGTTACATGACTTTATCGTTTCTACATCTTTTTCAAATTCCAACAGGGTGGAGTACAACAATATCCTTTCACCGGAACACGTTGGCACCCACATGGACGCCCCCATCCATGTTTCCGAAGGCAAGCTGCACATCGACGAAATACCACTCAGTCGCTTCACATGTCCGGCCGTCCGAATTGACATAACTGAGAAGACAAAACTGGACAGAGATTACGGAATGACAGTCCAGGATCTGCAAGACTGGGAGGAGGTCCATGGCAAGATTCCAGACGACTCTTTGCTCTTCGTCTACACCGGTTGGGGTGCTTTCTACCCGGATCGTCTAGCCTACCAAGGAACGACGCGTAATGACACCTTTCTGGATGAGCAAGGGGAGTCATTGGTTCACTCGCCGGGAGTTGCACCAGAAGCAGCCACGTGGCTGTTGGAAAATCGCAAGATTTCGGGCATTGGATTAGATGCACCATCCCTCGACATTGGTCAGGACACTGAATTAATGACCCATCAGATTTTATTGGGAGCAAACATTTACGGCGTTGAGAACGTGGCAAATCTCGATAAACTGCCAAATACCGGAGCTTGGGTGTACGCATTCCCCATGAAGATTGTAGGTGGAAGTGGTGGATCAGTGCGTCTCGTCGCCCAGTTGAAGGCGGATACCTCCGGCGCAGTGATGCTCTCCGCTTCGTTTGTTACACTTCTGGGCTTGATCTCAGTTTTGTTTTAGCCAACAGATACCTGGCTATAATAATCTTTGCAGATTAGCTCTTAATTAACTAACATGGTCGTAAAAAAAGTATCTGCTTCACAAATCTTGCAAAGATAAAAATGAAAAGTTGTAACCATAGAATGGCAAAATATTATGATGCTTATATTAGTTTTATATTCTCTTAGTTCTAAAATTAATGATCAATATTCCAAAGTTATATTCATGTCAAAATTCACTCTGTCCGATGGCAATTCCTCTAAAACGTTTGCGTCAGATTTGACAAGAATCCTGACATTTTTTTGGGGGGGGGAGGGGGGGAGAACGACACTTCTCAGGGTCAACATGACCATTTTCCTGGTCAAAATTCTAAAAAAAAAAATTCAAACTGTAGGCTTAATTGTAGATAGAAGAGTAAATATACGAGTTATTAATACCGATTATACTCGACGTTATACTCGATTATAATTTTCTGACGTTTTGGGGTAGAGTAGCATGAAATATACGTGTCGGCATGACGTACAGGGAATATTGGTCAATGCAAGGGAGACCAAACAGGTCACATGTAGATTGTGCGGATGGCTCACGCCACAGTAAATCAAGTTTACCAAGCAAAAGGTTTTGAGCTTATATTACAAAGTCGATGTCGTTAAGTCGTGAACATAACTTGGGTTGACCTTAGACATCAACGGAGAGCTACTTAATACCCCCTTCAGATTCAACCTGACTGAAACTGCTGAAGTGCTCAGGTTAAAGGGAATATACAACATTTGCAAACATCGAAAAATAAAACTACCAAGTTTTTACGAAATACCTTACTAGGATGCTGGTAAATGACAGTCTCAAGCATCTTGTAAAATTATGGCACCTGGTGTGAAGTCATTTTCAAGAAAATGGTATTTTTGTAAACATTTCCAACGGTGATCGGCCGACCAGCGTTGGAAAAACCTAACTATTTATCAACTTCTGCTCCAAATTTACCATTTTCCAGTCCAAATTGTGTTTGCTATTGGTTACATGTTCATGAACGGGTGCAGGCCAGCTAGACTGGCTCCCTTGCCTTACAATTTTCCATCATTTATAAATTGATCTATTTTATCTTTTGTGGAGTCAGGGAACCAGACTTCTTGAACATTTTTGTTTTTCTTGGCGTTTCCAACCTTTTCGAACACAAAACTTCAAAAATGTTAGTGTAACAATATTTGATCTATTATACTTACCTCTCAAATAGTTCATTTCTGAAAATTACAGCAAAATCCAATTCGCCATTTTTATGGGTTAAACTTGGAAATAGCACGGACAGGACCAACATCGTCCTCAGAGCTTACTTTATTTCCAACCTCGCTTCCATTAGTATAGCCCTGGATAGGAAACTTTCTTCCGATTTTATATCGTGCACTTGGTGTTGTTATTTTTAACGTGCACTTCGTGTTTTCAGGTTCATTTTAGTTATTACGTCCACGGCACCTTCTCCCAAATAAGCCTGTCCTTTCCAATTTGCTCATACTAATATGAAATGTGATACTGCATATTGGCTGGAGAAATTGTAACATTTAAACTTTGAAAACAATCGTGTTTACGTACTAACTCACGCCGCGACGAATTGATTCTGTTTTTACCAGACACTGCGTACATAAACAAACGCTAACGTAACGCACAGGCAGGCACCAGACTATTCCTAATTTGCATACGTGTCCAAAAACTTTGGACATGCAAATGATCCGATACCAGGGTGAAAGAGCAGGTAGTGGTGGGCGCGTACTGCTCGACACCCTGGGGACGAGGTTGGGAAAGTACATTTCGACTGTCAGCGATTCTTGTTAGGGTAGGGCATATTCCCACTTTTAAAAAAGTGAAACGACCAACGGAATATTACTTGTACGACCTAAATGAACGTGCCCAATACAATTACTAATTCATTGCCAGTTCCGCCTCAGAGCGCATGCGTGCTGAAAAGTTATTATAATAATAATAATAATAATAATAATATGTATAAGTGATATATAGGGTCGCTTGGCGTGCAGGTAATATATGCTGTATTGTGTTAGCATTTTTTTTTATCATATACTACTGTATTAATATTTGACTATATTTGACTTTCTTTCACAATGTACGAAAAAAATTAATAATAACGGGAAGGGATTTATCATACAATTTAATAAAAGATGAAAACATTTTGATTTTTTTCCCTTCAAAACTCAAAGTGGTGTGGGGTTAATGTATGATTGTCAATTTCCTGCCAAACTGAACAACTGTAAGAGGTGAATTTAAAGTCCGAAAAATGACGTTATGTAATTTATATACTAAGAGTTCAACGTTGGTGTAAACATATGAAATTATTTTGGTTTCTTCGAAATTGGAAATCGTAATGAAATTTTCCCCATCTTTTTGTTTTTGTTTTAATTAAACTTGACACAATTAATCTATAGGTTTTGCCATTGAATAGAATAAAGCATGAATTGAAAGAATACTTGTCATTTCTTCTCAACCAATTTATTTGGTATTTACAGCCTTTATGAAAATATGAGGGAAAACGTGCGTTGAAGTAAGAGGTGGCACCGTTTGTTTCATGCAGAAACTTTATTCTGATTACGCTGCCCAATGACAAATAAAAGCCATATTTGAAACTCAAATTCTTGGCATTTTACAGCCATTAAGCCCACTAAAATATGAAATGCCAAATTCGTAATGCAATTCATCCCCTTCACCACACAGCATTTTAAATAAATGCATAAATAATGTGGACCGAGGTCGCAGTTTTAAGAACCTAATTGTACTCAGTGGCGCATCCACGATTTGGCTTGGGGGGGGGGGGGGCTCACATTATGTTTTTCATTTTTTTTAAGTTTAAAACTAAATAGAAAAAAATGCCCAAAATTTGTGGCCGCAGAAAAAAATGGGTCTTTAGGGGTGGAGGGCGGACTTACACCCATATTATACTACTAGAAAATAGGCAAACTAAAAACAAAATTTTAAAAAATGACAACCTCTTGGGGGGGGGGGGCTCAAGCCCCCGAGGCCCCCCTTGGGTGCGCCAATGATTGTACTCCGGATTGACTGACACCCGTACACGCGCACGCATCTTCTTTGAGGGTTATAAGTACATGCCTGCATGCAGCCATTTTGCAAATGGCATCCCTCAACTTTCTCAGGCAAGGACCCATTTTTTTTCAACCGCAATTTTATCAAATCTGCCCTCAGAAGTTGTGGGAGCACTTTTCATGCTATTATGAGCTCGCGTAGAAATTCTCACTCCGATCAGTGTGTGCGCCCTTTAAATCGTAATGGGCACTGAACACCAGAACACTGGTCGCAGGTCACACGGCAATGGCATGCAGGCTTTCGAATACGCCCCTGAGGTCACAGGATAATACATAAATCATTTAGCATAAACGATGTGGGCATTAAATTGTCCAAGGACTGTAAATACTAAGTCCTAGGAGTGCTGGCCTTTCGCCTAGGACATCGTGGCTGAACTTGCCGGCATTAGACAAAGCGGCATTTAGACAAATTCCAACCAATCATCAGCCTTTTAGTGCGTGCGTTGCTACTACCCGGGCGCGTCGACGCGCCCGGATGCTTACACAAAATTGAAAAACAAAACATGCGAGTCTAGTTTTCCACGAGATCGTAATCGCGTAATTGTTTTTAGTTTACATTATCTTATTTTAATTTTACTTATAACAAGAAATTATCTGATGTACTTATTCTTATCTGACCTTACAGTTATTTGCTCTTACGTTTTCCTCACTCACCCTTCTTTCACAAATGGAAGCAACTAGGCAAAATCTGCGTTGTGATTGGTTAACCTTTCAGCACTCTTCTTATTTGCATAAAAAAACTATGAATAATTCAACAAAATCAAGTTGGAAAAGGCCTCGTGGCTTCGCCACTCGTGCGTGCTGACTTAATCTTTGCTCCAGTCGCTTCGTGCTTTCGTAGCTCCGCCGCTCTAAGCCACGATGACCTTGGCCGGATGGGAATGCGGGAGTGGTTTATTATGATGCACTGAGGTAACGATTTCATATTGCAGTCATAAATGCAGGAGTTTGTCTCAAGACAGCGAGACTGACTGAGTGAGTTGATGTTTGCAAACCTGTATATTTTCCAAAATGGCTCATCGATTCACTGGACTCGTCGTTTGGTCCATGTTCACCCTCGTCGTGGCCCTTGAGAAGGGGGAGATTCTTGACATGACATTCGGTTACGACGATAATTCTTTGGCCTATCCTGGAAATGGATTCTTTCAGCTCACCGTTCGAAATCGAGGGCCGAAGGGCGTCTTTCCTTGGTAAGTTAAGTGCAATATATGGGTATTTCATTTCCACACGATAAGGCCTAATGTGCATCACCTTGGATTGGAAATCTGGTTCATGACCGCAGTTGAGCTTGATAGTTAAAACTGTTCAAAATATAGTAAAACCTTAAGCACAAATTCTTCCGAAAATGATCTGCTCGTGTGCCGTTGCTTCCTGCATGCTGGTGACCCACAGTTACAATTTTGAATTGCGATTTTCAATGCCTTGTCAATAGGCATATACAGTCTTAAAAAAAGTTGAATAAAACAGTTTTCAAATCCCTGTTACACGATTGTACTATTAATAATTGATTCAAATAAGTACTATGAGATTTGCTTGGTTTCTATATCTAACTCGACATTTTGTTTTCTTTTTCTATATTGAATTTGAATTTAAAGTCAGGTAACATCTTCATATATTTGGAACTGGTGAAGACAATGAAAGAAAAGTGGCTTGGGTTAAGTTGAGTTGGGATGAGATGGGTTCGCTTGTTTGTTTTTCTAACTCGACATTTTGTTTTCTATTTCTATTTGTAATACAGGTTGGAAGATAACTCCTTTTGTACCCCGGAGCACATTGGCACCCACATCGACGCTCCGGCACACTTTGCAGAAGGCAAAATGCGCATTCATGACATACCACTGGGTCGACTGATACGCCCGGCAGTCCGAGTGGATATTTCCGAGAAGGTGAAGGTAAACGGAGATTACATAATGACAGTCCAGGATCTGCAAGATTGGGAGGAGGTCCACGGCAAGATCCCAGACGACTGTTTGCTCTTCGTCTACACCGGTTGGGGCGCTTTCTACCCGGATCGCCTGACTTACTTTGGTACAACTCGTAACGATACCTTTCTGAATGATCAAGGGGAGTCACTGATACATAGCCCGGGATTGGATCCTGAAACCGCTACGTGGTTGCTAGAAAATCGTAACATAGTCGGTCTTGGGATTGACACGGCGAACCTCGACTATGGACAGAACCCTCGTGTAACGAGCCATCAGATTCTATTGGGAGCCAACATCTACGCACTGGAGAACGTGGCCAACCTGGACAAACTGCCAAACACAGGGGCTAAGGTGTATGCACTCCCAATGAAAATTGTCGATGGAAGTGGAGCACCTGTACGTATCATCGCCATGTTAGATGGGGATAGTTCTTCGGGTGCAGCAACGCTTTTGGCCACATTCTTTGTTTGTGGAGTTTTTCTTGTAATCAGTTTGATTTTTAAATAGATGAATGGCCATTGGTTTGTCTGAACCACCCTCATCTCTGTCTTGAATAGATACAGTATAGGGTGTAACTTCTATAAACGGCTATCGTTGCGCTATGCTTAAATTGAGAGCACTGATAGTGTTATTGGAGGTAATGTCATGCTAAGTACATCACTCTAAAAAAAAAACTGCCTGGGGAGATTTGACCCGGACTCCAGTTTTATTAGGCCAAATACTTAGGAGTTAAGAAAGGACCCTTTTCTTGGTCGAAATGACACTGTAGGCCCCCTATAGTTTTGCCAAGTTTTCCGGGTCAAACTGACTCGAAAAATGATCAACAGAAACGGTTGACTCGCAGTGTCGTTTTCGACCCTGAAAGGTATTAGGCGGAATCCGGGTCAACCTGATCAGGGACATTTTGATTGTTATGTGTGATTAATATTCATTTCATTTTATCATCGGTACATTACGCTGATCAGTGTGATAACGCAATTTTATGTGCGGCCCACACAAAAAGTACAGCTTCAGAAACTACGAATTTGATATACATCATTAAATGAGCTGCTTTTGTTACATTGCGGCTAGTCTGTGTCGTTTCCAATAAGTTTAGAACACATGCGAGCCACGAGTCTGAAAAGGTGGAAGGATGTCTAATGTGCATACTAGTAACGGTCTGGGTTACACAATGTATGAGTTACAGAAATATCTCTTTTAACTATTGGTCTATTTTAACTTTCCATTTTGTAAAACATTTTTGTAAGTTTTATTCGGATCATTTGAATAAATGGCTTGGTGGAGTCGTATAATTTGAATTGTTTGCAGGTTTTAAAAAGTTGTCAAAACAACAGAAAACTAAAATCTAGGGCGAATCGGCCAGTCGGTGACTTGATACAATCATCTGAACAGACAGGCATTTTCTTCATCGTCTTGTGCGATAAATCCCCCTTAATATCCGAATCCATGAAACACATCAAGTACAGAGAGCCTATCTTTGCACAGAGCACCTGCTATTGAAAACCGGAGGTGCGAAAATCCCAACCTCGTCCCCAGTGCTTACTTTATTTCCAACCGCGTTTCCAACAGTAAGCCATGGATAGGAAACTTTCTTCATGTATCTTGATTCGATCGATACCGCAAGAGGCTAAAAATGGATTTATATTGTGTACTTGGTGTTGTTATTCACAACGTACAGTACGTGTTTTCGCGATCATTCGTCCACGCCTTCTTTAAAATATTCATTTCCCTTCCAATTTGTTCATATTAATATGAAATGTGATACTGTATGTTGTCTTGTTAAGATCGTAACAGTTTGATTAAAATAAAACCGTATTTTCGTAACTCATGCCATGCTCGCGCTGCGACGAATTGATTCTGTTTTTCCCCGACACCGCATACAAAAACAGATGTAAATGTAACGCACAGGCAGGCACCAGACTATTCCTCATTTGCATACGTGTTCAAAAATCTGAATGAAGAAGGGCATTCTTTACAAAATATTGGGGACGGGGTTTAATACCCCCTTACCCCCTCCCCCTCCGCTGGGTACGCCTATGACTTGGAGCGAAAAGCTGACAGATTTATCATCGAACTTTCATAGTTCGTTTAAGTTGTGCGCTGGGTGAATCTGAAAAAAAAAATGATAAGTGGGCCCTCAATTGACGTATATTGAGTGAGAGGTTTTGAAATGCATATTCTTATCGTACGAATTCACACGATCGTTATGGTTTTCGTAAATAGCGATACGTTTTGGAGTGTTTCCACAGAGATAATTTTGAAAACATTTATCTATTCAAAGTCTGAGAGAAACGGATTTGCCAAAAATCAAAATAAAACTAAATTAATACTTGTTTTTACTTGCCAATCGTGTCTTCAGAGGACTGTGAACTCGGGGCACATACAGAGTGGTGCAAAAAGAAGGAAACCTATACTTTTGACAGCAATTACTTGTCACCTACTTGCTGAGCATATTTAAAACATTCAAATTAATGGTAATAAAATATTGATCGTTAAACTCACCTGACGACAAAAGGATTGCAAATGCATCTTTTGTCTCTTAGATAATGGTAACTAAAACATTTCATGTGCCAAACCTGTTTGTCCACGGACGGCTTTATTCCATCTGCTTGACTGAGCTCCGGAGCTTGATTTGAAGACAAAATAAACAAACAAAACACTACAACTAGACTTACACGTGGCCTGTATTCAAATTAGCAAAATAAGTCTTTTCTTGCGATTTTTAGATATTTTTTTTCACCACGTATGGTTGAAGAGCTATAGGCCTATATCACTACATTAAAAAAAACAAATGTTAGGTATCTAAGTTAAACTTCCTGTCAAAAGTGTTTTTTTTTTTCTTTTTGCACCATCATGTACATGTATATGCAACCATGGGGCTGTAAAGTCTCTCCATTGCATTGTGTTTCTCTTACACTCGTAACGTCACACACATACATCAGACATACAGACAGACAGTCCGACCGACAGACAGACAGACAGGCATCAGACCGTAGGATCTTTAATATAGGATATTGGGCTCGGAATTTTCCGGACATTCTGTAGTGAAAAAATGGCGAATCCATGTGTCTCTCAACAAGACTTAGTCGTGTTTATTTCGTGAGGACTCCCACAATCCTAAGCAGCACCTAAATGGGGATCCCGCAACCGTAACCTTGCCCTGTCGCTTTTAGGTTGTCATGGATACATTGCAGTACGTCATCGCGATTTCTGCTGCTGCTCAGAAGAAATCGACCAGCCCATTTCATTGTAGCAACCTAGGTAACTGTAAAGTAACCGGTGCAGGTATAGCTACACTTGGTCTCGTACTGACTCAGAGCAGGTATAGGCCTACCTCGAAAATGGCTTGTAGATTCTCCGTACTCGTCTTATTGTGTGTAGTCACCTCTGTCCTGACCCTCGAGAAGGGAACATTTCTAGACATGTCCTACGGTTATGACGAAAACACTCTGGCCTACCCCAGCGTAGGGTTCTTCCAGCTTAGCATCGGAGAACGGGGTCCAACTGACAATTTTCCATGGTAAGTAACCATAAGGGCGGACCCAGGGGATCCAACGGGGGCCATGCCATGCATTTGTTTTTTAATGTAGCGCCGCAATAAAGGCAGGCACTGCACACACCACCATCTTTTCCTCCAAAAGATTTGGTTAACTTAGACGAAGTCAGCGTGAATAAAATCACTTCCACATTTCTGTGTTTTTTATTGTCCCAGCTACGTGGTAGCCATGCCCACATGGGCGTCGCCAGGATTTTTTCTAGAGGTGGGCAAAACATTTTTTTGCCCAAAAATGCTTGTATTTTTCAACACATTCTCGATTTATCAGTTTTAGACGGGGGCAGGGACATTTTGCCCCCCCCCCCCAACTCATTAAATTTACACGACTTTGTCTTTGCGCCTCTTTTTCTTTTCTTTTTTTTCCTTTTTTTTTTTTTTTTTGCTTTTCCGGGGGGGGGGGGCAAGTGCCCCCCCTTGCCCCCCTCGCGACGCCCATGCATGCCCAGGTCATCTATCACTAGATCCTAGTATGGACCATGGTACATCCACTACAGGGGGTGTCAGTCTTGTGATCCTACTGGAGGGGTTGGAAATTGGCGGGAAAACCTAGTGTGCTTGTGCGCATTTACATAGGCTTACAGGAGGTTAGTGTCTGGTTTTATTGACTGTTTAGGGCTTGAGGGATACCAGGGGTTAATCTGGGGTGAATGGTGGACTTTGAGGGCCGGGTAGCTCAAATTACATTGTGTCGTGGATTGATTCCCAGCAGGCGTCTGATATTATATTGCCAAAAATTGGCACGCGAAGTGTTAAAGTGGTCAGAAAAAGCCTCATACCGCACCACAGAGCATCTAGAATCCAAAAAAATTTCGGGGCCCTTAAGCGGGCCCCGAACCCCAAGCCGTATTTTTGGGATCCACTTTTGGGGAAACTAAACATTTTTTGGGCCCCAAAAATTGTGTTCTGGAAATCCGCCCTTGCGTAACCAAAATATAATGGTGCATATCGCGCCCGAAGCTAGAACCGTGAGCAATGTAGACGCGGCAACATCAGCTCATTGATAAGCAAATAAAAAGGCCCATATCGGCAACAATAATAGGTTCTATTTTATTACGATATAATTTCTATCCTGTGCAGTCTGCACAATGTATTCTTCGGCCCATCAATTTGCCTGCAACTTTGACCATTTCAGTAATTCTGGGAATAATTTTCGGTCTCCCGTTTATTATACTCATTCTTCGCATTCTTACAGGTTGGAATATAACTACATGTCTTTGCCGGAACACATCGGGACCCACATCGATGCCCCGGCACACTTTGCAAAAGGCCGCATGCGCGTTGATGACATACCAATCGGTAGGCTGATATGCGCGGCCGTCCGAGTTGACATCTCAGAGAAAGCTAAAATAGACAGAGATTACGGAATGACAGTCCAGGATCTGCAAGACTGGGAGGAGATCCACGGCAAGATTCCAGACGAATCTTTGCTCTTCGTCTACACTGGTTGGGGTGCTTTCTACCCGGATCGTCTAGCCTACCAAGGAACGACGCGTAACGACACCTATCTTGATGAGCAAGGGGAGTCATTGGTTCACTCCCCGGGAGTTGGACCAGAAGCAGGCACGTGGTTGGTGCAAAATCGTAATATAGTTGGTCTTGGGATTGATGGGCCAAACCTGGACTGCGGGCAGAATGAAGAGTTCATGACCCATCGGGTCTTAATGGAAGCCGACATCTACGGAATCGAGAACGTGGCTAACCTGGACCAACTGCCAAACACAGGGGCTAAGGTGTATGCACTCCCAATGAAAATTGTAGATGGGAGTGGAGCACCTGTACGTATCATCGCCATGTTAGATGGGGATAGTTCCTCGGGTACAGCAATGCTTTGGGCCACATTCTCTGTTTGTGGAGTTTTTCTTGTAATCAGTTTAATGTTTCAATAGATGAATGGCGTTTGTCTGAACCATCCTCGTCTCATTTGCATGCTCCCCATCTCTGTCTTGTTTTGAATGGTTATACAGTGAAACGCCGCTATAACGAACATCGTTGGATCCACAGAAAGTGGTCGTAATAACAATCGTTCGGTATAGCGATTTTGAACCGCCTGTACCCTCTTTTGACCAATAGTGAACTGGCATTTCTCACATCCCGTGGCCGCATGAGGAGTTGTCACGAAACTTAAGCAATAGTTTTCCCTTTTATTCCTTTGGTAAATAATAGCCATATGTCGCTCTTCAACATTCGAACACGATGTAACTATGGGTCGTTTGATGTTCGGGAATTAAAAGTGGCCCAAACAGTGTTTAATACATGTGCAACCGGTAGATTTTTTTTTAATCTGTTGACTTTTTTTTAACAACGATGTTCGGTATGTTTTGTACATCATAAAAACCTGGAGCCAAGGACGATGTTCGGTATAGCCGAATGTTCGGTATAGTGGTGTTCGGTATAGCGGCGTTCCACTGTAGTATGGAGTATAAATTCTATCAAAACGATGAATTGTATAAACGGCTTTCGTTGCGGCACCAGGGGCGGCGGAACCGGGGGCAGGGGGATGTGCCCCCTCGAGATGAAACAAAGCTTGCCCTACAATTTTGGATAATTTGTATTTCTATGGAGAGTTCTTATATGAACGAGGGATATGAAAACCAAGCCCCAAAACCCTTACAATGCGCCCTGCGTATAGTTTGTATAACGGCCGGTTTTGAAGAGCGCCCCTATTTTGGATGACGGTACCAGCACCCCCCCCCCCCCTCCCCATTACACGGAAGCCAAGTGTCCGGTGAAAAAAAGGTGTCGACATTTCAGCAAGAATGTGCTAACAAAAATGCTGGATCCGCTGCTTGTTGGAGATGCCCCCATTGAAAACTGTTACGCCGCTGATAGTGTTGGAGGTGATGTCATGTAAATACATTACATCATCTCGTGTAAACCTGGCCAGGGACTTTTGAATTGTTATTGTGATAAATATTCTTTTCATTTTATCATCTTTACATTACACAGATTGTGATAACGCAATTTTATGAACGGCATACACACGTAGCTTCATAACTTAAGAATTTGATTATAAATCAGAAAATGAGCTGCTTTGTTATACTGTAGCTAATCTGTATCGTTTCCTTTAAATTTTGTAAATACTCGAGCCACGAGTCTGAATACGTGGAAGGATGTGCATATGCATAAAGTTACTGGCTATGTTAAACAAGATGGGTTTGGAAAAAATCTTGATTGATTATTACGCAGGCATTTATAGTCTGAGTATCACCCGTTACCCACGGAGCCAAGAGTCTCTATCTCCTGTATATAACGACCGATATGTCTAGACATGCAGATAATGCAAGGCGCGCCAGCCAATCGGAGTCGCTTTTACTAAAGCGGGACGTCATTTCATTCCCATGGTTTGATTGGTCAATTTGAATACATTGTTTTGTATCTATTGTCTATGACGCGCAACGGGTGAATGACCGAAGACCCGATATAGCAAGCGCCCGCTGATTGGTCAAAATCTAGAGGTCAAGAGGCGGTGTTGTCTTGCCTAATTAATCAGCGAATCTGCCGACATAGTATCCAAAAATTCCCAAAGACAGCACCTGCAGTGATAAATCCCCATACTTGTAACTTTTCTTTAAAATAGTCAGAACTCTCACAGGTGTTCATGCAGGCTGCACAGTAAAATGATGATCAACATGTCATCTTTCATTTTCTTTTCAGTTGTATTTTTTTTGGGGGGGGGGGGTTTACGGTTGACTTTTTTTGAGAAATTCTCACCCAAAGAAGATCACCCCGAAAACAAATGATGTGTCCCAAACTGGAAAAGTATAGCCCTCTTGAAAAAAAAGGATCCATCCAGACCATGGCTAAATAGGGCCCGATTGCACCCTAAATGCTCCGAGTTGGAAGCCCCAAGTCCAGGCCAGAGGTGCAGTGCCACTTGTCTTCAATTTCCCAATTCCATGGCTCTCAGAACTCAGGGGGTACCCCTCTGTCCCATATTGTGCTGGGTATAGCATATTAATTTTGTGTTTTTAAAGTGTTGAGTCCCTTATGTAGGAAACGTCCTAACAAACAAGTAGAATTGACCAAATCAGCATACCTCCAGTATGTTTGGTTGAGATTTTCATCTACGTAAAATCATACTCGGTAGGGTATGCAATTTACATGATCAGGAATATTCAACATTAAATCATATTGATTGGTGTGCAGAATGATTTTGATTTGAACATTGCAGCTTAAGTTCTAGAATACAGAGAAAAACTGAAGAACGAAATAATGTAAAAGTATATGTTTAGCATTATAGAGCAATACACCAATGTGTATCTTCATTAATGGTATAATATGTTCTTTTTAAAAAAACATTGAAAGTTTGGATCGGGTCATAAAAATTAATATTGAATTAGTTATCGATTTTCACGTTGCTGCATGGGAGCTTCCATCGAGGAGTGGATTTAGAGCTATCAAGGCGGGGTCCATCCCCCGCCACACCCTCCATAACAGTATGGGGATCAGACAATGTGCATATGCTGGGACACACTATGAACGTCCGATATATCTGTGTAATAATATCAATTCAAATTATGTGACCCGGCACGCCAGCCAATCCGGGAGCCACCTGTAGAAGTTGTGATGTAATTTCGAGCAAAAATTCGGTCAAAGCTGTTGAACGATCGATAGCTGTCATGTTTTTTTGTAATAATCTGCGCTTTTATCACATCTACTCTCCATAGAGGGCCCCCATAATGCATATTTCAGATTCTTTAATCTTAACCACCCCCCCCCCCCAAAAAAGAAGAGGAAGAAAAAACAAGCATCTTTGATCCACTGTGCATCTGGGCTAAAGTCTAATCTAGCCATTGGGACTGAGCATGACATTTATTATCTCAAAGATATACGAGTAATTGATGAGATCTATACAAGACAACCGCAGAGGGCAGCCAAAACTGCAAAGCTATATTCTAAACATTTTTGGACATTGGGTTTGGACATTTCCGGGCGGACATTCGATTGGGAAACAAAATTGTGAATCCGTGTGTCTTTCCTATTATGTTTATTTTGTGAGGACTCCCACTCTCTTTAACTTAGCCGCTCCTAGGGTCCCCGTAACCTTAACCTTGCCCTGTTGCTATAAGGTCGTCATGGATACATTGCAGTACGTCATCGCACTTGCTGCTGCTCAGAAGAAATCGACCAGCCCATTCCATTATAGCTGTCCCACGTACTATGTCTCAGTGATGGTGAATGTAACTGATGCAGGTACTGCAATTGGTCTCGTACTGACTCAGAGCAGTTCTTAAAGCGGTTGTGGAATGCCCGAAGACATTTCCGTCATTTTTCGGGTATATGTAGCCTAAGGTGTGATAAAATAAAAACGACTATTGTTTCTGTCATGAAATGAGTACAAAAGGTACTTTTGAGAGCTGTTTTTCAGGTCCAGTTTCGACCCGAACGTGCAACTGTGTAAAAGTCGTCGTTGCGGGCAGCAAACAAAACACAGTAAATCGTGACGTAATAAACAGGACTCCCGATGCACAGTAGCATAGACGAGTCCTGTTTATTACGTCACGATTTACTGTGTTTTGTTTGCTGCCCGCAACGACGACTTTTACACAGTTGCACGTTCGGGTCGAAACTGGACCTGAAAAACAGCTCTCAAAAGTACCGTTTGTACTCATTTCATGACAGAAACAATAGTCGTTTTTATTTCATCACACCTAAGGCTACATATACCCGAAAAATGACGGAAATGTCTTCGAGCATTCCACAACCTCTTTAAACTTCGAAAATCATGGCTAGTAGATTCTCCGTACTCGTCCTATTGTGTGGGTTCAACTCTGTTCTGACCCTCGAGAGGGGGGAACTTCTAGACATGTCCTACGGTTATGACGAAAACACTCTGGCCTACCCAAACGCAGGGTTCTTCAATTTTACCGTCTTAGAACGGGGTTCAACTGACGATTTTCCATGGTAAGTAACGTACTGGTCCTCATAGCATGTTCAAATGATGGCGCATGTTGCGCCCGACGCTATAGTATATGAGAGGCGTGCAGACGCGGCAACGTCGTTTAACCACGATAAGATAATTGATTAGCAAATAAAAAGGCCAATAACGGCAGCAATATAGCTTCTATTTTGATTTTAAAATAATATAGTACAATTCCAATCCCGTGCAGAATATTTCAGGGCTCATTATTACCTGCATTTGACCTTTTCAGCAGGGTTACCTATAGCTGTTTATGGGAAAGATTGGGGGTCCCCGTTGACATATTAATTGACTCATTCTTTTCATTCTTACAGGTTTGAATATAACTACATATCGTTGCGGGAACATACTGGCACCCACATCGATGCCCCGGCACACTTTGCAAAAGGCCGCATGCGCGTTGATGACATTCCCCTCGGTAGGTTGATATGCGCGGCCGTCCGAGTTGACATCTCAGAGAAAGCTAAAATAGACAGAGATTATGCAATGACAGCGCAGGATCTCCAAGACTGAGAGGAGGTCCACGGCAAGATTCCAGACGAATCTTTGCTCTTCGTCTACACTGGTTGGGGTGCGTACTACCTGGATCGACTAGCCTACCAAGGAACGACGCGTAACGACACCTTTCTGGATGAGCAAGGGGAGTCATTGGTTCACTCCCCGGGAGTTGGACCAGAAGCAGCCACGTGGTTGGTGCAAAATCGTAAGATAGTTGGTCTTGGGATTGATGGGCCGAACCTGGACTGCGGGCAGAATGAAGAGTTCATGACCCACCGGGTCTTAATGGAAGCCGACATCTACGGAATCGAGAACGTGGCCAACCTGGACCAACTGCCAAACACAGGGGCTAAGGTGTATGCACTCCCTATGAAAATTGTAGATGGAAGTGGAGCACCCGTACGCATCGTCGCAATGTTGGATGCAAATGCCTCAGGCGCAGTGATGCGTTCTACTACATTTACCCTGTGGGGTTATTTACTCGCTGGTATAAGTTTGGTTTGGATATCTATGTAAATATTCATTTCTCTTTATCATTTTGTATACAGATCAGGCTTTCAGACTGGTGTAAACATTTTTTGCTGTTAATGTTCCTTTTCTTGTGGGTCGATCGTGAAAGATCGGATGAAAAGCATGCTGAAGGATTGAAAGGATAACGGTAAAGTTATTCGGATTGTACCCTAGTTGGTAGCATTATCGCAATTATTAATTGGAATAAGTTTTACCCGAAGTCTATAGAGCTGAGTTTGGATCATGGTTTATATGGCCACTTTTTGAATATTTTACTCATGATTAAACTTACAGTAACATCTTTATCATCATCGCCATCAT